CCCTAACCCTAACCCTAACCCTCTAAGTAAATTCTTTTCTAGTATCTTTTAGCTTAGCTTTTACTTATATTAAGATTTAAGAACTATTATAAGAGCTATTATAATAATTTTTAGTTCTTTAGATAGCTCGATATTAGCTCTATAGTATTATAAAATAATAATAAGAATTACTTATAAGCCTAGTATAATGCGGCTAGAAGAGTAATAAAGGAAGCTTAGACCTCGCTTAAAAAGTAAGGGTAGAAATACGAAAAACCTCGACTTATTACTCTTTACTAGAAATATATATAACTTTATAAGGTTAAGACTTTTCTAGAATCTTATTTTTTTCTAGGTTAGCTTAGTTAAATCTCTACGTTTAATATATATTAAGTATATCGTTTAAGAATAACTCTACCTCTTTTCGACCTACTGTAAAAACAGGTCTCTAAAACCCACTTTTTTCTTATAGTAGCTAGGATTAAATTCTTATAGTAGCTAGGATTAAATTTTTGTAGTAGCCCTACTGCAAGGCAAAACGATGTCTGGAATTATAGGTAGGCTCTTCAAAAGGTTCGGAACGAACGAAGCAAGGATGAGTACACGAGGATCATAAAGGATTTTTTTGGTGTCTCTTCCCTTAGTTCCGTATATTTCGGCAGCCAACACAAAGATCTTAATTCTCTCGTGGCAGCTCTAGTGTAACGTATAGAACCTGACATAAACCGCTTCGCATGTTCCGAAGCTTTGGATTATATGGAGGCTTACTACAAGGTTGCCTGCTTCTTTCTTTACTTCTCGCCCCTTTTTCTATAGATCCTATAGCTAACCGATCTACGTGTTGAACAGGTTACTCTGAAACGTTTCGTCGATGATATCGCTATCGAAGTCATCGAATCTAAGCTCATCTCTCCACTTTACGATATCTTTTCTCCTATCACTGTCACTTCTATGTCCGACGACCTTGTGACTCGCATTGCTGGCGAATCTGAGGAAAACCGCGCCCAGCGCGAACAACTGACCAAATAGCTGGATGTCCTCATGAAAGGCTCCGAAACCTGCAAAACCTTTATCGGCGTCAGAGTTCTTGGTGAGAAACTCACCTAGCCTGTCGCATTCTGACGCATTACTTATATGTTGAATAGGTGCGGATGATAGCACGATTCACAGAGGTACCTAGTTCAAATTTGTAAACTTTAATCCTAGCGACGACGATGGAGGTTCTTCTGATGAGGGGTCTGAGTTAGACGTCAGATCTTTGTCTAATAGTTCTTACGACCGTGGAAGCCCAGCCTCCGAGGAATCCAAGCCCTTGAGCAGAAATATCGTCGAGAGGGCAGTTGAGCCCGATCCCTCAGAAGCCATTGAGATACCTGAGGCTCTAGACATGCCACCAGCGGAGGAAGAGGATTCTTACCTTCCGAGGATAAAGAAAGGCAAGAAGAAGTCCAAAGTTGCATCGAAACGGGCTATATTTGAAGAACCAGAATTTTAGTTCAAGCATCTGGTCAGTCTCATCCTACTTTGTTGGGAACCACCTGCAAATTCTAACTTAAAAATTCATAGACATGAATGATAAGGCATCTCTTATGTGATTACTGGTCGTTATGCGTAATTAGTGCTTGAGCCTTGATTTTTAAGACTGCAGCGTAGAAATATAGTATTACGATTCAACCCCATTATGTCTCAACCTTGGATGAATGTTCCCACCAACAGAGCATCCTATGTGACTCTTTATGGGAACGTGTTCCTTACAACCTGTTACGGCTGCGTGTCTGAAACTTCTCCTCCCACCTATGTCCTGGGTACTTGACGCATCCAGTTGATATTGATTTCAGGCTGCTGATGTATTTCGAGGAAGAATCGGCGGTACCGATAGCTCCGAGACTCTTCCTTGGCTCTAACCTATTTTTGTTAGCAGCGTGGTGCAGCAACTTTGGATCAAGTCCATCGTCAGATCAGCTCCGCAACAGCCTTTACAAACGATCTTCCAAGGTCCAGTGGCCAGTTCACGTCTGTATTACGCGCTGTCTGCACGACTTGCACAGTAAGTAGCGAAATCGGCTTTAGTCGAAATGGATCCGGTAGAGGCAACAGACGACTACTATGCTATACTCAAAGTGCACCAGGCAGCAAGTATTACAGATATCAAGAAAAGCTATCGCCGGCTAGCTATAATACAGCATCCAGATAAAAACCAGTATAAGCCTAACGCTACAGCCTCGTTCCAGCTCGTAAGAATTTCCTCTACTAACAACCTTACCTTAGAGATAACGCACAACTAAGCTTGGTATTTCAGCTGAGTAGAGCATACGAAACCCTAAGTGACGAAAATTTACGACGCAGTTACGACATCGAACGGCTGCAGATCCAAACGACACATCAAAAAGCAGAAGAAAGAGCGAAACGAGACACGGAGGCTGCTGCCAAAGCAGAAAGCCAAAAATCCGCAAAAGAGAGGGCTACTAGAGAAGCTGAAAAACATCAAAGCAGATCTACAATCGAAGGCTTAGCGAAGAAGAAAGAAGTCGTCGAATCAGAGATTTCTACGGTCATACATGCGATAACGAGACTAAAGTCAGAATTAAAGAACATTCAGACACTTAAGGAAGAAGCTCTTGCGGAGGAGAGGGCACGAAACAGATGGTCCAAACGTGCGTGTTCTTTTGTCTTTGATTCGCGTGAAAAGCTAGAGAATACGAGGCGAGAAAGAGAGATGCAGCTTTTACAGAGACTTGCAAGTGTGACTATCAAGGAAAAGGAATTATCGAGGGAGTGGGGCAATTTTGAGGATTTGTACCGTCTCTTGTCCGGCGTGGAGAAAGAAATTGCTGCAGAAATATTGATCAGCCAAGAGAGAGAGGAACGCTGGCGACGAGAAGAGCTTAGAACCCAGATGAAACGAGAAAAGGATTTTAGGGAACAAGAACGGGCTGCAGAAGAGCAACAAAAGAAGAAAGAAGAAAAGCTAAAGAGAGAAGAAGAATGGCGAAAGAAGGAAGAAGAGCGGCTAAAGATAGAAAAACGGCTTAAGAGAGAAGCAAAACAAGCAGAGGAGCGGTGCCAAATAATGGCTGAAATACTGGTACAGAGAGGAGAAGAGTATGAACCGTGGAAGAAGGAAGAAACCCAAGAATGGCTTGCTTAACTCGTACAGGTCTGGCCCAGACCCACCGACATCTGCATTCGAAATGTCCAATTCCCTCAAATATCCTCTCATCAAATCTCGATCCAACCTTTGTCCCTGCTAGTTTAATGGAGAGCAGTAGTGTGGCCCATCTTGCTCATGCTTCCCATATATCTTAGCGGGAAAATGGGGAGTCAACAATCTGAACATGTTGGTTCTATCCAAGCTACGCCAAATGCTGAGCACGCTTCGCCTCGATGCGTCCAAGAAATCATTGAACTTGCACGGTACACGTATTTGGAGAGTTCGGCTCCAGATTTAGAAGCTGATATCGGTGGATTGATAACGTTAATTTCCTTCTACATGGCTACTACCTTCGAGATAATCTCAGAGCATACTTCGTTTGTGGAATTGATTGAAGGTGGGGGCGCCTTTGTGCGGAATATTTGGAAGCGCGTAGTGCCTAGGAAGCCTGCTGGGGAGATGGTAAGGCTGGGTGGTCGATAGCACTAGAGAGATGACAATATTGAAGCTATTCCAAAAGTTTTCATGTCTGTGCAAGTCCACATGCCGTCTTGGTGGCTGAAGAGATTCAGTCATCTTCAGTCTGTACAGTAACCATTAATATCAGCTGTGACATTGTATTATCTAGTTAGACTTCGTTCTTCTCTCCCACAGTTGAACGCTAACCGAAATTAAAAAGATGAAATCGAAGGCAAAAATCTGCAACTTCGATATAATATATCGAGAAGAGGTACAATCATAGTCAAACCAATGAATCTGCCTTGTAAGGCCTAGATTTTAGATCGTGATGTTTAGCTAGATGAGGATATGGCTTGTAACCAACCGCCCAATGGTGATTTCCAGTCTAGGATATCTGATACGGTCAAAATCCATTGGCTTAAGATTGAACATTCCTTGTCGTCGGCTGACCTCCATCCTGAGCAGGACTTCGCTATCAGCATGCCATTCTCTTTGCTGTACTTTAGTTCTGTTCACTCCACATCCAACAATCAAGTGGCAGGCTCAAATGCCTCCTATCTACCCCACCTTCCTTCCGCTCTCCCCAGAGCGCAGTTAGAAGATATATGAACCCCCATCGCCAGGAAAAATAAGATGCATAGGCAGAAAGAAACTTCGGTGTGCGTTTAACATTCCTGGATGGTTCGGGTACATGAGCTGATGATGAGTCCGTCCTTGTCCTGGGAGTTGGCAGGGTCTTATGCCGGCGGGTGTGAGCCAGTGGGAAAAGGGATGGTGTTGAGGGCTATATTTGGAGAGTTGGGAAGGATAGAGGGAACAGGTGAAAGATAGGAAACAGGAGGCGGATATAGACAAATGAAGCAAGGAGGAGACAATTTTGAAGTGTCCCTTCATCAGACAACAACCCGCCCAGTGCTTTCACGAAGTCTCGGCCAAATTTCCTCTACGGCTTTTAGTGTTGGGTTTGCGATCAGCGACAAGGTAAAGGGGGGCGGAGACGGCCTGGAATCAAGCATGCAAGCTCACTACAAACATTTTGGAAATGGTACCTCATAGTATATCGAATCGAGACTGGCAAAAATATTGATGGTATGGCTTGGATATTTAGAATACTACAGGCTTGCATCACACCTGGGTAGCACGTACAGAGTATATATTATTGGCTCTACATTTGAATTTATGACGGTCTCCTTTCATAGCGTAATAGAGATCCTCCATCACATCTACCAAGCTAATACTATTCCTTAATGCTTTGTAAATAGATCTTATCCGCGTTTACCATCCTTTCCAGCGGTCAAACTGCGGCTTTGTGAATTGATCCTATGAATCCCTAAGCTGTCGTTTCCAAATGAGCTCTTTGCTTGCATGTCTTTTTATGCAATTTCCATGCTTGCGTCTGACAAGCATGATTGCAGTAACTCACCTTGCCACATCTGGCACAATATTTAAGCCGATTTGATGTTTTCCCACATTGACCACACTGCGTACTGTTAGTTATGCTCGACACAGAAAGATCGTTCGTTGTCTGAAAAAACTCGTTCTTTTGCTCGTCCGTAAGGAATGGTTCTATATAAGGCACCACGGAAAGGGGCATGATGCCAATGCGTGTTGCGTGGTGTTTAAAGTCCGCCCAACCCTCGTGTCCTGGAAAACCACTGGCATCTTGATCTTCACCGCATGAGAATATCGCAGACTCACAATGCGCTGTAGATAATGGTATTTTGCCCTGTTTGCGGTAATCGCAATCTTGATTGTGATGCCATGACACGCGGCAACATTCCACAAGTGCAGGAATCAGCTGTTTCCATAATATCTCCTCCTCTCGGGAAGTCACGACAACATTGAGGGCTTTACCCGACTTGATTATGTGTACAAGTTCTGACTTCATCTTTGCGACTCGTTGCTTTGTTAAGGGGACAATGTATGCATCCAGAACAAGTGACTTCTGAGAGAGATTATGACGAAGAGCAGATGCAAAGATCAACGTGTCGCAGCTCATGTTTTTATGCTTGCATGTGAGCTGAAACAGCCGCACTTGACCATAATTCTGATCTCAATCCAATGAAACTTGGAAATATAGCGTTGATCGAGCTCTTGAGTTGTAGCATACCGTCAGAGAACCTGTCTAGTGATTTCTGTTCTCGTAACTTCCTTTCTCTCCCACTCAGAGTCCAGCCAAGGAACTGTGGAATCCAGTTTGCCTTATCTAGAGCGTGAATAATCGGTTGTATGTTCATATTGATGTGAGGAATAGACATGGGAGCTGTTTGGGTGCCCCGAATGCATACTGGGAATGGATTGTGGTCGTATCCACCTCCTGATGGAGCTGTAGCAATCAGGACAGTCACTTCGATGTATCCCTCAGATGTAATTTTTGCCTTTTTCTCCTTCCCGTCGACTGGATACGGATATGTCAGCTGTACATCATCGGAACCTTGGTGTTTGACGTTAAGAGTGCAAGGTGAGACCTGTGAGATTGACAATTTCTTGTCGCCTTTCGAAGCTTGGGGGTACACCCGCATTTTCATCGTTTGTGGCTTATGGCTTTTGTCGAAATGAATCCAAAATGGCTCCTGAGACTCGAATCGGGCACTCCGTAGAGATTCGAGTTCATTATGAGAAAGGAGACGTACCCCTGGTGGCTCTCTAAGAAGTCGTACTTTATCGTCGTCGACTCCAAAAGCAAAGACTGTCATGCGATTTCCTAGCTCTTACATGTACCGAGAAGTAGCAGGGGTACTAGTTACTGTCAAGGCAACCTCGAGGGTGCTTCTACTTCCGAGAAGCAGCGACCATGAAGGTACAGCACAAGTTACAACTAAGTCTGCTATACCTCCCCATCCACGGTCATCGGGAAGGACATTACAGACGCTGTCATCATTGACCACCGGGAGCAGCTTCCCGAAGAAGCATTGAATGGCGAAGAAGCTGTTATCAAAACCTTGTTCCATATTTGTGACAACTGAGATGAAGTCCTGGTGTGCCAACAGTGTTTCGATCTTGATTAGTGAACACTTTAAGCTTTTTCGAGGCACATTCAAAGCTACGAAGATGATAGACGGAACATCACTTCGTCCTAATAAATCTGGATCGGCGGATGGTGGCCGGGGTCGTCCGTAGGGTGTCATTCCAATCTCGCGAGGTGGACGCTTGAGAATTCCTGTACAGAATAGACCAGAGAGGTGAAGTAAGACATAAAATTCCTGGACAGAATTGCTACCAACAAGCAGCCGTCTATCCGACCCTATCTTATCTAGGAGTGAAGTTATGAGTCCAGGCCAATCAGTTTGAATGCGATGCTTTGCCATGTAAAGAAGAAGGACAAAGCTCAACCGGTTGTAGTGCCGTAGATCCACAGCCAGTGGCGAAACTGTCGGACGAAGTATAGTTCTCATGCTTGAGCTTAGGTTCTCATGACTGAACATAGCCAGATAGAGTTGAAAAAGTACATGGAGAGTTCCTCTGGACTAGATCGAATTTCCCACTCGAGTGGCTCGGATGCCATCTCTTCAAGGCGCTCACCAAAGCTTGGAATTTTCCAGGCGATACGCAGGTAGTATTGGCTCTGCCGTCCGGGCACACCCGGGAATGCAAGCCTTGTAGCAGCTTCTGTTCCCAATGCATCTGTAGTGTATCCGACGAGGTGCCCTGCAGGGGCAAGTCCAAGCAACAATGATATCATTGTCACATCTGAACAAAGCAAGGCCGGTAAGGCTGCTGCAGGATCTTCTGCCACTTTCAATAAACTATCTGTAAATAGCACCGACGTCGATTTTCGAGACAAGAGTGGCGCCACAGCAGGTAGGGTATTTAGGATCCCGACATGATCGATAAGGTTGGACGTATCGATGACATCGTAAGCAACATAGGGCTTCAAACGATTAATACACAGTCTGTTTGATAACCAAGGGCTCCGATATGCTCTGGCTGTTGTTATTGAATTTCTTGCAGGATCGCCGTTGGCTTGTAGTTCATAGCAAAAACGTAAAGCGTCGCCCCAGAAAATACTGATCTCGATAGCCCCCAATTTCACCTGAGTCTGGAGAGCTGTGCACCAATCTCGAAATTGTGATTTTGCGACCTGGACAACAATTTCTGCATGCTCCAGCTTTGAAGAGAGCTCACCATCAAAAGCGGTTGCAAGATGGAATCCAAGCAGAGGTTCAGATCCGTAATGAACAGCAAACTCTTCGGTCGACGACGAGGAGATCGCAAACATAGGGTTCACACGTCCTCCTTGGCTTGAGCTAAGTTCTTGCAAATCTGGTAAATTACCAGCAACAACGCCAGTCTCCCAGAACCGGCTAAAACAGTAAGAAATGGTTTCTACAGCACCAGTCCAATTTGGCCCTACTGAGCGGAGGCCTTGAACATGCATAGAGTTCTCTTGAGATCTATCGAACATCTTCTTGATTTTCCCTCGTGTGGTTACCTCGAATTGCTTCCTTGCATCGATGTTGAGAGCTGCAGTCGCCGCATACTTTGTCCATAACGCGCGAAGCCGATTTAAGGTGTCTTGATCCAAGAAACTGATCGCTTTCCCGTATACGGATGACATCCATCTATTTATGGAGTCGGATTGGAGTAGCAGCTTCTCAGCCTGCGCATGCAGAAGATCAATGTCGGCATCAGGGATGTAGAGATGGTAGAATATGTTCCATGTTGATGTGAAAGAGACCTCATCGATGATCAATGATATAAGAATGATGTTACGGGCTATAGGCATTTGTAAGCACGATTCCGATGTACAGCTAAGTCTCCCAGATAGTAGATAACTTACCAAGAACCGCTGCGTCGATGTCACAACAAGTAAATTCCCATTTGGTCTGCTCGTCTATGGTATACATCAGAAACGGTACTCCACATTTGGCACAGATCATACCAGTATTCCTTTCATACCAAAGGGAGAAGAGCAGGTTTCTTGGATCTCCATAAGCTAGAAACAACACCTTCACTGGTGCATCATATGTTGCTCCATTTGCTGGACGAAAGCGGTCCTGAACGACATTGACGGCTGGAGTGTTGCCAATAGGATAGAAGAAGTATCTGAGGTTCAGAGCTGTAGTTCCCAACATCGTGATCGTTATGGAAGTGCTGATTTCTCAAGTAGAATATGAGACTGCTCGTGGTGCCAGAAACAGATTGATGTGTATTCTGCCGTTCAAGAGTGTCTAAAAGCTCGACCGGACATCTTGTATCAGAAAATCAGCCCTACAACATGGCACAATTGACTAGAAAATGCAATCATACAGGTCTGCTAGTCGACTCTGCACCTATACGCAATTAAAACCGACGTGTACCCAGATGATTAGCCTGCTGCGGTTTGCTTCAACACGCATATGGCAGCCTGCCACAGAGGCCGCGACATGGGTGCATTCATTGGGAGAGATAAAAAAGTCATTCGTGGAGATCAATCCCTTTTTAACTTCTGTTCTAGCACTTTTGTCTTATCACTCTCTAAGCTAAGTAATTATCTCCTCGTTGCGGATTGATCAGATTCGGCCTGGTCATGGACAGGGTGGTCAATCATTGTAGACTTTGGAAATCTTCTTGAGAGAAACTGTAATGCTTGCTAGACGATTAATATTTCCAAGACCACCAGTGTGGGAGTACAAGATGCGGCATCAGTGGGTCTTCCATTTTACTAACAGACTAGCACACATCAAGTGTGGTGCACATAGACCTAGGAGAGTGTGATAAAGCGGACTCCCCTCGATATAGACGACCATAACTTTGAGACAGTGGTCCAATGTGGCGGATAGGAATGCTAGATTGCTTGCAGTCTCTCTCTCTCTTTTGGCGCTCAATATGTGTGTCGGATAATCGTACAACGGCGCACAATTCTCTCTAGGTATGTCGGGAAGCTGGTCTAGCTGTTGGAGGCGGTTGATAGGCTGCTCTAAATCTGAGCAGGTGATTGGGCTGCCCCATACACTCTGCATAATCGTCTCCTCTTTGCGGACTGATCAAATCCGGCATGTCATGAACAAGCAGTTGGCCATACTTGACTCGATGGCCCTTCTTTTGAAAAGCATTGCCGTGATTCTTAGCAGACGATCACGTCGTCCAAGATAACGTGTGTGGGAGTACAAGACGCGATATTGGTGGACGGTTGCTACCAACAAAGTGACAGATCCCCGCAAATGATGCAGCTGCCAAAATCAAACCAGAGGTTCTTATTCGGCTGTATAATTTTGGTGAACAAATAGGAATGTCACTAACATATGCATATGCACTCCCACATCCGGGGAACTTGGCTGGGCATGCTGCATACATTTCAGTCTTAGCACTTATTGGATCCTCTTGCATTACCATGCAGTCAAAATGGTGCCTACTCATGTACAACGCACGAAATGAACCATTCAGATAGTGCATAGTATGTGATATGGCTCATATCAAGCACCCAATCCAAAGTTGCGGATAAGCAGTCATGAGAATGTCTGAAGAAATACAAGGCTGTCAAGCCCCATTGTAACTGATTGGGCTTCAATTGACAAAGCAGAGTTCAAGAGCAGCAATAATATCTGCCTTATTCTTTAAATTTGTTAAATACTTTTGACTGGCATAAACGCGCAATCTCCCCCCGCCAGAAGCAGAAGCATTGGAGAGCGGATTTGTATTCTGATTAATCTTCTATGGGTCGAAGTCCCAATCACAGGTTTTCCGTAACACGAGACCGTACAGTCACACCTTTTGAATCTGTGCTCGACTCTATCAAGCAGTATATGCCTCATCCTTTCCTGAAACCGACCAAAAGACAAGTACCTTTGAAGGAGAAAACTACAGTAAGTATTCTTGAATAATTGTGAGATTGGAAAAGGAGTTGATCTGACGTGCATCGTGCAATCAAGAAACAACCACAGAACATGGGGAATAAAAGCAAAAAGCGGCAAAACCACTTCGACCTGGGTGAAGCGGCCGATGATTACCGCAACGGGAGTGATTTTACAAGCCAGAGCAACGCCTACGGGGAGCGAGACAGAGGTCGAAATAGGGATCTAACTTCTGCCATCCGTAATGACGGAGAAGATGACGAAATTTCTGAAGGCCAGGAATCACCCGATGTGACTGACCTCGAAATTGATCAGTATCTTGCTGTTGTCGAAGATCTTAGAATGAAGCTGGACGCTAGCCAGATGGCTACTGAAACTGCACTTGTTTTCTATGGCAAACATCAAGCTGAAATTCAAAAGGTAGACACCACTCGGGAACAACTTAAGCAGATGACCGAGAAGTGCAGCGATTACAGGATTGTAATCAACAATCTTCAACAGTTTGAAGGAGAGAAGGAACGAGAGTTAGCCAGAAAAAAAGCAGCTATTGATGAGGACAGAAGAAAACTTGATTCCTTGAAAGAACAAGCGACCAAATACATGCAGAAATTAGAAGAAGAGAAGCGCGAGTTTGAGAATACGAAGATAACAAAAGAAGCAAAACAAGTCTTGAAGCTACAAGAGAAGAAGGCGGAACTTGAAAGAGAGCATAACAAACGGTATGACGAGCGAGTGGCAGATCTTGAAAAGGCAATAAAGAAGAGCCAAGATGACGACAAGAAGAAGATAACGGATCTGCAAAGTAGGAATGACGAGCTTGTGAAGGATGTTGAGGAGCAGAGACGTAGATTGAAAGATGCCGAGAAAAGGTGCAAGGATGTAGAGAAGTTGAGGAGTCTATCAGAAACAGAGGTCGAAGACTTGAGCCAAAAGTTGAAGATGGCGTTGAACGAGTTTGGGCTATGCGCCAGCACGAGTGAATATTTGTAAGCATTAACTTGTTCCAAAACCCGGGGAGTAGTCTCTAATCTTTAATAGCAAGAGCGAATTTCTCAAAATGCAGAGCGACGTTCAGAGTCTCTCTTACCGATACGTGAAAGAAATCAAAATTGATGTATTTTTTCCAAAAGCACACATCCATGCTAATATTATCTCGCTAACATATGTTAGGATCTTGATGCTGCGATACACGACAAGATCGAGAAAGTAGATGAAGATTTTGCATCGGTTCCTATTTCTAATACTGTGGTTTCTCAAGAGCTGTGTTTTGCGCACTTCCAACGAGTTATCTCCTCTCAGCTTCGGGCTATCTTCTGGCAACCATTCTCATCTGAGATGACAGTGCAAGACTCACAACAGACTTTGCTACTCAACCAAATCTATGATAGCCTGGCCAAAAGTTCTCATGAAGGCAAAAGCGGGTTCCGCGCTGCAAGAACTTTCGCAGTTCTCGCTCTACGCAGTCTCCACTCCCAATCAACGTCAACTAAACGCGCGGAGCTATTCACGGAGAATACAATGAAAATCCTGTCACTCCTAGTCTCTCCCAAGATACATCCAGTCCTTCGAAAAGACCTCACTCATCTGGCTACATCCGCCATCTCCTTGTGGAATACTGTTCAAATGGATGAGCGTGAAATACAAGTGCATCCTAGTCTTGACCCAGCAAGCTTTCAGGAGCCGGAGGACAAGGACATTGCCAGTACCGACAGCAGGGTCTTTGTTTTGTTTCCACGTGTCACTGCACGAAAGTGTGCACAAACAGACAATGCGCACTCCGTCGGTCTTCCAGGCGGTTGGCTAGATTCGGAGCCAGAGGTGCAGTTGGAAGAAATCTGTTTTCATGAGGGGAACGGAGTACCAGAGTGGGGACAACTTGTGCGAGCAGGAGAGGACGAGGAAGAAAACAGGAGGAAAGAGAAGAAGAGAAGAGAGTTGGAAGAGGAAATGGAGAAATTAAACAAGAGGGGAAGCATATATGGTCGGAGGAACTCGGTGGTAGTTGGCAAGTCAGCCACTTCAAATCCAACTGCGGCGTGGCTCGGTGCACAGAAGATACCGGAAAGGGAGTGATGAGAACTTAAGGATGTCGATTCATGTTATGGTGGGAACGAACATATTTAAAAAGAGGTCATTGGGGAATTTTAGAAATATTATCCTCACAATGCGATATGGGATGCGCAGCAAGTGATTTGTGAGAAGTCCTTTCGTTGTCTTGAAACGTGCCGGCTGTAAGAGAGACTGAGATTACTGTTTGAAATGGGAGTTCGGGACGAGTTGAGCATATTAGTGCTTTGGTTTATTATAATTTCATATCTTCCAATCTTTGTAGGCTGGTGGGACGTTGAGGGAAGGTAATATCAAGGACTTGTTGTTCATCATCGTCCTCATCTTCCTTGTCAGATTCTTGTCCAAAGTCTGAATCTCCATCGCTATGCTCATCTTCGCTTTCGCTATCGCCACGACCAATTCTGCGTCTTCTTATGCGCAAAGCAATAATTGCGTTGATATAGGGCCATTTATTATTCAACCATCTTATCACCAGGTATAAGTAATTCTTCCATCTCCATTCTCCTAGCCCTTCAGAATATTGTTCCACAGACGTTGAGTCATCTGGGCATACAGTGAGGCGAAAACAAGGTTGCTGTGAGTCTCACTGTGGCTCTCTGAAGGAAAGGACCCTGTGAAATCGCTTGCGCCCTCCCGCGTTAGCAGCTAAGGCAAAGTCGAATGGTGGTGGTTACAGTACTACGAAGTACATAGTACATGTAAGATGCAGAATTATAGAGGGGTCAATCCCGTGAATGCCCTCGCACCGGCTCACCAGGTTTGTCATTGTCCGGGGGCATTATTACGGACGTGTACATGAGTTAGTCAAAATATAATTCTCATACTTCGTACTGTATTAAGGTAACAGTTCCAATGTCACGAAGATCTACTTGAAAAGGAAAAATCCCGGATTCCTTAATTGGCTCTCCTTCTAGCGTTGAATTTGCTAAAGTAGCATCTGGAACTGTTTGGCTGGAGGGGCAACTACGAAGTCGCTTTAGTAGCCGCTCGCTCCAATATGTCCCTGCAGGCTGTCTCACTGACTATCATGTGGTTCTCCCGAGATAACTTTGTGCCGCCGTTTCCGTCTATCTCAATTTCCATGCGTGTTTGTGTCTCCTGCGATATCCGTCCGTCGAGTGTCAAGGATTCAGTAGTATATGTCCGCAGTCCGTTATTGAACGGAAGACTGTCTTGTAAATGGAAATGAGTCCCTTGTAGTAACATTTGATACCAAGACGTGACGTCCTCGGGCGGAAACAATTGCGATTCTACGTTCTTGGAATCAGATGTCAGTAAATTTCTGCTAGATAATCCACGATACCTACCTCTACACCATCCATATCCATCGTTTACCTAGGAGCTCAAGGAGCGTTTGATAATCTTGAATGGGTTGAAGGTCGAAAATTTGTGTCTTGAGATTAGATCGAAAATGTGATTCCCAGTAAGGTGAGGTAGCGGAGGGAGCTCGGTGGTTTGGAACAAAACAACTTGCTTGGTGAATAATAAACAGAAACAATGGATTGCTACTAAAAATAGCTCGGAAGCTCTTCTTCAATCAGGCATAGTATTGACACCCGTGAACTTTGGAGATCACCTGTATTTAGAAAAGTAATGGGTTGTAATTTGAAAGGATAGCAAACTCTCATTTATTGTCGAGCTGATCCTAAACGGCTTTTAGGAAATAACCTGGAAAGGGACGCATCGTGATCTTGCAATGGCGTGTCAAGACCTAACACTTTCCACCCTGGTATTTTCCGCCTGACTGTCTCAAATGGCATTATTGGATCCAAACGTGTCACTAATGAGAAGCTCCTCATCCAAGTCACTTTCTCCATCCTCATCTAAATCATGAACTTCCTCACTCCTCTCCTTTCCACTTCTCTTAATGCATTCTCCGAAAGCACTTATAGTGATGTTGTTGTAAAGAAGACACCCTGTTTTTAGTAGCGTCAGGGGCTCGCCTCGCGGTGGACAAATTAAGTGGCAGTCGAATTAGGGTATTTCTTCGATTGAGTTGACGAAATATCGTTATTTAGTGGATCAAATTGGAACAATATAAGATATTTCGTCAATTACTTTGAGCGAATAAGAATTTTTACGCTCTGGTCGAAGTCGACTTACTCACTTAGTCCAAGATTACTTGGCAGGTGACTGACACTTATTTTGTCCTCCGCGAGCTCGCTTAGCTAAGCAACCCCCTTAAATCCTCCGAGCCTGCTTTTCGAGGGTAGGTTCTCCCACTTTTCATCTCTTTTTGACCCCTACCTGATTGGACCATTTTGCGTTCTCGCAGATGATCCCGGGCAATCCCGTGAAGTCCATCGGGCTTATGCGATGGGTGTATTCGCGGAAGAATGCAAAAACAAAGCAATGGACAAAGCAATCGGGTCGCTGGCTCCAGAGACTTATTCAACTCATGAACGCCTGGATCATACGCAGACCAGCCAGTCTAACTAAGCTTCCTCCCCTTGAGAGAACACAATGGACATTCTCGCTCAATGCCAATGAAGAGAGAGAATCTAATTACCACTACGGTAAATACATAACGGCGATAAACATTCATTCAAACGACAAAGGCCCGGGCGACGGTAACAATAAAATGACTCCCCCACGGGGCCATCTCGCAAAGGCTTCTCAACACTCCTACCACCCGCGATTGGCCGAAATCATGGCTAAGCTGAAAATCACCACAAGAAAGCAGGGCATAGATAATGCCGTGGAATATGAGGTTACACCAGAGCAAGCGAAGGCATTGTCCAAGTGTTTGAAGGAAATTAAGAAAAACAATAACTGGATGTCCTCCAGGATCATGGCCAAGATTGAGGCATTCGACTTCTTCCGGCAAAAGGACCCCAGCACAAATCTTCTCATCATCGCAGAATCGGTTTTCTATCTCGAAATTGTCGCGGTTGCATTTGATGAATGGTAAAATTCGGTGAAGTGTTTCAAATACAACGGGAGAGAGTCACCAGAAAAGCGTCAGCAAACGTTCGACCAGTTCAACAAGTTTGGTGGAGTGCTTCTATGTAGTAGAGCATGCGGAGGCGTTGGTCTCAATATCACGAAAGCTAATGTGGTATTCCTCTGCGGGCCTTGGTGGAAGACTGAATGGGAGAATCAAGGTATAGGACGCGCCAATAGAATGGGCCAGACGAAGCCAGTCAGTGTCGTCCAGTTCATCGCCAACAATTGTAAGCTTGACGCACATGAGATAAAAGCCAGGGACAAGAAGAACCAACACAACGAAAAAATCAACACTCGCATTACAAGAGAAGACGATAAAATTCCATACGTTTCCACCAACCTACAAATCACTCAGAATTCTCGGAGGTAGATGTCGTTTGGGAGCTTTAGAGTTGTGCCTAAGAGTGTTTAAGAAATCGTGACGATATTCTCGGCAGCAGGATAGACTAGGGAGGGACAATGATTTGGGAAAATGACAGGAGTAGAGTTTTAAATTCTTGTAGATAACGTACTATTACATAAAAGTCAGATAGCTTTCAATAAACGTCTGTTTCTGATACCATTCTACATATATGCCTACTTCTAATCCCACAATTTCTGTCGCAGCAAAGCCGGGTCATGTGTATGTATTTAAGGGGGTGCTCGCTTAGCTAGGCGTGAAGCGGCCACCCCCCTTAAATAGGTACCTACCTACCTTAGGTAGGTATAGTCTTTGGCTCTTCTTTTAGAAGGGTAAGAATTTCCTCATAACCAACGTCTACGGCACCCTTTGCGGTTCTGTGACAATTTCCCTGTCAAAGTAATCAATCCACGGTTTGTTTTCACAATCCTTTTAATATCCCGACACCTCGCGACACCTCGTTATGAAGATGGTCCAGGATTTAAATTATTAGTTGGAGTAGCCATTGACCTAGTACTTTTCAATTAATCAAGTCAGAAAACCTTCTATCGCTACTAAGAATATTAGAGATCCTTTCCAGATCCCGAAGCTTGGTGGAGGCCTTTGTTTAAGGTATTTTGTGATTTTACCCTCCATTTCACTACCGAATGCCAGGAGGTAAAAATCATAACGCTTCTTATATATTATCGTCCACAGATTTAAGAGATATATTCTCATTATCACGACACATGGATACATCACCCTTAGAGACAAACGTTGATATACATTAAATTTAACTAGATTTCAGAACTACCCTAGCAATATCAACCTTGGGAGAAGACGGGCTCTCTACAAATAAGGCAGGTACGGAATCAAGCTGGACTCGTAGAATTGTCTCCGCGCTACTTGTATACCTCCCATATAGTATCAGAGTTATAGCTATTGCCACAAGACATATCCGATGTACTGTTATTATAACCATCCCCCCTCTTCCGACGCGTAGTTACTTCTAGTCGTCTAGCGAAACCACGGTAGCCGTGTTCTTCCAATCTTCTTCGCTCCTTATTAGTTATGTTGAATTGACACCTGTGGGTAGCATCCGCAATCGCAGCCTCCGTTTGACGGGAGTAAAACTCCTAGTCTCTGTATAATTTATTTCGTAGTCTGAATTGGCATGTAAAAGCCCTTTTCGACGAGACCCCGTGTTAAATGGAGAGCTTTCTAGATATCGAAAGTCTCGCCATATACGAGTAAACTTGAATACCAATCGTACATTCAAAGGAAGTTCATTGATAGCCTCGAACCATGCCTCAAACCCTGTGTATATATGTTGATTACCATGTACAAAAGGGGTGGGCTCTCCCCAATCGTTTTCTAGGTGTAGTTTTTGCTCCGGGTTAATTTCGAAACGCAATGGACGTAGAGACTATCGTAGCTGTCTTGCCACTAGGCCTATTACTTGATAATATTGTTGTAGCTTATGTGTACACCTACGGAGCTTCCATAGACTGTCGGTAAAGAACAGTAGTCGTGGTACGATTTCTTTGAGACATTCGATAGAGATGTTGTTATTAAGCTGAAGGAGCGGGTGTGATAACAGATGACTGCCTCCCTTTGTATGACTCCTCTCGTACTGGATAAGGATGTCGTGCTATATTTCGCCTTTCCCATTCTTGAGATTCAGTACGATCATTCCTTCCTGTTCCCGTTTCTTGTCAAAAAAGTCGGCTTCAACTGTAGCATTCAGGCCTCCCTTCCCTGGAGGCAATTGCGACTCTTTTGAGACTTTAATAACATCCTCTGTTGTTAGCTGCGACTCTTTGGAGACTTCATAAAGCCCATTGCCTGGAGATGATTGAGATCCGTTCGAAAACTCATCAATCTCACGACCTGGAGACGATTGTGACCTGCCACCAGACAAATTTGACTTGTTCGACCCATCATCTTCCAATCCTTTTGGCTCTATTGTCCTCATCTTCAATTATCACCTCCAGCATAAACGAGTATATCCTGACCCGAACTTCAATTGGGAATTGATCTAGATAGTTCGTGTGAGATGATGGGATTCCATATTAGGTTCCATGCTTCTTACTCGCACTTGTACATGTCAGCCGTTCTTCATGAAATCTGGATTGCGTCAATGGACATTCGAATCTTACCATGACTTGCTTCATTGAACACACAAGGGGCATAGTGGCGACAAGGACTAGTCAGCACAGACGTGCCGATTATATATCATCGGTTTCCTTACTCTCCTAAGTCCTTTTTTCTCGATGCTTTCCTCACAAGCGCTTATTGTAATATCGCTAGTCGCATTATTACTATCTTCGGCACGTTTCAAAGAGACATAATCGTTGTCATATAGTGGTAACATTATATTTCTTAAACAAGTTGACAAAATAACGCGTATTTCGTCTATGATTTTCAGTAAATGAGACGGTTAAACCCTTTTCAAAAAAGGACAGGTAGTTTGATAAAACTATTCAACTAACTAAACTCTAGAAGACAGGGATAAGACCAAAACACATTTCCCATCGCCGCAACGGTCACATCTAACACAAACACGTCAAAGATATCTCAAGAAGATTGAGAAAACAAGACCTAAATTGAATTCTGAATGACTATTTCAACAGGAGATCGCTGCGTATTTGCCCTAGATAGAGCTATTCATCGATGTGGTATGGGGGAGCTACTCCAATCTCGAGCATTGTCTGTAGCCAGGTAAAGTTCGACGACTGCCTGCCCTCTCTGCGCTAGGGTATCTCCTGGTCCTTCAAAAGCAGCTTTTGCGAATGCTTCGAAACTCGTCAATTCGTCAATATGGTTCATATTGTAGAATTCGTCGTATATCGATTTCAGGAAAGTCAGTCTGCTGAGGTCAAAGGAACAGTCTTCGTCGTAACCACTGCATACGGCCGCGAGATATTCTTTCCTCAAATACATGGGTGTCGGTTCAAGGGTATTCGGCTTCTCAGGAACGACGGTGCTGGATTCGACCTCAGGAACAACGACTTGTGGTTCGTTTTGAGGTGTGGGTTTATCCTGAGGAATAGTAGATTCGGAAGCGCTGGAAGAACTGCTGGAGTGGGATTTAAGCTTGGCAACAACGACTTGTAGTTCAAGTTGAGGTTTGACTTCGGGATCTTAAGTAACGACTTCTGGTTCGCTCTGAGAGACAAATTGCTGAGATTCCGCCGGGAAATTGGAGAATACCGGTTGCTGATTTTGGTCGTCATTCTCAGGCTCGACCACGGTTTCAGTCTTGTTTCCTTCGGCAACCCCACCCCAGGATGTATCTGTATTTGTACCCCAAGGGTTGCCGTTGTCTGCGCTTCCTTCGTTTTAATTGCCGTTTTCTGTGTTTCCCCAGGCTTGATTAGTGTCACCAGTACCCCAACCGTTGGTGTTGCCTGGATTTTCTCCAGTCTGACCGGCATCCCCCTCTTGGTCTTGTCCCTCTCCTTCTGGTTCGTTTTCTGTATCTAACAGCGGATTTTTCGAATAGCCCTCAGCCTCGAGATCCTCCCATTCAGATTTCCGAAGCGCTACCCAACGATCCTGCTCTCGCTTACCCTTTGTCTCATCGATCTGATCGACGTATTTATTGTTCGCAGATGCGGCATTTTCTGTGAAAATTCGTCCACGATTCACGAACCACTTGTACATGGTTTTGAGCGAATCTAAATTTCCACCAGCCTTCTTATCGAGTTCCCACTCCTCCTCATCTTGATCAATGCTCTCATCCAATTGCTCTTCTTCCGGGTCTGCAATCGGCTCTTCCTCGTCATTTTTCCCCTTCTTTGGAGGTTCTAAACATCCTGAGTCCATAACGACGACTAAGCCTTGTCGTTTGGCGAGTTAGCATTACTGCCAATCGCTTCTTCGTCAAAAGCGCCCCCATTCCTGCCATGTTTGTACCAAGAACCACATCGACAAACACGAACAATTCGTCGAACCCCTGTATTTTATTGGCAGTGGCAGGCAGTGGTGACTTTCAAATATTTGAAGAAAGGTATAGTTCGTTTAACCTCGTTGTACAGCGCAACCTCCTCAAGGTAGGGTGTAACAACCCCAAAGTCAGACACTTTTGCGATACCCTTTTGTACCAAGTCTTTCATGTATGTGAGGACATAGTGAGCTGTCTGGGTGTTTCCTCCAGATGTTCCTCTAACGTTCTTGTAAGCGTATGTGTCCTGGACGTCTACCAATAATGGGTACACATGAAACTTTGGCGCTGGGGTAACACGTGTTGCTGGACGATTCGCTACAGGATTGACAGCTTTTTTCTCTTTCGCCCACTTTTCAAAAAGTCGCGCCTGTGGAAACAAGCTAGGATCGTTTTCGAGACTGTTAACCTCTCCGTAGCTCCATGGCTGTTTGGAATTATAGCAGGTGACTGCAGCAACGTCGAAAAGACCTGCAGGCATTCGTAACTGCTCGTGCTGATTCCATCTCGGCCATCCGTCCTTGTACAATCGCTCCATCATTGGTAACCCAGCTTCTGGGGCAAGCTTGTTGATTCTCTCGCCATTTTTTGCCCGACTGTTTTGTGAAATCACAGTAGGTGGTAACTGGTGGGCGTCACCGACCATGATAAGTTGCGTACGTCCTTTCCAGGATATTAATATTTCGGGTTCCTGTAGAGGCAGCTTCATCGAAGACATGACACTTGACTTTCTTGTTGAAGTCCCGTAGAAATCTCTCTCCAGAGCAGGTTGTTGTACAAAAGACCATGTCAACCTTGCCAAGAATAGCAGCGAAAATGTTTTTGTACCAAGTTTGGCGCCCCTGTCTCGCATCTACTACATGATCGCGCTGGGCAACAGGTGTCTGCAAAAAAGCGACAAGATCGGGGTGTTCGCCTCTAAGTTCCAGTAGCCAGTCTTCCTCGGTAGGAATGACGCCCGCAATTTGGAGTACCGTTTGAGACAAGGATCCTCTATATATGGCTTGAGGGTCCGATGGGAATTCTTTTAGCGTTGGCAAGCTGTGGAAGTTACTTGCATCTAGATCTTCCAGCCATCTAATCTCATGTGACTCAGTGTAAACACGCTGGAGTCGCTTTGTGCCGGCTGTGCCCTTGAGCGTACGCTCATGGAAGTTATCGACGGCAGAGTTCGCGCTTGCAAGCCCATATAAGAGCTTTCCGGACAGTAAATGAAGGTTGACAAGAGCAACAACTGCTGTTGTCTTTCCAAAGCCAGGTCCTCCCGTGATAAGAAGAATACCGTTTGGAACTTCAGTAACAATCATGTCCAGCTCTCGTCGCTGTGTTGGGGTAAGCTCACGAGTTGCGAGATTGTAGTTCTCATCAGGAATTCCACGACGGCAATCCCACATTCGTAGTAGTTTAGCGCAACTGCCCCCCATGAGAAATGATACTGGAGATTGCGGTATTTTTCCCCTACTTGCAAACCTCCTTGTACTTGTACTTGAGGATCAGCAGCGGGCTCTGGATCAGCGGTGGCATCTGGATTTGCAACTGCGTCTGAGTTGTCACCGGACTCTTCTTGAGCGAGTTCATTCTGTTCATTCTTCAACTTCTTCCACAGCCTCGCGATCTGCGTCATCTTCCATTCCGTTGTCACCGGCATGGTCGTGGCCGGGAGGTAGAATGCGATCCTCATCGGGGTAGAGGGATGAGATTGCTCTCAGACGGTACAAGGTTGTCTTTGGATTGCTGTTTACCTTGAGATATACTGGCACCTTTGGAGCATCTCGTGTCCAAGTATCACAGCTAGCATCCATATTATGCAACTCATCCGGAAGCTGGACCGATACCAAGTGTGTACCACCATGGTTGACCATTCCCGTATGAACAATTGTCCCAAATATTCCGCCAAGATCCGAACCATCTTGGTCGGGCAGGAACGGCTCGTCGCAAAGTTGAATGGCGTTGTCCTCCTTGAGGATGTTTGACAAAGCAGTTGCAGCCTCCCCAAGATTGACGGAAACCCAGTGGCAGGATTGACGAGTTGGGTGCTTAATCCAAAAAGCATGGACCGTCTCGTTTCTTGACTTCTCGGCGTTGAGGCGGTCAACGAGATTGTCGAAGATGGTTCCAAACCCATATCGTGCTTTGTACTGGTTCGAAGTAGAAAATCTCGTAAGGTCACCGTATGTATCGGGAATTTCGACGTCCTCGGCCTCTGGAAGTTTGCTCCCTCGGAGGAATTGCTTCAAAGCATCAGGCTGCCATTGAATACTAGAAACAGATTAGCAAATGCAAAAAGTAACAGAAAGCAGACATAGAACTTACTTAAAGCGACCATTGATCTGCAAGTGCCAAAACGGCTTACGATCTGATTTGTGCCGAACACCTGATCAACGTGAAAGAGGGTTGACGCCACACTTCCATGGGCAATGGTATAGAAACGCCACTCGGTCGCACCATTAGATTCTTCTAGCAAGCTGAGTTGTTCAAGTTTTGAGTCCGAGCAGCTATGTGGATAGTTGACTCCAAGCGGGAAATGACCTTCGTCTTGTGTGAGTCTCAAGCACATAACGTCAGAATCCTCTGGTATATCGGTTTGAATGCCAAGCTCTTGCATGTGCGAGGTTGTTTCGGGATCGTTAGCCTTGAAATTTTTGAAGCTGACTTTGGTTGAATCATGCTCAAACCACAATTCGAAGGTGTAGCATGGCTGATCGTACTGCCAAGGAACATGATCTTCGCGAACAACCAGTACACTGATTCCAATGTACGGTCGAGTTCCCTTTTCGGCCCCAAAGATGAGTCTAACAAAGTTGATTCGCTTTTGCATATTTGTCTTGGTGTTCTCCCCCACCAGCATGGTTTTTATGTGATGCCAATGATCATGCTTCTTGAAGGATAGGGTACCATCTTTGTTCGTCACGTTACGACCGTAAACAGGCTCATCGACCTAAAAATGATGGAAAGGAGGTAGTCGAGTGTCAGCGGAGTCGAGTGTCAGCGTAGTCGAATTGGCGATGTATAACCCAGTAAGTGATACTGACAATCCTGCTTTCCGTCGCATTGTCCTAAAGAGCATCAGCTTCGGATCAACCAAAGATATGTTTCAGAGGCAACTCACTCGTGCGTTGATGTCTGGAGTTGACTGAACAACGTCGCCGCCGTTATCTTGGACGCTCTGCCTCCAAGGATCAGCTGCACATTGGAGTTTGGACGGAGGATCATTCTTGGTCCCCTGCTTGCTGTCAGCTTTGACCGATCTACAATGTCTTGACTGTTACGTACTAAAGATTCGCCAGGATCTTTGCTCAAGTCATTCTGAAAATTGACTGCGCTCTCAGAAGAACCAGGCGTTAATTGCTACAGCATGGCACTCCAGTGGTTGTCCCCGCGGTGGATTTCGAATGCTCGTACTCAATTTTGGAACCGCGGTCCGTTTGCGACTTCTTTCTTCCGTCTGCGTGCATTATTGCAGTCAAATATTCGATCTCGATCCGGAGCCTTCTCAGTACTAGTGATAGCTGATCCGGACGCATGCAATTCGCGCAACGATGTCTTTTCAGTAGAATTTGGGCCCAAGGCATTTTGAGGGTTTAATAAGCTAGATCACGAAATTTCTTGTGGACCTCGTCATGGGTTACAATCTTCATTAAGCGAAGCGCTAAACCGAAATAGGAAACCAGCCAAACTTTCAGTCTTATAGTGAATACCTACCTACCTATGTAGGTAGCATATCTAGCTTTGACATAAAGGAGTTTTTGTATTGTATCCTTTCTCATTGAGGTGGCTCGCGGAGGACAAAATAAGTGTCAGTCACATATCCACTAATCTTAGACTAAAATAATAAGTCGACTCCGAACAGAGCTTAAAAAGTCTCATTTACTGAAAATAATTGACGGAAAGTACCAATGTTCTAAGTTAATCCACTAAATTTACGATATTTCGTCAATTTAATCGAAGAAATGTTGTGTTTTGACTACCACTTACTTTGCCCTCCGCGAGGGTAGTCAGAGATAATTCCCTAGAAGATTCGAACTTCTCTTGAGGGCCTGAATATCTGCCTCGATTTCCGCTCGCATACTGTAAAGATGTTCCAACTTTTCCGCGACCTCCTCATTTTGTCCAGAGACTACCTCGGGGAACGACCCATCTACGAAGGGTTCTTGCTGTGTTTTCATACTACGACCTGTAAGATCGTGTTGTCGTCCCATTGACGCTAGTGTAACATTTGGAGTCAACGAAGGATGGCATCTCTTCTGATGTTGAAATAGGTTGTAACTTCTCGTAAATCCTCTGACGTGACGATTGCAGAGAGCAACAGGGCAAAAATAAGCTTGTGATCCGTGAACCTCGCGGGTATGTCGATCCAGGCCACCTTTGTCACCAAAACGGGTGTGTTTGCAATTTGGAACCAAGCAAACATAGTCTCTGTTCTGTTTGGCTTTGTGTCTTCTGAGCAACGTTAACAACGGTAATAATTTGTCTGAAAAGAAGTTGTTACGAGCACAGATGTAGATTCGGAGGGGATTCGGCGGCCAATTGGGTATGGCGAGCTGGATCTGAAATCGGTCTTGTTGCCCTGTTCTACGGAAGAAGAGACCGCCGTAGCATCAGCAGCCATATTTCCGGTGCTCGAGTATGTGAATAAGGAAGATTCCTGTCTATGAACCACCAGTCAGCTGCCGGGGATACAATGGAGTGATGCGATGGATTTAAAAGGCGAAACGTGAAACGAAACAAATAATCACGCAGCGTACCCCATGGGATAATTATGGTTGCTGCTTAGGCAGTCGAAAGAATAATTATTAAATCCAGCTTGGCAGTTCTCAGCTGCCAAAACGTGAGCTCATTTGTTGTATTGCATGTTTATCGGTAGTGCTTACGATGTTGGTCACTTTCGATGTGGTTCGAAACAAAGTAATTGAAATTTAGATCTTTGGGAATGTTAGTCGTGCTATGCAAAGGCCCTTGGTTCCATGGTGTAGCTGATATTACCATAGCCACAAGCGTCTGTCACGAAATCGGCAGTGATAGAAGCGAATAGAGCGACCAAAAGAAGTCTTCGTGCGATATAGATATGGAGGAAATTTGATCGGATTTTGGGGGTGTTTTACGTACCATGTGTGAAATTGACTTGTTCGACAGGTTCATCAGAAATTGAGTAACCCCCTGAAACTAGAGTGGTATTTCATTAAAATCATGCAATTGTTGACAGCTTTTGCTTCAGAGACTAACTCACACGTTGGATCAAAAACTGTATTATGAGTGTCGGTGAATGCTGTCTTCAATTCTGGAAGGATGTCGGGATTTAGCAGACTTGAGAAGTCATCCCCATGAGGCCAGGAGGCATGTTGACGTTGGACAATAAAACCAGACTTATTGGTCGAATCAACACCGTAAGTCAGGTCGAGTTGAAATTGCTGACTAAGAGAAAAGTCAGTATGGTTTTCCATCTTGTGTAAAACTGAAGAGTGGTCACTCACAATTCGCAGCGGGCCTCGTCTCCTTTTCAAGTCAAGTTTTGACGGCAACTTTGGTTGATCGAGATTCCAACGGGAGACCCTCAACTTATATATATTTTTTTCGACTGTTCAAATCTTGTCAGTCTGCCATCGCTTGTTAAAACATGGCACAGCAGCTCACCTCAGAATCGGGGCGGCTTCTCCTGGGTGAAATATTATGCATTTGGGCTGCAACTCCGCCGACTTGCTTCACGCAGCAACATGATATTACTGGTAGCTGTTACTGCACATGCATATTAGCATGTGGGACTTGTCTTAAGTGACTCCTACAATGGAGCTGTTCTGAGGCCTGTTGATTTTATTGTTAAAACCTTGTATTATGCAGCCTCATAGCCCGAGGCGAATTCGCCCCGATTCTTGGGCGGACAAGGTTGCAGGTAGCAAGGCGCAGGGCGGCATGAAATAAACAGAAAAAGAAACCTCGAAGTAACACGAAAAGAGGCCCAGAAGAGATTTCGATCATGTTGGGCAACACATTTTGCGAAGTACACGAGGCTGGAGTTGATGCAGTTGTCCCCAGAATCTATTAGAGGCGCAGCCAAAAGTCGAAAATTCAACCATGCAGTGTTCATTCAGACTTATCATTACATTCTTGCCCCGTGCAGGATAAATAACCTGAATCCACTATCAAATATCAACCTCACTTGGGGAGAGACCTTTCATTCCACGAGTACTTTCCTTCCACAATTATCACCACTGAGAAAAGAAACTCCATATCTCCTTCGGGGTGTACGACTTTGCACCACTATCACTACCTCCATCCACCGGTGCGGGAGCATGGCCACCGTCGAACGCAATCCAGGTAACAGGGTAGCCAGCTTTGCATCCAGAATACTCGGTCTTCACGTGCGTCTTGCTTCCAGCCGCAGGCTCCTTTGGACTTATCTTGGTACAGCCATTGTTGGCAACGAATTTGTCACGTAGTCCACGGCCAGTGGAAATAGGTAGAGTGCCATCGTTGATGCCGTGAATACCGAGATACGCAATTGGAGATGTGCCACCATCGCAACCACTCAGCTGTCCACCAGATATAACAGCCACCGCACGAAAGTCTTTGGCTCGCGAGCAAGTAATCGAGAAGGACATCGATCCCCCATAAGAAAAGCCAACTGCAAAACGTTGTCCCTGGTTGACACAAAGGTCATTTTCGATTGCCTTTCTCATTTGGTCCACAAAGTTGATGTCCTGACCGCCCGAATTGGCCCATCCGTTACCAAGCCCTTGTGGTGCAACAAGAATGGCGTTTTCGTTTGCCATTCGCTGCTGTCCGTAGTATGCCCAGAGTGCACCATCACTCCCACCACTTGCGACGTCTGTCATGGTGCCACCGACCCAGTGGAAGCCGAATATCAGCTTGTAAGGCTTATTCTTGTCGTAACCAGAAGGGACGCGAATGATGTATTGTCTGTTTTGGCCATTGACGGTGATAGACTTGGTTCCAGATGTTATGGTTGGGGTTTTGCCGCACCCAGGTGAGTTGCCGTTAATTACTTGTCTGGAGGATTTGATGCCAATTGGCACTGAATGGCCGTAGGCACTAGGTATGCATTGTCCCAAAAGTGCTACGGTGCTTAAAAACGTTCCCACAAGAGAGTTTGAGGAAACCATAATGATTCAAAATCAAATTGACAAGATAATTCGCAAAGTATAGATGACTTGCGAAACCTCGCTTATATTTATGGAAAGTTTGATCAATCTTAAAGTAGATTGAGATATGCTAGTTGGTTGTGCGAATCATGGCTTTAATTGTCAGGCCTCACTAATGCTTGTGGTGATGAGAATAGTGCGGGGAACGAGACCATGTGCGGAAGTGTCATGAGGTTACCATAAACAATGAGTATACCAAAAACGGAGGACTCTCAACCGACCTTCAAAACGGTGACTTACCACATATCAGCGGTTTTTTAATTTAAGAGTTCTAGCATTCTGGCTTCGTTGTGAAAATTGGATAATTGACGACTTCCATTCCATTACCTGGCTAATTTATAATTGGAGCGCCTGAACAATTCGTGATTGGGGCGCCTAACCCTTTGGTACATCATTGGTCCGAAACCAAGTTCAACTTTTCTGATGGTTCTACGAGGTTGGGAATTGCCAGAAAATTTCGAACTTTGGAAAAGCTAGCAAGTATTCGAGCCAATCGTATTCATTCAGCATCTATATTGATATACCCTCGGCATTAGTTAATGGCAATTAAATCGGCACTGCTTCCTCCGTAATGCACATTTATTGACGGCGTTTAAAGGAGGGACAGAGAGTAATTGTTCAAATGATTTTGTTGTGCTCTTTATTTTGTTGACCAGTTCTAGGTGCTGTGCACACAAGACTCTAGTTGAACATGATGGTCTGGAATGAACTGGAACACCTGGTTAGAGCATTCGGTTGAGCTAAAGTGCAATGATATTGGACTCAGAACCTTCAGAAAATAGGTCGATGCAACAGTTCTAAACGCGCTGGGAACTACCAAATCCTTTGTGAATCTTAAGCTGAATGAACTGGAGTATCATTACACCAATGTCCATGATATCAAGTGATGATGACTGTCAAGAGCAGAGCATGGCAGCTCTTAACGACAACCCTGTACAATGCTTTTCTGTGGATCACTTAGCCTTTGCAGTATTGCGTGTACCAAAGTTGAATAATGGCTCGCATGATCTAATAAGAGATTTACATTCGCGGGGAGCGTACATGCTTGGGAGGGAACAATGCGGGTCACTAGCGCACCTATTAAAAGAGAGTCTCCGCGAGGGTTTCATCCGTTTAAGAAGCGAGGTTGATATCCCGCAGCATTGTTATTGGCGCTGTAGTAGATTTTCCTCACGTTGTTTGGTTGTATCTTCGGGTTGTATTCTCTACTTTATTTGAGAGAAGCGGCATGGTAACACTCCGTCGACCTCAATTAGTCACAGAGATTAAGAGATTCGAGAAACTCTGTGTGTTAAAACTCTCTATATAATAGATGGGATAAAGGTTGTATCTCACTATTAGGGAAGTTTAGAATTCACTTACATATGTCTCACATACCAATATCAACATCTAAGAGAATGTGGTATCATGCTCTCTTCTTTATCTCTGTTACTAGCATAGTCTCTGCTCTCCAGCCATGGGAAAAGTGTAGTGGGGCAAGCCGGGTTGACGCAACGAGATGTGAACTCGGAGTTTCATGCATACACCAAAATGAAGATATTTCACGATGTTTGCCAGGTAATTCTTTGGAAAGAAAAGGGCCAAAACGGACGAGCGCTAAGTATCAAAAGCAGATATCAAGGATGCTCCAAAGCCACAGCCAACAACACTGGTCGCTATTGCTTCAACTCAAGTTGCTCAACATCTCGACATTCGTGCCGCAACCACGACACCAGCAACTGCTTCTGGCACCGGAACTTTCACTTGGGATAGCAAAACCTTCTACGTCAATGGCAAAGCGTACCAGATCATCGGTGGCCAGATCGACCCTCAACGGGTGCCCCGCGCCTACTGGGCTCAGCGGATTCAGATGGCCAAGGCGATGGGACTTAACACCATATTCTCGTACTTGTACTGGCATCACATCGAGCCGCATCAAGGTCAGTTTAATTTCACGGGCAACAACGACGTTGCCGCGTGGTTTCAGGAGATCCAGAACGCAGGCATGAAAGCGGTCCTTCGTCCAGGCCCATATATCTGCGGTGAGCGGGAATGGGGTGGGCTCCCGGGATGGCTCACTCAAATCTCAGGCTTGAAGATTCGCTCTAACAACTCTCCATTCCTCACAGCGTCTGGCAACTACTTTGCAAAGGTCGGCGCCCAGCTGCAGAGTGCCTTAATCAGCAATGGCGGACCCATTCTCATGGTCCAGATCGAGAACGAGTATGGATATGTGGGGAGCGATCATGCTTATACAAATGCTCTGTCGAATCTTCTCAAGACCAGTTTTCCCAATACGAAGCAGTACACGAATGATGGAGCCCAGGAGGGAGCCATCAAAAGTGGTCAGGTACCTGGCGCATTATCGGTCATCGACGGCACCGATTCCAAGAATGGGTTCAAGCTTCGTGACCAAGTAGTCAAGGATCAAAGCAGTCTCGGCCCTCTGATGAATGGCGAGTATTGGATTCGCTGGTTCGATTCCTGGGGTCCCCACAATGGTCACTCGAGTTACGACGGTGACACAGCAGGCAAGGCAGGGCGAGCCAGCGAGCTGGACTGGATTTTATCTAATGGTCACCACTTCAGCATATACATGTTCCATGGCGGAACAAGCTTTGCCTTTGGTAGTGGAAGTGGAGGTCCGAATCCTGTGTCACCTTTCACCACGAGCTATGACTATGGTGCCCCTCTTGACGAGACGGGCAGACCAGCGAGCATATACACCAACTTCCGCAATGCAGTCATCAAGTATTCACCTAATACACCCGCCGTGCCTTCAACACCACCTCTTGTCGCCGTGCCCGAGTTCGCACTGAAGCCGATGCAGGGTCTTTTCGATACATTGCCGACCCCGCGAACTTCATCGTCACCAATGTCTATGGAAGCTACCGGGCAAGTCTTTGGGTACATCCTTTACGAGTCTATCATAACAGCCGCCGCTTTAGGTAAAGTGCAGGCTGGTCCCGGTGCGCCTCGTGACCGAGTTATCATCTATGTGAACGGCCAGAAGAAAGGTGTAATTGATGCCATCTATAAGACGCCGGCCAGCATAAGTATCGACGTGGTCAAGGGTGACAAGCTTTGGCTCCTAGTGGAAAATCTGGGACGCGCTGACAATGGCTTCAGCGACCAAACTAAGGGTGTCGTTGGCGATGTGACCGTTGGCAGTACAAAGATCACGATCTGGAACCACTACAACTTTCCCCTCGAAGCCGCCCCAGCACTCAGCGGCAGTAAGTCTGTTACAGCAAATGGCCCGCCAGTGTGGTATCGGGGAACTTTTACCACTGCTCAAAAGGGCATGGCAGCCGATACATTCTTATCTTTGCCAGGAGGCGTGAAAGGTGTGGTTTTCGTGAATGGTTACAACCTAGGTCGGTATTGGACTATTGGGCCACAACAAGAACTGTTTGTTCCGGGTTGTTATTTGCGATCAGATGCTCCAAATGAGGTTATCGTACTGGAGCTCGAACCGGGAACTGCGAGTCGTACAGCTAAAGGAGTAGCAACTCGAACCTGGAAGAATAATGCGGACCCAGATTGTAATAACTGTTCGTAAATAATGAAATTTGGAGAGCAGGAAACGAAGACTTCTGATGCTCTATATTGAATAGTATATGCTTCCTTTCAATCTTCCATCTGTGTCGCGCGAGTTACCCCACCAGCCGGCGTATTATTCTGTCCGCCAACAGCCGCTCCGCATTCAGGACATCGAGCCTGTTCCATTGGCATACCACACTCACCAATTGCAAACTAAAAGCATCTTAGCGGATTTCATGAGCGTAAAGTTATCAACTTACCGGATGTCCATTCTTGCAATTATACCAATGGCCCGAATGACTCGCAATTCCCTGAGAACCCTGCACCATCGTATTTTTAATTGCATTCAGTTCATCCGCTGTAACCTCGTCATACCATTGCCTTCTCATCAGACGAATCGATACCTCGACTGTATCTCGCAAGCTTTGAGCGTTATGAAACGGTTGCTTGCAAACCTCAGAAGCTTCTTCGAAAAGCTGCTTAGCCTTCGCTATGTAAGCTGTCGAAGTTCGTAGGTCAATCTTATCAGTATTGCAGAAGGATTCGAAGCAGCGTGCAATACTGGCGTAGAATAGCGACGCTTCGACAAGTAACTTCGGCAGATTTTCTACATGGCACTCGCCAATGAAAGCTTTGCAGCTCTCAAAAAACGGAATCGCAAGTAAAGCAGGAGATCCGCCAGGCATCTTGATAGATTTACTGTTGGAGAGTGCTTTCAGCGCTTGAGCAATGATAAATTTGTCATTGAGGATGAGACATTTGCTCTTGATCTGAAGCATTTGTCCACCCATGGTCACTCGACGATCAGATGGTAGGACTGGTGCCATCTCCATCAGAGATAAATCATCGAGTATCAAATCCAGTGATGCATGGACAACAGCGGCTCTTCTAGCTGCTTGAACTGTTGCGTCATGTAACTTTTTCGCGGGTTGATGTTGATCAGCGACACTGTTGCGCCAGGTTTTGATACGGCCCTCTATTTTCCGCGATTCGTTGTGTCGTTTTTGAAGGACACCTGTGACTTTCGAAATTTCTGCTTGGGTGAAGCTTGAAGTCACATGAGCTTTGGCCTGACGAACTGACTGCACAATTTCCTCTCGAGTTGCCTCCAGGCTCTTTTCAAGCTCTGCAAGTTCATCTGCCAATCTTCGAAGGTCATCTTTCCCCGTCGTGAGAAAACGTTTGGACATCTCATCTATGACAGCCCGGTTTATCACCCTATTATATCTATTCGTTGCAAACTGTCGGACGGGACATTGACAGTCAGGACAACGAGGAACCAAGTGAGCCAACTGTCCAGACATATCTTTGAGTCCGATGAAATGTCCGTGTCCGTCAACATCATACACCTCCGCCATGCCCAGCACTCCGTCAAGAGAGTCCGCTGTGAAGAAGTGGCCATATCCAAGCACAACTATTGGGCTATCTGATGGGTCAATTACTGCATAAGTCTTCATCTCAAGAAAGTCGACTCGATCGGTCAATTTTTCAGAACATATGTGACAGTAACCCTCCGGGCACACTTCACCGCAGATACCTGGACATCGATGGCCACATGTGAGAAACTCAGAGCAACGCTCATTACATGGCAAACGATTACAAGGAGCAGCACACGGCATGTCACATGTTCCTTTGTGAGGGCAAGACCAGATGCAGGCTTGTATCAGGGAGCACAAGATTGGTGGCAACGCAATGTGCATCGAGAGTGAGAACATTGAACCTGTAGGCATTAGCATTTCTGTGAAACATAACGTGATTTTTTTGAAGCCAAGGCCCTTCCAAGGGATTTAAACAGGAAGCATTTCATTATGGGTGTTCGTATTCTTACCTCGCAACGTGCGAAACACAGCTCACAATTCGTTCCGTCATGACATGTTTTCGGGCACGTGTGGTTGCAGGTACTAAAACGTCGACCGCAAATTTTGGTGCATTTTTGGTGTGTTATGACAATATTCATCTCAGCATCATGACGCTTGCATTTACCACAACTGCCCAGGCAGCAATGACCACAAGTCAAAGTCGTCCCACAAGGCTCCGGAAACCTGAAAAACGTGTTTGTGACATCCTGATAACACGGAACCTGGACCATGTGATCACAGCCCGAAACTTTCTTCTGGACAGGAACATAGCATTTGACGGTGCCAGGATCTTGCGCTTGGTGGCACGGAACGTCGTTCTTCTTATGGTTGCAAGGAAGTTGAACGTTATCTAGCTTCACATTACAAAGACCACATTCCTCCCCACAGGTCGGCTTCTGACAAGTATGCGTACAAGTAGTGCGAATTCGCTGACATGGTTGAGGGCATTTAAAAACGTTATGCATGCTCTCAGAATGGCATCTTGCAAGGCAGCGATGGCCACAGTCGATCAACCGTCGATCGCAGGGCAGTTGGCAACCCCCTTCCGGACTGAGCTTCTCGAAGTCAAGTGGTTCAGATACTCGCATCACAGTGTCCATATGTCTGGGACAACAAAGACCAAAAGCCTTCCCTACCGATCCAGTGGCGTCCAGAATGCGAATGACCTTCGCCCACATTGGTATATTTGAGTATGTCTCGGTATTTCCGACAATGTACATGCCATGTTGCGCGCGACTAAGTAGAACATTGATGCGATTCGGGGTCCTAAGAAATCCCACTTCCCTCTTCTTGTTGCTTCGTACCAGAGAGACGATAACAATATGACTTTCTTCGCCTTGAAAATTATCCACAGTTGCAATTCAAAGCATCTCGCTCAGTTTCTTCTTCTCCAAAGGCGTGCTTCTGTTCTCTATTGTCTGAGACTCTTCGGCTGCGGATACATCTTCATAGTGGTCGAACCCATCTTGGGTAAGCTTCTCTTCATCGCGTTCACTCAGGACAACCTCAAAGTCGCTCCGCATTTTTGCTCGTAGCTTTTGCAGTTGTCCGGTATAAGGTGTGAGGACCGCGATTTGACTGCTGCTATATACCCCCTGGCGAACAATGTGGCGAACCAGCGCATGTATCATGTCAACCTCCCAGTCATTGCTTCGCGACTTCTGATGCCGATCTGCGCTAGGTTGCTCCTCCATGTTCGTGTGATCAAGCCAGAAAACGTTTTCTCTCATCCCTACAACATCGGGAAAAGTTTTAGTTGTCCCATGGTCAATCAGGCGCGGATATAAAGTTGACTGAATCAAAGTTGAAACTTCAGGGCGCATTCGCCGTTGAACGTTTAACTGGGCCACTGGAAACGCCGGTCTACCTGTCTCTCCCATTGAAAGACGTTCAAACTGACTGCGGTCAAGCTGATAAGGATTGCCTCGTTTGCTTTCAATTGATAGACCATGATTGTTGATCTGCGGGCGCAGCTGTTGGTGGTCCCCAATTTGAATGAAATGTTCAACATAGGGAAGCATCGCGGATATCATATGAGGTTCCATAACTTCCCCAGCTTCTTCGCAGATTATGATCTTGGAATGCACACGCTGGAGAACTGAAATACCTCTGGCCAAGCCCGTAGTGGTGACTCCAATGACATCTGCAGTCTGGAGAACTCTTCTATTAATCTCCCCGTGTATGTTTTCTTGTTGTTCGCGGATTTCGTGACTGTGCTTGATCAACTCAAAAAGCTCGTCTGTTTTCTCTTCATGAATTTCTTCTACCCAAGATTCCACCAGTCGATAGCGTTCAGCCTTCGAGAGGCTATGGACGTTTTGCCTGGCTTTGAGGTGAAGCTGAGAGATGTTGCCGCCAATACCTTCTACGTGAGATGGCAAGTCAGATCGTCTGCCTAGCTTTGCCTGGAGCTAAACTTGAAAGGGTTCTTTGCCGACAGTCTCAAAGCCATCCTCATCAAATCGAGAAAATTGAGTGAAGATGCGTGGATGTCTTCTCTCTATATGATGCTTCAGATTTACCCATTCTGGCTTCTTCTTGGTCGCATGTAATAATCCCAAAAGAGAGTTAATCTGCTGCTGGTCTTCGTCAAGCCGTCTGTAAGATTGCGCAAGGAGGTAACCCTCGGACTTTGTTTTGGCCTCTCCTTGAGCCACAACGCGTAAATTTTTGCCCTCCAGCAAGCTCGACTTACTTTGCCCTCCAATGCGAATGATTTTATCAATACCAATTTCAATGAGATGTTCAAGAAATTGATCTAATGCATGATTTGTGTAACATCTGCAGCAGGTCAATTACTGAACACATAAGATCAGAGGCTGAACTCACACAACAACCACAGGTCCTAGGTCTGCCTTTGCTTTACAAGCTAAAATAACACTCATCAGTTTGACGCCGAGATAGGTCTTTCCAGTTCCTGGTGGACCTTGGAGCAAGGCAAATTCACGAGTGAGCGCCGCGATAAGTGCTTCGCACTGGGCACGATCAAGTGATGTTCGTTCCTCTATCTCGCTCAGTACACCTGCACTGTTAGCTTCATATCCATCCTCAGGGCTGTAAGATAGCCCACTCCCTAAACCGGCTGGTTCCAAGATAGAGTCTAGCGAAAATGAAAATCGGTGCGTCCTGGCGTAGAGTGGAGGAGGGATATTCGTAGCTTTAGCGGACTTATGAGTTTGTCGGTTTGGTAAAATCCACTGTTGGAACGGCAAGCGGCCGGAGCGATACATGGTCTGAAGGTTCTCCAGGATAGGAACAAATGTGGCGAGCAATATTCCAGGAAAGTCAATTAAAGCTCCCCGTGTACCCTGGCAGCTGAATTTGATCATAGTCTCCAAGTCCGATTGACTGCGCGTGGCAAGCTTTGTAACAATAGTCGATTTCCAATCATCAGAAGTTAAGCTACGGTCCTTCTTAGCGTTGGTGCATTTCTTGCTCACTGTCAAAAACAGCAGGGAGGTCCTGTTGCCTATCGACGAAACAAAACACAGCAAAGCACCTTCTTCAAGGCGTGAAGAATTATCCCACCATTCACACCTTTGGGATGCCGTCTTCTTCAGAAGCGCCTGGATTTGGCTGAAAGAAACATGAGCTTCGAAATCTCTATTTTCGTTTGAGACATGGGCAAGGTAGGCATTAGGATAAGCATACGCCCGCATATCCCCAAGATTCAGCTTCCAAGATTCAAGCAGCTTTGGGTCATCAGTGATGGAGTGGATCAACCCTGCGAGAGCCACCTTCAGCTCGCCGAAGATGTCATGATGAAGCAAGCGGAATTGTGTATCAAGATGACGTGCAACTGGGTCATTGAGAAAGTGTGGTTGATCAAGATCGGTTGTGGGTAAAAACTCTGGCTCATCGCTTCGAATCTCATCTTCAGTGGGAAGAATCTTGATTTTTGTGATGTCTCCATGATCATTGTCGTGTTTTCCTCCTGGCACGATGACTTGTCGAGGATATGTATACTTGAGGATAGTGGTCGAGACCCCATCCACTGTGGGTGCTGGTACGCTCGGGAGCAGGCCATTTACACGTGCTATGATGGCTCGGATCTCTCTACTCTGATTGAGAATTATATGATGAACACGGTCTGCCTTGCCAATCCCCGTTGTGTCTGCGGTGTTTTCCACGAAGTTAATGAGATCTGGAAGCCCCTCGTGGAAGGCAGCTCGTTGCTCCCTCTTCAAAATCTCTCGTAACAGTATCAGCGTCGCAGCAAGTGCAGTTTCCACAAAATCTTTTGATATCTCAGCGTTACCGTACGCATTAGCCAAGTTTGTGCAAAGACGCGTCAGGAAAGGAATGACTCTGGAGCCGTTGGTGCCACTGATAAAACTGTAAAGGTTTCCGACGAATGTATCCACGGATAGACAATCTAACATGGCTGAATGCGTGAAAACAGAAAGAAAGGGTTGCGCAAGTGTAACGAAGGTAGTTTGCCCATGATCGTTAGAGCTCATGCTCAAGAGAGAATCCATGTGATCGCGACCATGATTCTCCTCCGAATCAAGATCTCGCGGGACCATTTGTTTCCAATTTCTGTCTCCTTCATCCAAAATCTTGAGCGCACCCTGCCATATCATTCCAATCGTGTGCAGGTCATTTGGCATAGGAGGTCTCTTGATGAGCCTCTTCCACCCATGGTAGTCCTCTCTATCTCTACATTGTTCCGGGGTGTCTGCCAAACCTCCAGTGGAACTGCTGCTGCTGGTGTTGGCGGTATCGTGGGAAAAGGAACAGTTATCGCCATATAGACAATGCTTTCCATGCTCGATGAATCGACAGAGCCGGGTTCGGCCTCGATGAAGATTGCCTCCTTCGCCTCTTGTGTTCCGTCTTTCTCCTCGACCGGTTGTGCTGCCTCTTGCACCGAAATTCCCCCCTCTCTGTCTGTTTTGCCCGCGTCCACTTTCAGTTCCACGTCCCCAACCACGTCCACCAGCCCCACTTCTAGAACGTGACCCTCTCCATCTGTCTCCAGAATCAGCCATCACCGCGAAATTTAATCAACGTATATCAAAGATTCAAAATTTGGGTCGGATGTAATCATGTATTCTCAATATTGTCAGAGTAAAAAGAGAAAGAAACCGAGTCACAAAAAGCTCGCAACACCCGTTTGACGCTCCCATTAATTTCCAGATTTTCACCCAGCAACTGCAAACGACAAAATCTATGCACAATCTATAATTCGTTGAATCCACGGGTTGTAGCATGATTACGGGTTTGATGAGTCTCAAACGGTCAAATGATTGGGCTTGTGGTTAGTTCACATGGAGACCTTTTTTGGTCATTAACACCATCGCGGTCTCTTGCCGCCAACAACCTCTAGTTCCATATCAATATACTTCTACTGGGCACTGTTGATGGATACTCGCAGACCACAGGCTCGCTCATGTTCTGGTTATCGTGGGCGCGAGGAAGCCTGATGTCGCGTTACACGGAAGGCTGCTTGGCATGTAAATGATTCGAAATCACTCCGAAACTATGTGAATCCCAAGAAGCTTTATGATTTTACAAGTAAGTTTTAAAGGAGATCCTAGAAATTACCAAAAAAAAAAAAAAAGTAATCTGATGTTTCATTCATAAAACTCGTAGAGAGCATGTAAAAACGACAAACAAGCGATCGGCAGTTATCCAACATCTTGTAATGATGTAGCCTATCATTCTCTGGGTAACATATGAGCCTGTTCCCTCATGTTGGTAAGGCCAATTCCGAGAATTAATTGAAACGCGGGACCAACAAACTGCTGAATTCAAAAATATAAGAACTACAACCTCGATCTGCTTTCTGTCGTGACCGATTATCATCTTCCCTCCGCGAGCTTAGACATTAGTCTGGATAGGACGTTATTTCCATGATTTTGGGACCCAAATTCTTCCAAATCTCAGAGCTTAACATGTTTTCCGACACACACTTCAAGGACTTGCTAGTTTGGCCCAATTTGTTGGTCATTTTTGTCTTGTGGCTTGCAAGTCTTGTATTCTATCGCGTGTTTCTCCACCCACTTGCCAACTTTCCAGGCCCAAAGTTGGCTGCTGTTACCAGATATTACGAAGCGTATTTTGATGTCATCCAGAATGGCCAGTATACATTTAAAATCGCAGAAATGCACAAGAAATACGGTAGATACTTGCTCATGAATCTGCACGTTCGGAAGCGCTCGATCTAACATGCCATATTACAGGTCCAATCGTTCGAATCAGTCCTTACGAGCTACATGTCATCGATCCAGCGTTTTTCGAAAAACTGTATCGTCAGGAAGGACGGTGGAATAAATATGCCTGGTCATTAGATGCTTTCTCAGGCAAGGGCGCAATGATATGTTCCACTGATCACGATATTCACAAAACCCGTCGGCAACCACTGAATTCCTTTCTCTCAAAAGCGAAAGTTGCCAGCCAACAAGTACTAATTCGCCAAAATGTCGAGAAGCTTTGCGACAGAATCACATTGTTCATCGACTCTGGCGACACCATCATTCTAGGCGCTGCAACAAGCGCATTTGCGCGAGACGTCGCTACTGAATATATCATTGGACGAAATTATAATAGTCTTGATCTTGAGGATTTCAACGTTGGTATGACGGTTTTGCTTCAAGGTTCTGGTCGTATTTGGCGCATCACCAAGCACATAACATGGTTTGGTCCCACCATGAAATCGATGCCAGTAGATTGGGTGATCAAGGTCGCAGACGCAGGCATGAAAGCGTTTTTCGCGTATCTGAAAGTAAGTCAAGATATGTGAATCCTCTTACATGCTAAGATATCCTCGGTAGGAAACGACCAAAGACACGAAGGAACTCCTAGCGCAAGCGACATCGTCAACTCCTGATCAAAAGCATCAGCGCACTATTGTTAATGAGATTATGAATTCCAACCTACCGCCCGTCGAGAAATCCTTTGATCGTGTCTTTGACGAAGTAGTTACCGTGACGGGTGCTGGATTTGAAACTATTGCGAACGCTCTACGGTTGATCTTTTATCATGTTTTCAGCAACGATGAGATTCTCCGGACGCTTCGAGTCGAGCTCAGATCTGCAACGAAGCGTTCTTCCAGTGATGAGATAGATCTCAAAACACTAGAACAGCTTCCTTATCTCACATCAGTCATCATGGAAGGCTTGCGTCTCAGCCCAGCAATCGCTACGCGAAGTGCACGTATCGCACCCGATAGAGAGTTGATATATGGCAGATGGCGTATACCTGCGGGAACGCCGGTGGGCATGACGACTCTGCTGATGCATACCGATGAGAAACTCTATCCAGATCCAATGTGTTTCAATCCTGAAAGATGGATGGATTTTGATGATCGAAAGAAAGCGGAGAAGACGTTTGCACCATTTACCAAAGGCACTCGAATCTGTATTGGAATGCAGTGAGTTTTCCCTTTGAAGTTTGCGTCAAGCACAAATGTTATATTCTTGCTAATATCTGAAATGCAGTCTTGCCTGGGCCGAGATTTATCTGGTGCTTTCCACTCTCGTGCAACGTTTCGATTTTGATTTCAAAGACGTAAGCGGCAAAGATTTCGAGTGTAACAGTGACCAGTTCATTATTGGAACCCCTTCGAATGGTGTGCTAAACGCTACTGTTACTTCTGCAGAAATATCATAATTTCTCGACGCGTCTCTTCCTATTTTCATTGATGAATTCTTTTGCTTCGTGTAGCAGGTCTGAAGTGGCGGTTTGAAATCAAATAGCTTCGATAAAGTATTGAGGGATAACTTGCTATATCGTTGCTTTTGCAAGTCATTGGAATGTTATCATCCGTCTTCAACTCAGTACATTTTGACCAGCTGTTGTCAAGTATGCTAGAGCGTCCCTTAGTTTCAACCTAGAACTATGGGGTTACGGAGTATAATAATGCTCTAAATTCTTTGAGAAAAAATTCCCGAAAGCCACTTTCCGTCAGATATAATTGTTCCTTATCAGCTTCTGCCCTACCTCGTAGGCTGTGTAAAGTCGAGATGTCACGATCCAGCAAATATCTTTTTCTAGGAAGTTTCGTAGGCTAAACGCCGAAGATTATTAGTGCCTTGTGTCAAGCCAAGATCCTTTAGTGTAGTATGCTTATCCTGCAGATGCGCTAATACTAGCTTCGGTAGATCGCTGGAGACGACATCTCTCGTCCTAGATCGGGAACATCAATAGATCAAACACTACTTGTCGAAGAATCCAAGAATTGAGAGAGCCATGAGAGACTTACTTAGTCTATTAAAAACTTGGGGATCACGATGTTTGGAGGACTCCTGCAATGAAAACCGACGAATTGTGGGGTCTTCGGCCGAAAAGCTGGGCTTTCGGCGGATTGATCACTTCTCTCGGATTCCACTCGTCTGTTATTCTACCTTAATCAAAGTTCATCTGCTTATCTCATACATGAGTTTGATTAGACCGATATCATTAACCTTTACGTCATAGGCCATGTATTTCGACCTCTTTGCGAAGTAGTGTGCCAAGAGAGGCTTCACATTTCGACTTGAAATACATCCGATCGGAGACAGTCCGCATCATGCTCTACTTCCCCAAATTCAATTCTGCCGATGCTCTCATCGAGCATGACAAAAGTCTTGGACGAAATTCGACACGCGTCACTACAGAAGAATGGCACATAAAAGGATGAGGTTCCCGAAACAATTTGAGGAAATAAGTCATCAGCGTTTCACGACATCTCATCTTCCACCATTGGACTACCTTCATAATGGCTTTGAACGCAACTCTATTACTTCTAAATGCGACCATGAGGGCGGTCGTCTGGTCTGGCATCCCATTTAATGTCACGGTCCAAAACGTACCAGTTCCCACGATACAAGCCGCAACCGACGCTCGGGTTCGAATTACTGCAGCAGCGATATGTGGTACGGATATGCATACGTACCACGGAACATATGGAAGTGACTCTGCACCTTGGATAATGGGTCACGAAGCGGTTGGTATCATTGAATCGATTGGTAGCGCGGTACAAAATATTCAAGTTGGAGATCACGTCGTGATTCCTGATAGTTTCGACCTTGGGGAACTCAACATGGCACTAGCAGAGCCGTGGGCAAATGATGGAGCAGCACCTGGACTTGGATTAGACTATGGTGAATTCTACGGATGTCAAGGTACTTTGAGAAGAATTGATTTTTCAAGCAATCTGCTAACTTTGTGCAGCTGAATATATTGTGGTGCCATTCGCAGACCACAGTCTCTGGCACATACCTTCAAATGGTGCAGTCAACACTTCTCGAGAAATCGACTACCTATTTACTTCGGATATATTTGCAACTGGATGGAGTGGTGTCTCCTATTCCGGTTTTGTGCCCGGTGACTCTGTGGCGATTTTTGGTGCTGGTCCTGTTGGTCTACTTGCTGCACATTCTGCTATAATTCGAGGGGCGTCTCGCGTATATGTTGTGGATCATGTCGAACAGCGTTTAGAGTTGGCAGAATCCTTCGGAGCCATACCAATTAACTTCAATGGGACAAATGGAACAGCTGTCGAGCAGATCATGCGTCTCGAACCAGATGGAGTTACAAGAAGTGTTGACTGTGTCGGATATGAAGCTGTCAACAAAATCAACGAGCGCCAAAGCAATTTGATAATCATGGATATGGTAGCTGTCACATCATCTCGTGGCGGTATAAGCAGTGTCGGCGTTTATACACACAATGGAGCCACCGCGGGAACACCATTAGGCAACACAACTACGCCCAACGTCGAATTTCCAATTGTTAACTTTTTTGAAAAGGGGTTGACTTATCGTGCTGGTCCGGTAGATGTTAAATTGAATGCTCCTCAATTAACCCATCTCATCGAGACTGGTGTTGCAAACCCGGCTCTGATCGTGAGCAGTTTCATTGATATTGAACAGGCCCCTGAATATTACCGCCGGTTTTCAGATCACTTGGAGACGAAAATTGTTATTCGTTTCCCTTGAAGGATAAACCAACATTTTGGCAAACTCAGATTAGTCGGATGAGAACAGATGAGGTTCTTCGAGTGTCTTTGTGAGTTGTCATGGTTTAAACGAAGATAAAACATTTTCTCGGGAGTTGAGTGGTAGCGGAAGTTGGAAAACAGCAGATTTAGTTGGAATCTATACCATGTACACGACTATTCAATAAAGTATGTCAGCTTAAATTTTAACATTAATCTGGAACAATACTGAGAAGTTACCGCTGTCGCTAGCTCTTCAGAACATAGAAACACCTACCGGGCGCCAAGCGCATATGTGATTGGAAAGAAATTATACGAGCTCCTGAAAGGCTTTTCTCATTTTCAAAAGGTCATGGCAGAAAAATTTGAAGACCCGAGATGTAGTGAATTCGGGGATTATTGTTCGCTTTGACAGCCAGCCGTCAGCATCCTCAACCTGAACATTGACAACATCTTACTGACTAGGAATACCAAGCATACAAAGCCAACAATCCAGCATCAATACATACGCCCCTGATTCACATCCCAACCTGTAAAACCCGTGTAAACGGCTGGGCAGGCAGATTGGTCAAAGCTTGGACAAAATACCGCCCTGATTCTGGGCTGCAGGCTGAGCATGCACAAAAAGCCATCAATACTTCTTTGTCGAAAGCCATAAAGCATCGAGCGGTACGCTTCTCAGACACGTCAAATAAATTTGTCAATGCTTCCATGGTCAGAGCATTTTACAACCACGTTTTGAGATCCCCAGCAAACACGTTTTGTCGACACACCACATTTTGAAATTCATCTATTCACAATGTCGGCAGTCTCATCTGTCGCTACCCGTCGGCTCGTGCCTGAAAATAAATTATCACCGGCAGTCGAATTATCCAACTCTAAATCATTCTTCCATCGACTACCCAAACGAGCGTTTTTTATTCTTGTCGGAATTCTAATCGTTATTGCCATCGGGTTGGGGGTGGGGTTGGGTGTTGGACTCAGCAATGAATCGAACAGCGAATCGCCTGGCAGTCCTCCCCCAACGGTCCCGCCAAACAACACCACCAACCAGGGAACATTCTGGACGCCAACGGCAGGCACGTCCTGGGATATTGTGTTGCTAAATCCAATACGCTCCTGGTCACGCAATATCAGCATCTACGATATTGATCTGTTTGACAACAACGCATCAGCCATAGCAGACTTGCATGCCCAGGACCACAAAGTCATCTGTTATTTTTCAGCTGGGAGTTACGAGGAATGGCGGTCCGACGCGGGTGACTTCAGCAAGAAGGACTATGCCAACGCTCTTGAGGGCTGGAAAGGAGAATACTGGCTCGATACCAACTCGAACAACGTTCGCAACATCATGAGAAAGCGCATTGCGCTTGCCGCCAGCAAAGGGTGTGACGGAGTCGACCCTGATAACGTGGATGGGTACGATAATAACAGTGGCTTTCACTTAGATCGTTCCAGCGCCGTGGATTACCTGACCTTCTTGGCGTCAGAGTCGCATAGTCACAACATGTCTATTGGTCTGAAGAACTCAGGCTCAATAGTTAATGCAACGATCGACATGATGCAGTGGGCGGTCAACGAGCAATGTGTAGAGTTTGAGGAGTGTGGTGTCTTCCAGCCTTTCATCGCTGCTGGAAAGCCAGTCTTTCACATAGAATATCCAAAGTCAGCCCCAAGTGTTGCACCAGAAATCCGCAGTCAGATCTGCAGTGGCACATCAACGTCGGGCTTTTCAACGCTCATCAAAGAGATGGATTTAGGGGAGTGGGTTGAACATTGTTAGCTAATGAATTCACTTGACAATATCAAATGAAGTCAATTCAAGATTCAATCAAAAAGTCAATCCGACAACTATTTCAGGCAAAAATCTCATTGTTACAAGTCGTTTCTTTGTCTGAAAGAGGAAATGGCGTTTTCAAGATCGCTCCAGGGTCTGATGTACCTGGCCATCCATATGCCGCCAAGCATGCCCCCGCATTGCCAAAAGAATTAATTCCGAGTCCAACTTGTATCAATAGTTTTATTCGAGTCTCATGCTGCCAAATTGGCTGAGGGAAAGAACAATCCCGTCGAAAAAGGAACATCGGGCTGAGACAAAGCGTAGAAAATATGGCAGGGCAAAGAATTTCATGTCTCCCTTCGGTGAGACAAAAATACTTGCTTTTGCCTGCCACCTGTGGCATTCGTAAGCGACAACAACACCAGTTCAGCATGCATGGGAAATCCTGTTGGATCCAAGATTGATATTCACATCAGCCCAACAGCGATGCATGCTGGAGATCCTATCTAGTCTCCGAATATTGACGCCAACTCGTATTAAACCGTCTTGGGCGAGAAATCCACTCTGCCGTGGATGAAAAGTTCACCGCTGGCCGGCTCACACGGTATGCCAACGCGTAAGAGCTTCAATGTCTCAGTCAACCGAGCAGATATCGATGTGAGGCTCAGGAGAATACCGTCTTGACGCGCTCTCATTCCGATCCCGACGCAATCTCCATCCATCCCGAACTATGGACGAGCCATTGTCCAGACCTTTCTTCGGCTAGGGACTAGAATTTCTTTGTTATAATAGAGTATTCCCCATTTCCTGTCTTTCTCACAACTCAGGCAGACTGAGCGTCTTACACTCGTTAACTCGAATCGAATACCGCCGACATCATGAAGCTCTCTTTAATTCTTCTCAATGCATTCATCACTGCCTCTCTTGCCAAAAGCAAGAAGGGTCACAAATCTCATGCCCATGAGAATGTTGCTTTCACGATAGCCATACCTCCGGTTGCTGTTGCTCTTCCACTCGTTAAGGTCACCGTCAATGCAGTCGAGATTATGGTCAACACATCGGCTCCAATCAAAATCGAAGTGCCAAACTCACCCTTGGAACTCTTAGCAGCTGCTCGTGTTGCTGTTGTTTCCTCGAGTAGCAGTACAAAGAAAACTACCACTTCTACTAGCAGCATCAAGACTACGAGCAGTACCAAAACTACGAGTAGTACCAAGACCACTAGCACCAGCAAGACATCAAGCTCGACTATCAAAACAAGCACAACATCAAAACCAACGACGTCTAGCACAAAGACCACCAGCAGTACCAAAACCACTAGCACAAGTAAAACATCAAGCTCGTCTATCAAGACAAGTACCACATCGAAACCAACCACTTCCAGCACAAAGACAACTTCGACAAGTAGCACCAAGCCAACCAGCTCAACGTCAAAATCGACGTCAAGTAGCAGTTCAAGTACGTCTGCACCCAGTTCTTCTGCGAGTTCTTCTGCGAGTTCTTCTGCGTCCAGTTCTTCTGCATCCAGTTCTTCTAAATCCGGATCTTCTACTTCGAGTTCTCCCGCGTCCAGTTCTTCTGAATCCAGTTCTGCTGCATCGAGTTCCCCCGCGTCCACTTCTGAATCCAGTTCATCTACTTCCAGTTCCCCTGCTGTCAGTTCAACGGACTCAAGTTCTTCTGCGTCCAGTACTTCCTCATTTGGATCTTCCTCAATGAGCGAGTCATCGTCCAGTTCCACCGAGTCCACCAGCGCGAGCTCGTCCTTGACTAGCTCTTCAGATATCTCTTCAAGTGCTTCAAGTACCGCGTCTCTGACTAGCTCTTCAGATGTTTCATCAAGTACCTCGTCACTAAGTAGTTCTTCAACAGAAACTTCTTCAAGTAGCTCTAGCACCTCAAGTCCGTCAAGTACCTCCACCACCTCGAGTACCTCAAGCACATCGTCTACCTCAACATCATCCTCGGCAACCGCAACACCATCGTCCCTCGCCAACTCGGTCAGCAGCACCATCCTGATCATCGCCAAAGACCAAGCCTCCGCAAAACAAGCAAGCACCGGCCTCAATGCCTACGGGATCCCATATGAAGTCCTCCTCGTCCCACAAGCCGGTATCGAGCTTCCCGTTCTCAGCAGCACAAACACTACCGGAAATTACGGAGGTATCGTGATCCTTTCCGAGGTCAGTTACAACTATGGAACTGCGGGTGCAGAGAACTACCACAGTGCCTTGACGGATGCTCAATGGCTGCTATTGTACGCATACCAATTGCAATTTGGTATTCGAATGGTCCGCATTGATGTTTATCCATCGCCATCGACGGGAACTACACCGATTGCGGGATGTTGCGCAGATGGACAGGAGCAATTCGTCTCTTTCAGCAATACCAGTGCATTCCCGACTGCTGGACTACGAACGTAAGTCAATTCTTTCTTATTTCGATCTTCGGCTAACAGTCATAGTGGCGCCCAGATGACAACTGCAGGTCAATACCACTACATCGCTTCGATCACTGATGCTTCCATTGCCAGCGCTTTCTTGACCTACGGCGCAACAACCGGAACTTCAGGAACCTATGCAGCTGGTGGAGTTGGAGGTGTCATAAATGTCATCGGTGGCAGACAACAGGTCAGTTGAATCCCAGTTCTCATGAACCATTGCTAACACGAAATAGATGGTTTTCTTCATCACTTTCGGTATCGAATTCAGTGCCACCTCCAACTACCTTCAACATTCGTGGATCAACTGGGTCACTCGTGGAATCTGTATGTCCTTATTCTCACCCCTCTTTTCTCCCACTAACACAAAACAGACGTCGGATTCCGTCGCATCAACCTCAACACCCAAATCGATGACATGTTCCTCGATTCCGACATCTACCTGCCAGCTGGAAACATCTTCCGCCTCGCAGTCGCTGATCTCAACACCCACAAGACCTGGACAACAACCATCAACAACAAGCTCATTGCTGGTGGTAACCTCGGCAGCAAGTATTACATCGAAATTGCGCACAATGGTAATGGAAACATTATCGTAAGTGACATCTAAAGAATCCACGATCTATCAGCTAATTTTTCATAGTCTTCCGATAAATTCGACACCTCAGATCCTCCAAAGTGCGGAATTGGAGCCATTGACTTGGGCGATCAAGCATTCTCCGACACCCCTCTCGAATTCCAAAAGCCTCTCGGCACAGGAACCAGTTTGTGGCCAACGACCCCATCTTTGTATCCATACACAGTGGCATGCTTGAACTTGGATCCTATGAAAGTGTGGTTTGCGACACCAGCCAACAGAGATGCATTCGCTCATATGTCGCACACCTTCACCCACGAAGCCGAGAACAACGCCACATATTCTGATATCTTCAAGGAGATTACCTGGAATCAGGCGTGGTTGACTCAATCTGGATTGGCTTCTGCTGCAATTTTCAGTCCTCATGGTATCGTGCCACCGGCTATCACTGGGTTGCATAATGGCGATTCGATCAAGGCGTGGATGGATAATGGTATCACGAATGTTGTTGGTGATAACAGTCGTCCGGTCTTAAGAAACCAGGTAAGTGTTCCGGACTTTGATTTTGTCATTTCTAACACTCGCAGGCAAATCCCATGTGGCCATACATCACCAACGTCGCCGACAATGGATATGCCGGATTACTAGTCAGTCCCAGATGGCCCACAAACATCTACTATAACGTAAGCTCTCATTCCACTCCCCAAAGACAAACCTGACAAATCCCAGTGCGACACACCCAACTGCACAACCCAAGAATGGATCACCTTCTCCAAAGGCTCCGGCGACTTCCAGAACCTGCTCACCTACGAGAAAGGCGTCACCACCCGCTACCTCTTCGGTCTCTACCACGACGCCTACATGTTCCATCAAGCCAATCTCCGCGTCTCTGACATCCCAGTGAACACCAACATCAACGGCGTCACAGCCAAGATCTCAATCTTCCAAGCGTGGGTCGAGACTATCGTGCAAGAGTTGATCCGAACCGTAACATGGCCTGTCATCACGATCAAGCACGACGATGTAAGTCACATTCCCTCTTGAGTTGAGCTTGACTAATACATCGCAGATGGGAGCACAATTCGGCGCCCGCATGGCCCGCGACGCATGCGCTCCAAAGATGTCGTATCTCATCGACCCAACGACCCAGAAAATCACTGGTGTGTCCGTTGGTGCGAATGGTAATACATGTAACACCAAGATTCCAGTGACCGTGCCTGGTTCAGTCGTTGATACGAAGGGTGCTACGAGCGAGCAGATTGGTACCGATCCGCTTACACTCTGGACCACATTGAATGGCGCGCCGGTGTCGTATACTCTTACGACTCCGGTCAGCTGGTGAGGAGAGCGTGAGATGTAGGGAGGTAGATGTGAAAATATATGGAGTGGTGGGATTTGCGAGTACTTTAGAAAGGAAAAGGCTGGCGTGAACATATCTTATTAATATCAAATTCAAATTATTTTCCAACAATTTCCATGAGCCTCTCCAAATAGCAAACAGAACTTGGATTTTCATGTAAAGAGTCTTACAGAACAATCATGCCCATCTTCGTTGCCAGGGTGGTGTTGAGTTGGCTGGAATGTATCCATGAACCACATTATAGCCGAAGCAGCATGTCTTGAAGTAGGTCAACAAATATGTACCGGATATCATTAACATTATACGTAGCTCTATCTATCTATAAAAACATCATCTACTCATACTTAACCTTAATAGGTGCATCCAACTTCGTTTCAATCGTAATCGTAAGACTCTCCTTCTCAGCATCATGCTTCCATCCTCCCGCAGGACAAGTATACCAAACAACCTCATGAGCATCCGAGCCCTTAGACCAGTAAGCACCTGTTGGAGCTGTATGAACCCCAAGAATAGTGACGTCTTGAAGCGAGTCACATCCTGCTTGGTATGAAAAGTTGCCATCAATGGTAAGCATTTTCTCGTGATATGTCATCTTAATCTCAGAAGTCTCATGTTGAACAATGCTGTCACCGTCGTCGAGATAGAGCTCGCCTGCTGCTTCTCCAGCTGCAGTTGGTGCGACGATGAAAGAAAATGGCTTGGTCCGTACATCTGTGGTGGTGTAACCAGACTCACTGCGCATTGGAATAACCGCGCCACTCTTTATGTGAAGAGGAATAGAGGTGAAGTCGATATCGTTGAGAGTCAACATCGCACCAGTACCTTGAACGGGCGCATAGGTGTAGAAATCGTAGAATAGGTCGTTGGGTAGATAGATATCAACCGATGTAGAGTTCTCCTCGGTGACGGGTGAGACAAGAATGTGTTCACCATAAAAGAATTGGAGCTCAACGGCAAACGTCTTTTCATCCTCGGGATAGGTGAAAAACATCGGGTTGATCAGAGGGGTTCCGATGGTAGACTGCTTGTACAAAGCAGTATAGATATAATCAAGCAATCTGTATCGAATGCTCATAGTCTTACGAGCAGCCTCTGCAACTGTATCCCAGAGGTAGAATTCTTGAGGAATAGAGCTGTCACCATTATGGTTGCGGAAGAAAGGATTGAAACAACCCAAAGTTGCCCATCTATTGCTGTTAGCTTGGAATAATGTTGATGCAAAATCACATACCTTGCGCAAAGAGTTTCGGTGGTGTTAGCACCAAACCCACAGACATCACTACCAACCATTGGCATTTGATAAATGGCTGCAAAATCGAGCATTCCTTGAATCGATTGGCGATACAACTCCCAGGTGGACAAGTTGTCTCCAAGCCATTTACCAACAGCCTTTCCACTGCCCGCGAAAGTAGATCGAGTGATGACCATTGGTCGTCTACCCGGACGACGAGCCTCAAGTGCATTGCGGGAAAATTCGCTCATCTGAGCACCATAGATATTGTGGACATCGAGCTCTACATGGCCATCGTAATGAATGATATCGGTATCCAAGGTGAAGTTTGATAATCCTCCGTATGCCTCAACAGTGTTCTCGTTGTTGATCTGATATGGAGGAGCAAGAAGATTTCTGTTTGGGTACCCTATTACCTGACTCGCTTGACGATTTTCGAGCATATTGGCTTCTAGTGGTGTCCGCTTGGATGATCGCTTCTCGTTAGGGGTGGCAGGAGGTGCAAGCCAAGGTGGGGCATAGCTGTAATCATCTGGTGCGTAAGGCGAGTTTGGATCCGGTTGGAACGCTTGAGGGAATCCTGGAATAGGACGGGGCTGAGATCTCAGAGCAGGTCGACGTGGTGGGAATCCACGTTCCTCGGCACTATCCTGAGGATTGTCTCCAAAATAGTTGAAGTTAGCCGCTTCGTTCATGTCAATCCAAAGAGCGTCAATGTCCATTCCTGTCTCGGCGTTGAAGAACTCGAGGAACTCATTGTTCCAGTAAGATTGTGTGTCTGGGTGGAACCAATCAGGGAAGGCAGTGACACCTGTTTGAATTAGCTTGATCGCTTCGTATATGTGAGTATCTTGAAAAGCTTACCTGGCCAGACAACTCCTTGATAATCCGCACCATTCTTCTGCAGCAAAATTCCTTGCTCTTGAGCTCGGAGAAATGTCTGGTATGGTAGATCGTTCTCACGCTTAGTTTGGAAAGCCATGGCGGGGTCAACCATGACGATATAATGCTGGTTGTGTGCGTGTAGGTAATCGACGTACTCACGGACGCGTGCAATAGGGAATCGATCAGGATCAGTGGTCATGATGTATCTCTCGTACATGTAGTCGATATCAGTCCACATTGTCTCCAAAGGAATATCGGCTTTCGAGTAGTTGGCGATGACTTCTGCGATAGCAAAGTAATCTCTGTATCCATATCGGCATTGGTGGAATCCGAAACCCCAGTATGGCATCATGGCGGCTTTACCACTCACCTCGCTGTAGTGCTCGGCGACTTGCTTTGGCGACGGTCCATCGATGAAGTAGAAATCAAGAATACCAGACATCAAATTATATTCGAGGTACTGGCCATCCGTCTGTGTTCGGTTGATCTTGACATCCATACCGGATGACGAGAGTAAGAAAACACCATGGGTTCCGCTGCTACCGCGATGATCAAAGTAGATTGGGTGGTTTCCGTACAAGTTAGTTCCTGCAGGAATTCCATAAGAATCACGGGACCAAAGCGTTCTGGTGTAATCGGTGGTGTTTAGACGAAGACTGTCGGAGTGCTCGCCAAGTCCATAGATGTTGGGGTTCTCTGGGAGAGAAGTTCGAACTCTCAAGTACTGATCTTCAAAAATCAATGACGCTGCGGAAGTATCAAACAGCACTTCGCCAGACGACTTGCGAGTCACCTTGAAGCTGAATGGCGAATCGACATGGGAGAACTCAAGTGCAGAGTCTGCTGCAGAGACAGATGCATTTGAGTCTGGGGTTGGAAAGACGCTCTGAGGAACGCGGTATGCGATGTTTGCAGCGTCTTCGATCTTGACGTGAAGTCGGGAGTCTAGACAAGTTAATGCTATTCATAAATATACAAGTAGTGACTTACCAGAATCATAATTGACAGTAAGCTTCAAGTTTTGGATATCATTTCCATAGACATTGCACGCAGCGCCAGCAAGTGTTAAATCCGCGGTAAGCCCTGTTGCAGTTTGTACAACACCTGATGCGGAATAGCCAGGGCAGCTATCGCTAGTGGCCTGTCTACGTGAGAGGGCCGCACCGCTGACAGTGCTTGCCCACGCAAGTCCAGTCACAAATTTTTGAAGCATTTTGGAAATGTTCGATTGACTGAAATTGCCCATCACCATGTCGAAAGCACCAGGTATTTGTACTTCCCCAGCTAATCCATCCATCGTATCCATACTGCTATTCCCCGCGCCTTGGCTGCTAGGTGATACTTCGGTGGATTTTGGTCCGCCAAGAATGCACAGCAGAAGTATAATGATGTCCACAAACAGGTAGGGAAGATGCAAGATCAGATTGCGCTCAATTGTCGTTTGTCATAATACATGAACGAGCAGAACGAGAATCACGGGATGGAGTGTTATTGGACAATTGCTCTCGATCGTGAAATGTACCTGAAGCTAAGTGTAACTTACACAAATTCTCTCCGGTGACTTTTGAAATTTCTTGATGATCGCTCTTGGCATGACGACCTTCGCGGGGAGTGCGCGCAACTTGGCAAGTCCTGTTGGGATTTTGCGGGGTTGAGGGGAAATGCAGCAATCAGAACACACAATTGGCGACCCCAAATCGCTTGGCCGCTTGACAGTCGCGAGGGGAGGCGGGAGAAGCACCAATTATGGGGAATAATTGCGGAGAAATGCAAGAAATAGTCGCTCAGTTAGTCGGCACAATCCTCGCAGTAATAAACGGTGATATAAACGGGCCGTGAAGAGGTGGTGAAGATGCTCGCAGAATGAAGAAGATTAAGAAGTACAAGGCTCAAAGCCAACGGAGTAGGATGATTGATGTAACTGCGCACATCGAGGTAGTGGCAGAATAAGAGAAACAACCGACAGCAAAGTAGCAGACAATGATTGAAAGAGTGAGAGAACCCTCGTAAACAATAACATGTTGGCCAGGCAATTCGTAACTTGCCCGATGGGCTGAGCTAAATCGACGTAGGAAATGAATCTGACCAACCCCGCTCAGAATAGGACCGAAAGGTGTCCGAGCTAGTTATGTCAGTTCTTTCTAGCTTACCTTTCTCCATGATTTAACATCTGCCAAGTCGTTCAATGAAACTTGTTCTGAACAGAGAGGCTGGCAAGCCACCAACAGTAAACGAAATGTACGGTCCAGAGACAACATCACCTTGAGTGCAAGTTCAAGAGTTGATCGTTGGAAGCACCAAACCCCGGTAGTAGCCACGAACGACTTGAAGGGGTGGAACTTCAAGAATTACGACAATTGCTGTGTGTCGTCTCGAGGTCTTTGTATATATACCATGGGCCTTCCCCAGTTCATGAAGCTCGACTTGCAGGAAGTTGAGTCGGTGCCTTCCGAAGGGCTTAAGCAATCCAGCCATCTCGTCTCACGATCAAGTTGAACAATATAATGCTTCTGGTAGCTCGGGAGGCATAGGCTTTGGCAAATCTGCCATGGTTGGTTTCACGGATTATCCTTTGGTATCTTTCCAGATGCAGTGGCTTATGTTGTGGGCTCCTTCCCTCCAGGTATTCTACGTTTTGTTTCGGGCGTACAAGCACGCGCCACTTGCACAAGATATGCCTCCCCTTCCATAGACGGATACGACAATGTGCTGGTAATCCTCGTTCTCCAAAACCATTCAAAACCTCGAAATTTCTAACAGTGTCGCAATCACATGTGATGGTGCATTGGTTGATTGAAGCGGCGTTACTCAGGATGATTTCCTAGGCTTTGATTAGAAAAAGATGATGGAAATTGGAACAAGAGGAAGGAAGGCTGTTACCAACGTAATGTGGCATCTGAAGCAACGGCTGGATTTACGCATCAGCTCCATAGAGACTTCCAACGAGGCAGCAAGGTATCCCCATCCCAACCGCCTCCTTCCTTACGCTGACTCCAACTTCAGTCCATGTCACCTCCAACATGGAGCGTTGTGTCGTTAGTGCTCCAACATCATCCATGATGCCTTTCCGGGCAATGCTACTTCGTTCGAAGGCACGGTTCGTGACACGAGCCTATTTCAGCTGTGTAGACATTTCGGAGCACGTTCCTGATCGTACATGTTCTAAATTGTCGGGTATATGCTATGAGGCAGTGTCGATGTGGCCATCCACGGTTGTGGAAATAGATTGCAAAATGTTGGAGATGGGACTGTTTCAATCTGGCCCAGCACTTCAGGCTGGGCCTTTCGGGTGGGTCGGTTTACGGCACGTGATGCTGGTTTCCTTCCGACTTGTTGACCATCTCATCCTTCTCGCCTTCCAGAATCCCTCAACTCAAGGTGATCCATCGCTGCTTCATTTGCCTTGTTTTCAAAAACAGCATCACTAACTCAACGGCTGCTTGAAGCGAAGTAGACCTTACTTGTGTCGGTACGCATGTTGGCGGCAAAGTCAGGTACAACCCATCGTAAATCTGGTGGCGTAAGGGGAGCGGCCAGCTTAGGAATGGCACCGCGATGTGCAGCTGTGAGTTGCATCCCAATTGCTGGTCAATATCTTTCTTTTTAACGTCTCTTTTGCGAATCGGAAATTTTTTGATTCCATTGACAAGTCCCTCATCAAAACTTCAAAGCTTCTTTCTATCATTTCACATCTTCTCGTAGTGCGGCAAAGCCGGGTGTTATAACTCTTATACGGGCCAAGCAATCCGGTTATCGCATTTTGCCGGGATTTCTACCATGATGGAGTTTGTTTCGCGAATCCTTCTCCACCTTCAAGGTAAATTTCCTTTTCCAGCATGGGGGGCTTCTTTCCGAGGCTCTGGTCGTAACCTCTCCAGTCGGATTATACACGACAAGATGGGTCTAGTGGACGCCATGAAGTTGGCGGGCGACAAATTTCAATAAGATAAATGTTTGTTCGGGTTGTTGCATTTCCTTCTTTTGGCATAAAGATCGTGGTATGCTCGGAAATCAGATCATATCCGTTCATCTCTATCTGCATCTTTTTTGTTTTGACATTTTACACACCTCATCATTCCATGTCTCTTTCAATTCTTACCGCGGTCGTCCTAGGACTCGGGCTTCCAGCTCTGGCATTGCCGTCTACTCAATACCCAAATATAGCAACTCGTCTCAATACGACAAACGCATACACTGTTCCAGCTCATGATAAAAACCTGACTGCGCGAAATGAAGCAATCCAGGTCAAGAGAGAGACGTTTTTGTATGGTCCCTCGATAGCGGGAAACACTTCATTTTGGCCAACTGGGTCTCTTGGAAACTCGACAGTCCAATCTCAATTCGCATCACTTGTAGCAGATGGAAATTCGCAAGTGGCCGCGGTGAAAAATGATTCTGCTACAGCAGCTCAAGCTGTGATAGCAGTAAGTCAAAATTTTATGTCTTCTGGATTTCCATTGCTAAACATGACAGGCTGGTGGTATCACCAAACTTTCAGATTTTGATCGGTTGTATGATGGACAGTGGAAAAATGCGATTCCTGATGGTCTTGTTTCAGGAATTCTATCAAACTACACGGACGACCTTTTATTCTCTATGGAGAGACTTTCGCTCAATCCTTACTCAATAAAACGTCTGAATCCTACTTCAGACAAGCTTGCCTTTGACATCGACGAGTCCATTGCTTTAAGTATCACTGGAATGACTACCCAATCTCTTTTGGCTTCCGGCTCGCTATTCTACATTGATCAAAGGTTTCAAGCTGATCTGGAAAGCACTGGTAGATATGCAGCTGCGTGCGATGCCTTTTTCTACATTTCTTCAGATACAGGAGACTTCCTACCTCTTGCCGTAAGAACAAATGTTGGCGAGAACCTGATCTACACGCCTTTGGACCTACCAAACGACTGGCTTCTAGCCAAAATCATGTTCAATCTCAATGATTTCTGGCACTCGCAGTTTTATCATTTTGCTGGTACGCATATGGTAGCCGAAATCGTTTATGAAGCAGCATACCGAACACTGAGTGATAGTCATCCTGTCTTGGCTTTACTTAACAGATGTAAGTTCTTGGCCTTTAGCTTCTTGTCTTCAACTGACTTATTTCACAGTAACACCTCAATTGTTTTCCTACCGTCAAGCAGCTCTTGCGACATTAATCAATAAAGGAGGTTACGTCGACAATTTATTCGCTTACACAGGTGCAGCCGCCGCTGTGACGACCACAATTTTATACAACGAAATGGGAGCCGGCAATTTCCAAGCCAACTACTTCCTTCGCAATCTCGAGAACCGCGGGTTGCTTAACAGCTCATTCGGACCCGAACTAAAATCCTTCCCATTCTACGAAGACGCATCTGCAATCCACACCAGCATCACAAAATTCGTCAGCACATTCGTCGACTCGTACTACCCCACCACCACCTCCTTCGAATCCGACAACGAACTCCAATCCTGGATTTCCGAAGCAATCCCCGCCCAGATCCTCGACTTCCCAACCTCAATGACCCGTCAAACATTAATAGAAATCATAACGCACATCGCCTTCCTCGGCAGCGCAGCCCACCAAACCCTCAACACAAACGACGTCGCCGAAGCAATGGCCGTCCTCCCCTTCCACCCGGTATCCCTCTACGCGCCGCCTCCCACCTCCAAAGGCGTGACGGACCTCATCCCCTTCCTCCCGGGTGTCGCCGCATCCATTGGGCAAATCTCCGTCACAGCGCTGTTCTCGCGTCCGACATTTCTGCATTCAGAGAGGAGCCTTACGCAGATGTTTAATAGCGTCGAGATGCTTGCGCGGATGCCGCCGGGGATTAAAGAGGCGGCGGAGACGTTTACGGGGGAGATGATGGTGCAGAGTGGTGTTGTGAGCTCGAGGGGTTTTGATGAGAGGGGGTTGTGTCAGGGGATGCCGTTTAAGTGGAAGGCGTTGGATCCGCAGAGGGCGCCTTATTATTTTACGATTTAAGGTGATGTTCTGTAATTGAGAAAAGTGGAGATTAAAATTCAATTTATATATTCAAAACGTTGGGTCTACAGGTTTGTGATAGGACGAGTGTAGAATAACGATCTAAACTGCCAATCGTGCTAGTGATTAACATACCCTTAAAATCACCCCATTATCTTTTTATTTAGAGTCCTTACCCACAATGTCATCCATTAATCCGGTTACTGTCTAAAACATTTGTCAAAAATGCGTAGTGTCGAGCCTTATAATTCGTGACAGGTTTATAAACTCGATGTGAGGGATCTACTATATACTTAAGATAGGAATATTTAGACATCTTGTACTATAATAGTAAATAACGATTTCTCGAATATAAATAAGTTTCTCATTTTTAGCCTTTATATAGATCTATATCTAAATTACTGTTTCTTCTTAGTGGACTATTTCTAGCGTATTTTTTTGGTCGTGCTTGTTTCGGTCTTACTTTTTTTTGGAGGCATATTTTTTTGTCGTGGTTTTTAAATACAGGATATTTTTCTCACACCTTCTTTATACTATACGGCCAGGTAATATCCAGAGTCCTAATTTAATTTTTAATCTTAGATAAATAAAACCTATATTATCTTAAAGATAACACTTCCTTTCTCAAGTCGAGAATCGGATACTCGTTCGACACCAGATGTTCCCCATATAATACTCAATTCTACAATGGCCCCAATTATGCGCCCAAAGAAAATCTCTAATTGTATCGAACCACCGACCAGTGTTGAAACCGCCAACGCCATTCGCTACCCTCCAAAGTCCCCCGAATTAACTCCTGCAATTAACACGCGTCTAAACATGCGACAACGGCGTCCCATCAACGTTCTTATACGAACTTATAAGCTCCCCCGGATGCACCAAATTGAAGACCAGCATAACACCCAGCATGGGCGCAGCATCAAAGATATAAATAAAAAACTCCGTCGTCATCAACACCCCATTATGACCGCCCTGGAACTCCAAGATGCGGAAGACGGAACGGATGAAGATGAGCGCGCTGGTGACGTACAAGCCGTACATGTATTTTTTCCAGGGCGCGTTGGATGATTCGGTGGTGGGGGAGGTGGAGAGGCGTTTGTGGAAGACGGCGCTGGTGCCGATGAAGATTCCGAACATGATTACTTGGATGGCGAGACCGATGAGGACGATTACTTTGCCGGTGTTTTGGGAGCTGGCTTTGGACATCATGGCACCGCCTGGAGTTGTGTGAGTATGATGTGGTCAATTTGTAAGATTTAACGTACCTCCAGATTGGACGATGAAGGAGAAGATGTCACCAATGACGAATATCTTTGTCAACTTGGTTCGAGCGATTGGTGCGAGGTGCTCTCCTCGGGTATGCAATATAATTCGACCGAGTGTCATGTAGATACTTGCTGCGAAGAGAGTAGGACTGAGGAGTAGTAATAGCGTTTGCCAAATGTAAATTCCCATGCTGGTCAGATTTGAGTGTGCTGCGATACGTCCGATATATCCTCCAACCTCAACTAAGTTTGGTCAGCAAGAGTGAATTTCAACTTCAATATATAAACTCACAGTATCCACCTATGATGAACGCTATCATGAATTTCGAGCGCAGCCTGTATGCTTGCCAAGTGTGATAGAATGAAGTAATGGCGAACAAAACCGCAAAAGTAGCAGCGGCAGGAATTGATGGCGGACCACTTTCATGAAAATTAATAACTATGCCCAGAGAGAGCGTCAGTGAACTTACTGCCAGAGACTGAACTTTTCCTCCGCCATTGCAAATTTTAAGTGTGTTGGAAGTTAAAAAGGAATGTGGAATAAAGTGTAACGAGAGTGGTATGTGGAGAACGACGAGAAGACTACAATCAAACACAAAAAGCAGAGGATACAATATAGAAATAGAGAGTGACTTGAAGGTACATGCACAAAATACAAGAGGAAGTCCCCTCTATGTATAATCGATCAAAATAGGGACGGGGAAAGGGGCATATCCGGCTCCGATGCGAATAACCTCCTACTCATTGTGATTGGAGACAACTGCGCCCCAAATCTACGAACACCGAACCGGCTTTATCTATAGATTAGGAGACGAGCTCGATGGATACATATCCACATTCCGCCCTCCACGACCAATACGAAGGCCGCGCACACGCTGCCTTCGTGGAATGAGCACGCAGGATCGAACACCGAAGATAAATAAAGCTTGTCAAATCTTAAACTCGGACCCGACCTGGTGCCTGATCGTATACGTACTTAGATAGCCAATCAGCTATTGTTTGATACGTTAAGCATATGTCACTGCCTGGGTGATTGTAACAGGGTTGGTATGGTTGGCCAATAGAGGAGGTTAATGAAACGAAGTGAAGAAATTAACATTAAGCGAAGAGCCTCTGCAACCGAGCGTCTGGCTTTGAGAAGTCGGCAAAGACGAAGATGGGATCCGGAAAGGTCTAGGCTATCAGTACTTTGACCGTGGGCAGGAGACTTCGAGTTTGATCCAAAATCTCGAGCTCGTTCAAGAGTAAAATGTCATGACTGAATCCGCTGACAGAGAGGAGAATGTCAAAGGTCGAGTTCCTCTCAAATAGTTAAGTGACGAGTAAAGGCTATATCCCACGGTGAAAGCAGCAGTCGATTTCCATGCCAGATGTATGGTGATAGGGTGTATTTTTGACGAGATTTATGTCGATGCGGATGTTGAAAAGGGGTTTGGAATAGGGGACCGGTAGGAACTCGGGGCAGGCAAGCCGAAGCGGGCCGAGACTCTTTCGACATCCAAGCACGTGAGCACGAGGCTGCCAGCTTCGACTACTTCAAACTGCCCCTCTTCTGGCAGAAAATACCAGATACATCAACCACACCATCTCGAAATGGCGGACGACGAATTAGCAGCCGTAGGTAACGCTTCTCTCAGTTCGATTTCCTGTTTCTAAAGGGAATCCAGATCCGCAAAGCAAGACTTGAGCAGCTGAAAGCGCAGGGAGGAGGTGGTGGTGGAGGGGCAGGTGGAGGGGATCAAGCTCAGAGACAGTAAGTCCCCTCTCTTCTGATGGCATAAGAACGTCCTTCGCTAACAACTCGCAGACAACAAGAATGCAAGTAATCACCTCCGGTTTCGCAGCGCAAATCTAATTCGTCCTGCAGCCGAACAACGACAATCCATACTCAATCAAATCCTCGAACGCGGAGCCGCGGATCGCCTTGGGAGAATAAGACTTGTCAACGAACAGCGAGCGACAGAAGTAGAGAACAGATTGATTATGCTCGCGAGACAAGGAGCGCTCAAAAGCGCAGTCACGGAAGAACAACTGAAAGACTTGTTAAATGCTGTCGCAGAGACGAGAGAAGAGGAGAAGATTGTTGTAAGTCGGAGGAAAGGATGGGATGATGATGACGATGATCTACTCGATTTGTAGAAGGACATACGCTGGATGTTGGACTGGAGCAGAATCTTCTTTAGCCATTTGGCTTCTTTCTCAATTGATACCCAGACTGTCACCCGATCGTTCTTTCGCTTCCGTTTCTGCTTTCCTTCGAGCCCTTTCCTGTCGTCTTATGTCTCGCAGGTCTACTGGCTTCTCAATACCTAGCTCACTCCTTAGTTCCTCGACATTTCGCTCCAATTGCTCCTCCCAGTAGACGTTTATGACCTCCTTCGATTTCACTCCATTCGTGATAGCCCAAGGCAGGTATATTTGAAAGAACCGCTTTCTCTCTGCTGGTTTCAAAGTTGTGACAGCAAACATACTGAGTCCCGTCATGGGAAGTAGTGTATTTGCGAATTCGAATGCTTTCAGTGCCACCTCCCCTTCTCGAAAGATAGGCAATCCTGTGAGAGCGTGATAGAGATCATGACATTCCCGATACCTCTGCATAACGTAGGCACATTCTTCGTCATCGATGTATTTGACTGTGTCGCGCGTATCTGGAGAAACTCCTTCTCGGTCCAACCAATCTGCATATGTCCGTCCAACAGTATTCTCTGGTAACGATCGCAGGTAGGTCATTGACATTGTTTTCGAGGATATCCGAGGACGATCGCGTAGTATTCGACGCCCTGTTGGTGAGATGAGCATAGCATCGCGAAGACGGTAAATAAAGTATGGAGTAGCCGTTGCCTCCCCGAGAGCTGCTATTAAGTCTAGACTTCATCAGTGATTGAATGACCCATTGCACTTAGTCCAACCCTACCCGGTCTTCGTGGATCAATCAGCGACCATACGGCAGAACCAACTGCCAACCCGGCTTTCTCGATTCTCGTGAGAGGAACATGTCCTTCGTAGTTTGGTGGTGGGCGGTTGAGCACGCTGAAGCTGCGTGATGTTGTTGAAACTGTGCATGCGAGGAGCTCTCGGGGGAGACCTGATGATAAAAGTCGCTGTCGTAGGAGTAGGGCCATATTTTTAATCTCGTGAGTAGCTGAGGTAGTAAATATGACAGAGTTTAGACCGAAGGAATTGTAAGTCAGAAGAGTAGTGAAGTAGAGTGAAGTAGTGTAGTCTTGTGAACGACAAACAGTAGCTCCAATGCATAGCTTGCGCCGGCTACACTTCGGCAAGCTATCTAAGGAGGGAGGATTGTGGATTATATCGTCTCGTCCCTTCATATAGGTACTCCGCAACGAAAATACACATCTACTGAAACTGGAGAAGTCTCCTACGCACATGTGTTATGGAAAATCACATCGAATTCACTAAGTGGGTGGTAGCTCAAGGTGTTGTGATCAATGGAATTGCGGCACATAGATTCCCTGGAAGAGGTCTTGGGATAATCGCGGAGAAGAATCTTAAGGTGAGAACGAATAAGGTTATATCTTTAAGTTATTATTTGGGCAATGTTTTAACTCTCATTTGTGTTTTCTCTCATATAAATAAAACAATATGTGTTGCGGTTAAAGATTTCTGGATTTCATTTATTCTGAGTGCGGATGAGCTTTACTTGTACGGTTTTATCCTCTCAAGTGAGAAGAATAACCTACCTGAGTGAAATATTATCATCCGTATCTTACACATATTTGAACATTTTCCGCAACTCAAGTTATTAACCCTGCTTTGCTATAACTGTCATTTCTAACTCATGTCTCAGAGGGGAACATTGCGATAAGCCATTCTTGCGCTTCCATAGCTCCAGTTTGACACTTCAAGATTTTGACCATTGCAAAGTCTTTCTCAATCCACAAGTCAGACATTTCTCTCGTATGATAGCTCTGAAAAAATCTACGCTTTGAAAGTTTAATATACGTAACATTCAACCATATTACACAACTAACATCGCCAGGCAGGAGAAGTCATTCTCAGCGTTCCAATAAAAGCCCTTCGAACAATCCACACGGTTCCTACAGAGATCTCAAAGCATATCCGCGGTAAAACTACAACTCACGCTCTGCTAGCAGCAGAATTATGTCTCGATACCTCTCCTCAATTCGATCTATGGCGTTCTGTCCTACCCTCAGTCGCGGACTTTGAAGAGTCGCTACCTTTAACATGGGACCAATCACTACAAGACCTACTTCCCGCAGCTGCAAAAACCCTTCTCTTAAACCAGAAAAGAAAACTCAAACTCGATTGGGCTTCAATATCAACTGCGTTTCCCGAGCTCGATTACAATGACTTCCTATACAAATGGATGATAGTCAACACACGAACGTTCTACTATCTATCTTCAAAAGCCAAAAAAAAGCCCGCGAGAGATGATTGCATGGTAAGTCTCCCCATTCCCTCAAGATACAACGACTAACAAAACAGGCACTCAATCCCTTCGCCGACTACTTCAACCACGCCTCCCACGGCTGCACCGTAACCTTCGCCTCCTCAGGCTACACCATCACGACCGAAGCCCCCATAAACTCAGGCTCCGAAGTCTACATCTCCTACGGCAACCACAGCAACGATTTCCTGCTCGCCGAATACGGATTTATCATGGATTCCAACGCATGGGACGAGATCTCGCTGGATGAATACATCATCCCGAAACTTAGCGAGAAGCAGAAAGAGCACTTGAAAGATGCGAGGGTGCTTGGGAAATATGTTTTGGATCGGGAGACGGTGTGTTATCGGACGCAGATTGTGGTGAGGATGTTGGTTTTGCCGTTGGGGAGGTGGAGGCGGTTTGTGGATGGGAATGATGATGGGGAGGGGGATCAGGGTGTTGTGGATGGGTATTTGGAAGGGGTGTTGGAGGAGTATCGATCTGATGTGCAAGTCAAATTGGAGGCCATATCAAGTCTGGATGTCGGATTGGATTCTCAAAGAGACACCTTAAAACGACGATGGTCACAGATCGACATACTCCTCCAAGCAGCTCTAGATAGACTAAAAAGATGATTTTACAGTTTCAATTGAAGTATGATAGGTCATACACCCTGTTTGTGAATCGAACCAGGCCAAACCATCCAAAATGCCTATGGGCAACCTAAACACACATATCATCTCCCCTGGTCTGATCTCAACGCCAGCCTATTGTACACATTGCACACAATTACATTTCAGAGTAGCCCCTGTTTTTATGGATTCTCTGGATGACCATCCTGAACCTGACAACGCCTGTGACCCGTCCCGTACACACTGAAAGAGCCATTTTGTTGAATTCAAAGGTTGGAAGAGCGGGCCCTTGCCAGATGGAAAGTCGAAAAAGAAGTGACCATCACCTATTCTGGCCGTGGTCGTTTTGCTCCGTGTGGATTCTGCCAGTCGCCGCCAGCTGCTTGGTTTTGTTGGAAGAAGGCTGGATTGAAATGTGGTTGCATACCACCAAAGCCACCGCCTGTCAGAACGTCAGTCTTGTTACCATATAATGAAAGGGTGATTTTTACCTGGCATCCCTCCTCCCATCTGGCCCATATTCATAGGCATCCCACCCATAGCACCTGGCATACCTGCCATAGGCATCCCACCCATTGGCATAGCACCCATCATCGCATTATTCATGCCTCCTCGTCCTCGCATGTTAGGACCTCCACGCATCCCGCCCATCATGCCACCACCGCGATTGAAGCCACCAAATTGACCCATATTGTTGTTTTGAAATCCACCGCCCATGCCAGCGTTAAATCCACCACCCATGTTGTTACCCATAGCAGGATTTGAGAAGTTGCGATTTTGATTGAAGTTGCCATTGTTCATTTGCATTCCTCCTCCTGGGGTGAAACCGGCTCGATTTCCTCTGAAACTATTTCCACGGTAGTTTCCACCTGAATTACCCCGGGTGTTATTGTAGTTATCTGACCCTGTTCGGGTTGTTTGGCCTTCTTTTCCAGCACGCATTGGAGCATCTTTCGGCATGGTTCGGAAAGGATTGACATTCGGGTTAGAATACGTGACGGTATGTTTCTTAACATATTGCTGACCCTCTCCAAACGCGTCGATCTTATGCTTTGCAGCTGTCGCAGCTTGTTGAGAAGAGAATTCTACATATGCTTGACTACGCGCAAACGTTAACATTTCCATGACAACCATGAATTAGCACTCACCCTTTGCTCTTGCCATTGACCTTGTGTTCGGAAAAGGTAATGTCTTTGAGCTCATCTTCAACCTGTGCTTGATTGACCCAGCCGCGAATATCATCGTCAGTATTCCACCAGTGTAGATCTGAAATTAACAAGGCTGTTGTCGCTCCAGGATCTATAGGACGGTCGTCAGATCCTTCTTTGCGCTTCACTCCCTGTTGCTGTGGTGCTTGCTTGGGGATGTTTAGTAGATCGGCTCCAGATTCGTCAGTACTCTTGATCTTCTGTTGGTCGTTCATTTTGTGATCTGGTTTGTCGTTCCCCACCTTGATATCGACGTAATCGTCGTCTTGCTCTGGAGTTTCGTGTTTTACGCCGTTAGCTGCCCCGGTTTGGCCATTGGCTGCCTCGACTCCCTCAATCTTAACATCACCTTCATCATCTTTTTTGAAAGGTGTATCCTGCTCGGTGTTGGCATCTCCGTAGATATCGATATCGAACTCGTCGTCGGCCATTTTGAGCGTGCTGGAAAGCAAGTGATGTCAAGTGAATATCTATTTTGCTTAATACACCTTGTTGACTAACAAGCAACAGTAACTGGTTTCTGTGAAAATATAGTAGCCATATCAGCGCCCGAAAATACCAATACAACACCGGGCTGCGTCTCCCCGCCACGCGAGAGCTCTAGAGACCTGAAAATACATGGGATAGAATACAAATACGTACTCCTGGAACCACTTCAAATACTGCTTCAACAACTGCAGTTCAAAATCTGATAGCCTTCTTGGGCAGATGCAGATGAAATTGGAGATAGGAGATGAAGCTCTGTGCTTGCAATCTTGGGATACAACCCGAGCGCGTCTGCGAAACCTGACTGAATGTTCCTCCAACGTATTGACCTTAAGTTGTATACCCCAACGGAATATCGCCACAACCACCTGCTGATCCAACAATTGAAAATAATCCAGCAAAGAAGATGTTCTTGCAATTGCTCCTTTGACCTGGATTCTGTTCCCCGTATCCTACCAACCCTTGTGCCTCGACTCGAGCCTCGTCGCAATCGTGTCGTCAATTGTCAATTTCACAAAACCAGTATCCAGCGGAGTAAACAGCTGGCAACCGCGCAGATTTGAAGAAAAAGTCCTTTGCGTGCTGCAACTTCCAAGTCCTTTCTTGATGTCGCTGTCGTTGATCTGAAGATGTTGAAGCTGGGCGATGAGCAGAGGAAAGTAAGAGCTCGGTGCCTGAGCCTTATGGTTCACCCTGAAGTTCTCCTGATTCGTCTAGCTCAGAGCTTGGCTCGCAGGGTTGCGCCAGGTCACATGATGATATGTGGCCTTTCAATGTACTCCTCGGCATCGCCCAAAATTAATTACAAGCTCACATTCAGAAGCGCAATCAACCAGAAGAACACTTCCACTTCACGATCCGCTCATACTCGAACATCCTTTACGGTCGCATCTCTGCCTTTCCGCGAATTCGAATCTACTCGCGGGTAGCCTTGCCAATTACTTGTCGCATACACCTTACACCTTCGATAAACGACAGACCACCCCTTTGCGAAGATGTCGGACCAACTTCAAGAGTTTATGGATATCCCAAGGGATTTTATCAAGGATGGAACCCAATTTATCAACAGATGCACAAAGCGTACGTTCTTTCTGGCATCCAAATCGACGTTTCTGGGGCTCTCTACCACCGCCTGCTGCATGCGCTTCAAGAACCACCTGCTAACGTCTATTCCAGCTGATCGAAGAGAATTTATCAAGATCTCCCAAGCCGTCGGTGTTGGATTCATCGCTATGGGTGTCATCGGATATGTTATTAAGCTCAGTAAGCCTCTTCTCCGTCCTTCTCCGCCCTACCAGCCGCTAATAAACTATCTGCAGTACATATTCCAGTCAACAATATTCTAGTGGGAGGCGCATGATTAATACTTCGGGAGAGTAGGGTTTGGTGCTGGTGGAGGATCAATTGGTGGTTACCGGACGGTGGCGTACAAACGCCAGTTTGTTGTATTATATTGGGCTAGACTCAATTCAGGAGGGCGCTATGGATATCATACCACTGTCCAGTCACTCGAAGGATTCCGGCTTTCGTAATCAATTTGCATCGCGAGCACTATTTATCGATACCGAAAATATACCAAAAGTCTGCCACTTGAGTTTTGATGGTGACTTGAATTCACGGATTTGCACGTGGGTTAGATGGTGTACGGAATTCTTCCCTATTTCTCCAGGACTCTTACAACTCTCTTCTTTTCCCCGACTGGCTTCTAGAGGAGGAAGTCCAACATACTCGTTGCGTTTTTATGTCTCTCATGATTGGATCCCTCGACTGCATTTTCTTCTCCTCTCTGGGTTTTATAGCCAATAACCGGATTCTAGCGAGACTCTATTGTCTTGTTATACGGAGAGGTTATAGCTAGGGGGAACTTCAACAGAATTGCAAGTGTACTGGTATAATTTGCAGCTACTTGCTCCAAGGCAAGTGCCTTCAATGCTTAATGTGGTTTAGAATGATTCCAACCCTTGGAAGATGTCGCTATTGTTGCATAAGGCATGACCGAGCTACAGAGTGCGAACGGCTAGTGGGATTGATGCTTAGAGATAGTCTGATAGGAGTGATTACGTGCCGCGAGAGTCTAATTTCTATACTTTGGCTTTACCAAAATTATAGGAAACAAATAAAAGCACAACCAACAGATTAAAGCTTCTTAGCACAGTAAAAGCTTTATTAATTATGTCTAGTGTTCACTCTTAACTACAAGATTGTCATCTAGGCATGAGATTTGAAACTAACATTCGGACAACGTTGAGCCGACTACCTAGCTGACTGGGGAGAATCGAAACCAACCGGTAGCACAACTGCAACTTTAATTCATATCGTCTCAATCTCAAACATTTATTTCCCATTAGATCTTTCAACGCGACTAAATGCTGCAAAGTGTCATAGCAGCAAGACCACTAGCTAGCACCACATCCGCTAAAATCCGCGGCCTCCGTCTTGGCAAGCTTTTTCTCTCTACACCTTTCCCGGAACTTTACTGCAAGCCTATCACGACATACCATATACGATATACGGTATAAAGGCAACTTCTTTTCCAATTGGAATAACAACCAGATAAAGTTCGAGAAGATAGTGGTCTGAGGGGAAGATTGTGGGGAGATATGGAGGTTCCGCCAAGTAAGTCGAGACGACCACATCACAAGAGTCGGAAGGGGTGTGTGCAGTGTAAACAGAGGAAAGTCAAGGTATGTGAAGTTGTTTGATTTTAGTTGTGTTTTCTTTTAAGTTACATTTCTTCCATGTCTATTTGTTCCTTCTTTCTCATTTTTCACCCCCAGTTGCCCTCGGTCCAAGAGTTGAGGACCAACTATTCACATAGCGTGAGATGCATTACCAGCAAGGCTTCTGTTTGAAATAGATGATGGTCAGAGGAAATGTCACTCAACGCTAGACAATAAATGACACTATTCGCCAAAGACGCTCCGAATAACCTCTCACCCAGGCATGTTGCTTTCAAGTTGTGTACAGAACGATCTTCTCAAGAACCACGGTTACTGCGGAAGCCATTGCTACGACGCAATTAATCACTTCAAGCTTTCTTACAGCAGACTTTATTTGCTTAACTTCTCACTTCATGATCGTTAAATTATCTGTTATTGTCTAATTTCTGCAACGCCTACTAACGCAAAACAGTGTGACGAAATCAAACCAATATGCTCACGATGCGACGGCTATGGCTCGCCATGCTCTTTTCAGCAGAACTATTCACGAAATACACTACCATTCGGCCTACAATCCAGGTCTCAGTCTCCTAGATCCCAATCAAATGTCATGTTACCAGTCACTAGTCAGCCATCCACTCAGCCTGTGGTAGGTTTTACCATGTCCGATATGAAGCTTCTTCATTTCTGGCTGACAGAAGGAGCTACAAACTTTACCAATTTCGGCGGTGGACTTAACAATATATTTTCTGACGCCCTCATCAAACATTCATTCGAGCATGAGTTTCTGATGCACGAATTGCTATCCTTTTCTGCTTTACATCTCTCCCGGCTCAAACCGCAGGACGCCCAAGACTACCTCTACATCTCCGATGCCCATCATTCTAAAGGACTCACCTTATTTCAGCTTGCGGTTTCCAGATTAGATGACTCGAATAGAGAGCCTTGCTACCTGTTCTCAAGCTTGATATTCATACATGCTTGGGCCGCGCAGGACGTGGACAAGCCGTCGAATTTGTTCTTCATTCCTTCTCAGCATTCTGGGGATTCTGAAGAAGTCCTTAAATGGGTTCAGTTGCATCGCGGGTCGAAGGCGATTCTAACGTCCAATTTCTCACAGATCCGTAATGGTGGTCTTCGGCCGATGTTCGAACAATGGGAGGACCTGGGCAGAGAGAAGGAAGATCAACTGGAAGAAGAGGATGAAAGGTCTTTCGACAGTTTTCATGAAGCATTAACATCATCTCTCATTCCCGAGACGCAGAAGGCCGTCTTGATCGAAGCCTTAAATCAACTGAGGAGGATATTCTGTTTCATGTCATCTCACCACTACATCAGCAAGCTCTCAGCAGTCATGTCGTGGTTCATGACTATTTCAGATGAGTATCTGCTCATGCTCGAGAACAAGATGCCAGAAGCTCTGGTCATAGTAGCATTCTATGCGGTCGCTATAAAGAGACTTCCTTATATGTGGTGGTTGGAAGGGAAATCAGAGAATGTGTTGCAGACGGTTCTGGATGAACTGGGTGGCAGCTGGGAAAGCCATACTCGCTGGGCTGTTGAGCAGATAAGAGGATATACAGACGCAGTAATCAGGGAAGAGCTGCCCCGATGGAGTAGGAAGTGATGAGCTGAAATATGCTACATAATGTATAAATCAATTCGTCCTTTTGATGTGTTTCGTCATTCTACCAAATTTCTGAGTTGAGAATAATTGCTTGTCCAGAAGCCACGCCAATACCGCTGTTGAAGCCAGTTTCGAAGAGTGTTTGTTCCCATTATTACAGCCGTAAAAAAGAGATGGTCATAATATTTTCGTGAGAATTTAGAGAACCTCACTGTCGTTGACAGAATTAAAGTTTATGCTTATCTCTTATCGAAATCTAGACCCCGGAGTATCCATGATGTAACCACTAAACGAGAACCGCGGAACCTCGAACCTCACAACCCCATACTCTCAAAGTTGATTCTTACAATAAATTAGTTTCAAAACATTCAACATACATGCCCGCGAGAAATACAGTGATACCGTATACATGTGCTCGCTGTCTGCGGGTATCTCAGAAATATGAAGCTCGCACAATCCCTCCACGACTGCTCGCCCGATCTTTCTCGCGCCACTCGCCACTTCGCGATTCGCAACAAGATGGCAAGGTGATAAAGCAGGAGGATCGATCCTCTACTGGTGGACACGCAAGAGAGGATGCACAAGATGCTGCCTCGCAGTCATTGGGGAAAGAAGCTGAGAAAGGAGCCATGTCGAGACGTCTTGAGGATGCGACTGAGGATGCGCTCCTGGAAGGTGGAAGAGCTGGCAGAAAGGCAGTCGAGGAAGCTGGATTCTCCGAGGAACTGAAGCAGAGATTGCTGGAACGAATCGAGTCGCATAAGTTCAAATCTGAAAATGCTGCAGCGTTTGCGGAAGCTGGCTTGACGTCGAGTGCTGGCAGAGGCTCCCGAGATATTGCTGCGTCGCAAGCCTGGACAGGAGAAGAGAAGCCTGAAGACACAATGTTGCGAATGCTCGATGATGCTAGAAAGCCATTGGCACCTGGGCTGCGAGGACCTGCGAAGATACCAAGGCCGATCGTGGATATGAGATTGAGACCTCAGCCAAAGCTACGGCCTGGGGACAAATTGGCAAACGCGAGGGATAAAACGTCTATCTATGCCATTTCGAAGGATACACAGATGTCTGATGAAGAGCGGGAAAAGTTGCGGCAGGAATTGAAGGATCGTTTTACTCCAGGGGCGAGAGCCATGCCAAATTCCATTCGTGGATTAGCTGCGCTCGCGAATGAGAGGATTGAGGATGCCATAGCGAGGGGACAGTTCAAGGTAGGAATCTCACAACTTATTTTCCAGTATTTGCTAACCCGTTTCAGAATATCCCACGAGGTAAGGCTATAGTCCGAGATGCGAGAGCTGATAATCCATTTCTGGACACCACCGAATACATCATGAATAAGATGATACAACGTCAGGACATCGTCCCACCATGGATCGAAAAACAGCAAGAGCTCGTCAAGGCTGCGAACGTATTTCGAGCACGTCTTCGAAATGATTGGACTCGTCATGCTGCACGATCCATCGCTAGCCGTGGAGGCTCTCTTCAAGAACAAATGCGCAGGGCAGAGGCATATGCTGCGTCGGAGCAGTTGCACAATCCAAAGAAAAGGGCCGTCGAACAAATCTCCGTCCCAACGAATGCTACGAGTGACCCTGTTATGGTCAAGATTACACAGGAAGCTTCTACTTCCACCTCTCCAACACCTCCACCCTCCGTCGAGGTTTCAATAAACACCGAAAATGGGGCATTGAAACTTGCTGAGACTACTCTTAGCCAAGATTTACGTGCAGAGAGTGCCATAGTCACAGGATCATCCCCGGAGCCACCAGTCACTCGGTCGACTCTGCCTAGCCCACTGCCGCCGCCTTTTCGGATGCCAGAATGGGAGGCAGCGGAACAATCGTATCTCAGCCTTGCCGTCACTAATCTCAATAACATTACACGGTCATATAATTTGATGGCGCCTAATCTGGCTAAAAAACCTTATTTCTCACTCGAGAGGGAACTCAAGTCTTGCTACGCGGACGTGGCTCCTATTCTCGCCCAGGAAATCAAACATCGAGCCAGCAGACCTGCTCGCGAGCTGGTAGAGAAGGTAGGACATAAACCTGGAGGCGTTCTCGAACGGTTTGCGAAGGATACGGCGACGATATATGATTCCAAAAGACCGTTGTATGGGTTTAAGGAGTTGTGGACTGATTTGTTTGGTGAGAAAAGACCTTGAGTTGTATATATCAGATTCAATACAGTAGAAGCTTAATAGAACAAATTTCCCCCAAGTCTGGTGAAGCAGATCTAGTGTCAGTCTCGTTCTTCTCAACAGCTATGCTTGTCATTAATGAGTTGGTGTCAGGAAGGAGCTTCCAAAGTACATATGTGGAGCTAGCTGGTGGACATCAGCTTCCACCGATTCACTTTCAAAATACGGTTTGTATTTCTCGCCCTCCGGCGCGAGAAAGCACCAAAACAACTACAAAGTCATGCATTCAGGAGTTCACGGAATTGACACAAAGCTAGCCTGACACGACTTTCGCGTTTCCAGTGTTCATAAGAGCATCCTTCCCTGCCCGGCTCGCGACTTTGTTTACTGTCATCTACATTTGATCGGGATTCTCTTCGACGTTTCATCAAAAACATCTCTCAGCAACCGACGCATTGAAAGCATATCGAATTCTCCATCAAATCAAATCGCCATGGCACCCTCCTCACCCATCGTACAGGCACAAAACCGTCGCGAGAACATAAATCCCAACCTATCTGGTGCGCCTGTCCCTAGTTTACTTTTACAACGTCGACTTGCGAATCGTCCCCTCCTGACTCCTCATGGACATCCAACCACAGCGGGGTCTCCAGTAATTCAACCCTTCAACACTTCTCAAGGAGGAACAATAATCAGCGGCGGAGTAGAAAAGCCTGGAGATGCTGCGAAAATCGCTGGAGACGATTTGATGGCACCCGTCAACCCCGATAGAACGGCGACAAACGATCTTACGGATATTCAACATAAGCAGATCGGAGACGGCTACATGACGTCTCAGCAACCTCTTGAAGATATAGGGAACAAAATGGTCGTCGAAACGCAGAAGTTTAGTCCCCCGGCACCGAAGGATGGCGCAGTGGTGAGTCTCTCCAAAATTATTCCTGGAATATGATCAGAAGTGCCTCATGGGCAGTACTTCCGTATTCATTCAAGACTGACACAATCCCAGATGATACCCGAGAACCCTGGATCAGCGGAGCCAGCAGTCAGCACTTCGAACTCTACTCGCGAAACACCTGCAGGTCACGTCGATGCGAACGGGTTTATGCACAGCGCCAAATGTATACATGCTCTATCATTAGCTCCCCCAGTTCAATCGCTCAACGAAGATGGCTCAGATGCAGCTGGGGGGTCCGAGAACTGGTGGAATCAAGGACCGTATTACACTAGGGAGATGGAGGAGGATATGATGGAGAATTACTGTCAGCAGTGGGGTTGCTTTGAGCAGGAATGAGTCTTCCTGCAGAGGCGGACACCGCATAGGAAAGGAGTTAAGGTCGGATTTGCGAGCATTAGGGCATCTTGAAAAGGGCGTAAGAATTTGCATTTGAGGGTTATACAATATGGGAAAAGGTGTTAAAGTTTATTTGGCGAAGAAATGGCTGGGTTGATATATGGATTGTTTGTATTTATGTGTTAATTGTACTTGAGGGTGGATAGTATATGAAGGGAAGATTGTTCACTAAGGATGAATAGCAATTCGTAATTCATCAGGCAAATCTTCCACGTTCATCCGTCGTTCGTACACAACCTTTATTCAATTAGATTGAACGATACCCTGTATTTTGTCTATAATTTTCTGTCAACAAGACAGATGTTAATAAAGTTTCAAGCTGAGTTGACGGCGTTGTAACAAAGCTGCCGCCAGTTATTTTGTCCGCTGGGTGACACGATGGCGATTTCACTCTCGCTTAATTTTGTATCACCCCTTTCTTTCTTAAGTTCGTTTAGATGGTAAGAGCTATTGATACTTCGTGCATAAGAATGATATATCTCATAGGATGAGGGTAGAGTTTAACTGGACTGAGTATTGGCTTGCTTATATTTCATTTGGAAGTGTGACGAAAGGTCCGTATGTGATGCTATATTCATCTGTCCTCACCATACACCTAGTTCCCTTTTCCCCGACAATTATAATGATGATGTTAAATCTCTGTACTTTATTTTAGAATAAGTTACGGGGATCATAAACAGTAATTCCTCGATATTTAAGGCCATTCGGGGTTTTTTTCTAGAGATTCGAAATCAATGGCATACATGCATGATGACAACAGGATCTCCTGTAGATAACACCTCGTTAGACAGACGGGGAAAAGTAAACGATGGAACGCCCCATCTGGTCACTGAATGGAGCGCTGGACGCGTTTTTTGAGTTTTGTGAAGTTGGTATATACCTTATTCTCTAGATCACAAAGAATTTGGTGGAGTGGAAATCGGTGGTGAGTTGGTTTTCGGTGGTGAATGATGGTTTTGGAGTGTAGTTCGATAAACTTTAAGCTGGTCATGAGCTATATTTGGGGACACGAGAAGGGGGACTGTGTCCAAGAAAAGTTAAAGCTGTGTTCGAGCTGTTGGAATCAAATGAGAATCCAACCACAAACTATTTTCCCCTTCCTTGGAGGTATTGCATTTGGAAGATTTCCGAATCTTAATACCTGTGATAATTATATGATCTTGTACTGTTTTCAATGTTCTATTAAACTTGAGAAAACAGGCTTTGTGTCAAAGATTAATGTAGGTCTATTCTAATAGGTACGCGGTTTTCTCATAACCCCTGAAACACAACATGTAGCAAAGCAAATCGGGAAACAAATATTTATCTAAGACACCATTCTGCGGTATTGAAAGAATTAGTACAAATTGCGTCGTCTTATATCCAGCCCTACTCAGTTTGTCAAATTGCTTTCGCCAGCACTATTTGTCCGTCTCTGCAATACTGTTCCGCTTCTTGTTATCAAAGGAATATTAAAAAGACTTCGCTCATACTGTCCACCTTTTTGGATCATAAAAGATTCGAGAAAACTCGGTGACAAGGCTATTTTCGACAGCAGACACTTATTCACAGTAGTGTTCTGCTATAGACAAATGATTTTCAGAGTAGATAGAAACAGGGAGTTTTACTAGAAAGGGTCGAAAGCTTTTTGTCAGAGTTAGATGGGAATTTGGATGACACAGGCAGAGAGGTCTGAATCGAAAAGGAGGTAATCAAATTAGTGGTGTGACTTGTAAGCGTGACTTTGGATTGTTTTATGTTTAGATGTAAGAGGATTGAGGAAAGGCTTAGTCGTAACAAAAGGACTAGCTGAATTTAGCTAAGCAATAACCCCGATAGAATTACTTCTCACTCATATCTTCAAATGTAATCATGACATTTAATAAATTCCGCTTATTATAAGTATTATTATAGAAACACTTTTATTCTTACACATTAATTTAAACTCTATTTGTTACAACATCCATCTAAACATCCCATCTCTGTTCCTAGTTTCCTGGAACTTCTTGCTATATAAACTCCTCTCCCCCATTCCACTCTCTATTCTCTCTTCAACTTCATGAATGACGCTACTAGATGTACAATTCGGGAATATGATTTGCCAGCTTGTCATCTCTATATTTCTTTACTTGTATAGAAATGCAAAAGATTTATTATAGAGGACACAGACAACTCAATATATATAGTTAATAATTTGGAAATTATTTTTGCATTCTCGCAATTAATCCCGGGCTACCTAGTGAAGTCCACCTCGCTCATGCGATAGTTATATTCGCGGAGGAATGTGAGAGGAAAGTAATGGATAAAGCCATCAAGTCGCTGGTTGTAGAGACTAATTCAGCTTTTAAATGCCTGGGTCGTACGTAGACCGGCTAGTCTGATCGAACAAGACTAAACAATGTTCTGCGAATATGCCCAGAATGTTTTGTCAATTAAAGTTAAGGGGTATAATTTGAAAGCAAAATGGAATTCTCTTATAAGAAGTTGAAACGGGGGTAAGTTTGAAATCGGTGACAACAACTTAAGTTTATACTTAGAACGCTTTCTTTTACGCTATTAAATTTCTTTAAAAAATAAGAAAAGCAGGTTATTTGTAGCATATTATACTGCGATGACTACTTTTAAAACACTTTTTACCTTACATCTTCCTTTGCTTCTTGAAAGATATCCTTACAGATATCATAGATAGATAAAACAGGAGATTTTAAAAGGATTCTTCCGATTGTATATACGGAGATTCTACCGTGTCGTTCGATAATAAGATATATCTCTAATTTATAAGATAATATATCCTTTTTATAAATCTTAAAGGAAGACATGTAAGCGTAAACTTTACTTGTAATGTATTAGTTAAATCCCCCAAGAGTTCTTCTTATTCTTGTTTATGCCAAAACCATTCGTGCTTTCAACAACACTTGTTCTTCTTAGGGGGTTTTCTCTTTCTCTGTAGATACTCACATTCAGCTACGTTTTAATACATTCAAGTAAAAAGAAACTTACCTATCCCATTTTGCGATGAAAATTATGAAAAGAAAATGAAGAGGAACGATTTGCTGACGAGTCCATTTTCGGCGACAAGTGATTGCTCCCCTAGTATTGAAGGGTTGTTTTCTTTCACGGCGATGAGAGGAGAAGATCCCGCTCTTTTCTTTCAAGTTAATAGCACATATTATAAGCTCCCAGAAAACGTATAGCATCTCTACAGTCTACACACAAATTATTCCATTGTGAAGCGCGCCCCCAGCTTTCTATATTCCTTCTGAGGGTTCTGCGATATTTAAGCGGAGAACACTCGAATCTAACTCCCATTTTCTCCTTAAAAGAACTGAGCCCTCACCATCCATGGTTTATTTCTTCATCTCCCGTATACGCTGTCGCCAGAAGTTACTAGCTGCACTCGCATTTTGTTCATAGCATAACAGGAAGTTCAGAGAGCATGTTGGGATGGAGTAGTGAAGATGATAAAGTTGTTTAGTTTCACGAAAGTTGAACACGAACTTTAGGATATGACTTGCAAATACCTTTTTCCAGCCCTCCATCACAGCTCCTATAACCTTTTTAATCTCACACAAAAGCCCTCTACCTCAAATCCCAAACCATCACGTTTTTCAAGCAAGCCTTTCTATATCAACATACCCTTACCTCACTGCATTAAGAGCTACACAACACAACGAATATGCGAAAGAAATTATGTACAGCGAGTGGTAGTCTGTGTAATATCAGGGAGCAGCTGCCTTGCGAAGAAAGAAATGTGTTTTAATTCGCTATAATTATTTGAGTTTGTGGTGAATCGGGTGTAGATGTAGAAGGGGTGGTGAGACGGAGGGATTCGGTGACAAATAGAGAATCGGTGACAACATCCTTCGATATTGAGGGTTGAAAATCGCTTGTATTGATTACTGTCACAACGCACCAGCTCTTGTAGTTGATATGACGAAGATACATCCAACAACTCTTTATACTCTCCCACTATATCAGATTGATCAGTTGAAGTCGGGCGATCCATAATGGATGACGTCTCGAAGGAGACATCCATAACTCTGATCATCTTCTTAACCATCACGTCGATTTCTCTCTCCTCCATACCTGCTGATCAAATTCTCATGCATACAACGCAAATTACAGTCATCAAGCCAATGTAAATACAATACACAAGACTTGAACCCTCCGATTTGATTAAAAGCACAAGATAAGTTGTAGTGATAATAATTGAGATGTAAAGTGCCGAATACTGAATTTATAGACTTCGGCGAGGTTGATTGCTAGGTTTTCAGATACTTAATTCACTTTAAATTCAGGCCTCGGTGGCTAGAAGTAAGGATTATTAAATCGATATATCTTTAACGAACATGTGTTCTTCTTGTCTCAACATTTAAGTTCCGAGACTTGAGAAATGTTTGTTCAAAGAGCTGTTTGTAAATAAAATGACACTCCACTGGACCCCTATTTCACAGTCCTGACTTTCCTACAGAAAGTTGAAGCAGCTAATGCGAGGAGAAAGTTTAAATTTTGCTAAGATGGCCGAGAATGTGTTTGATTGATCGTCCCGAGTAATGTACAAAGTTCCGACGTGAACTGGAAATTTTCCGATGGGTGTGACACGGCTTAGATTTCTAGATGAATGGTGATGCAGAATATCTGGTGTTACTATTCCTTTGATCTTCGAAATCAAAGATGTAATATTCAGCTTCTTGTGTGTATATATATAAAGTATTCTCCAACTTTCAATCCTCACCTCCTTTCAATCCCACGTGCAAAAGCCGATCATCCAGGCCCCCCCTTTCCACGCCAGGGGTCCTCCCACTAGGCCCCCTTCCCGCCCACCGCCGCCCGAACCAGTGCTAAAAGCCCGGCGTCCCGACCCTAGCAGTGCTTGGACCCGGCGAGAACGATCCAAGCGGCCGGTGGCCAATAAGGCGGGTTATCACAATGCAGCAAAGAGCATTAATTGAGCATTTTATATGGCTGGTTGCGAGAATTCACATTTTGGAGGGTGGTGATTGGTGAGGGTGGTGTGGAAATGAAAAGTGTTTTCTTACTCGGTGGAAGCGTTTTCGTGGGAACGTATCACAGAGCCCAAATGGTTTGAGGGGTGGCCGTTGGCTGGAGGGACGGACGCTAGGTGGGAGGTTTGCGGGAAACCGTTGGTGCTATTTTGAGTGGATTTTAGTTGGTGGTTTGTTAGTTCTTGAATGTGATGAGGTGGAAGTTGAGCTCTGAAAAGGGGGTTGCGAGTAAGGGAAATAGCGCTTTGGAGCTAAGTTTGAGAGATTTAATGGATCTAATACAATGGGATATCTTCTGCATGGAAGCAACACTGCTTATTGTGCTACGTTAATCTGATCATCTACATATCGTACGCTCCGACGTCGATAGTTACACAATAGTAATCACATAGCGGCGGGACCGAGCAGCTGGTTGAACCTTTCGAAGCGGGAGACCGAGCTTAGAATGCGGGAAGGGATCATCAGACAGACGTCTAGAGCATTAGCTGCCGGTTTAGCAGCTGTTTAGGTTTGTTAAAAGAATTAGTTGACGGTCAAAACGTGCTCAGAACATCATCTAGTCTTTTGTTGAAATTAATACAAGAAGAATTATTCTTGTTGATCACGAAGATCAGAGTGGTCCAACTGCCGCGACGACAAGGTTTCGCAGCCCAAACTCCCCACAACCACACCCAATACGGGCCCATCCCCAGTGGCCATCCCACGCTGAAATCCCTCCCTCCCCTGCCCGTTGCAACCTGATCGGCCACCAACAGCAGCCAATTCCGTACACCCAACGCTGTGACCTCCCTTTCTTCTGAATTCCCTTCACTTTTCGTCACATCCGATGCTCTCGTCCCCTTCGACTGCATTGTCGACTCTGTCTCAGCTTCACCTCGTCTCCTCACTTCCATTCCTTTCTGATCACCTCAAATCGCGACTCCTTCCACCTCTCTCCTTTCTCCAACTCCTCGACGATAACTCTCCTTTTTGTACCTCCACCACACCAATCCACCACATTCCTCACGTCCACCCGTCAACGCGCATACACCTGCATATCCAACGCCTTCAGCAACCTGGTCGCTCGCCTCCAGTCATTTCACCTTGACCTGCATGATGTGAAAACCAAAACAATCCAGAAATTAAACCTCCACCGCTACTGTCAGCCGGAATTACATTACCTTCAGAAGCCTTCGAAAGAAATAGCATTGCAGCGCGTCAATTCGCATCCATTCATTTTGTCAACTTCACCTCTGCTTCACCACAACCACGAGAAAAAGATTCATCACTCACCATCACGGTAACCAGGGCCAACTGATTATCCTGCGGCGCTGTACATACCCATGATTAGGCGGTCAGCCCAGTAAACAAATCCAAGGAGCATCAAACTATATCCCGGGACCCATTGCAATACAAGCAAGAACCTGGAATTCAGAGGCATCGTCATCTTTGGTTGGCACATGCCATCAAAACAATCACAAGAAAACAAACTTGGAATTGATTTGAAAGTCTGGCCTTGTTGATATAAAATGGAGGACTGCAGTTTGAGGTCGCGTCAAAGTCGGTTGTCGCGACCAGATTCTAGTTCTTCGAGAGATACCAGAATGACACCAGCCAGCAGCAATGGCTCTTCAGCACATTTACCTACACGAATGAATCCGAGTAATGGTGGGAGACTAACACCATCGAATGGTGCAAGTTTGTTACAGGAAAGGCTGAGAGAGAGGAAAGTCGAAAGTGCGCGAGCAAATAGACATGGCAGTATTGATCTAGGTCATTTGAGAGACCGAGAAGTGCAGAGTTCACCTACTGCCAGAGAGGAAAAGAGACCAAGTTCCGGAGGTGGGAAAGGTATGGGTGTCAAAGGCATGGAAGAGGTATGTTGCAGCACCCATATATGATACATCGCTAACAGTTTCTAGCAAGTATCGACTTTGCACAAACAGAACTTTGACCTGAAACTCGAATTATATCATCGCCGACAGAAACAAGAAAGTTTGGAAGCGCGACTGGAAGCTTTGGAAAAGCAGATGGAAGGACAAGCTGAATTACAAGAAGTCAATGATCAATTGCTAGCGGAATTAGAGAAGCGCGACCAAGCTGTAGAAGAGGCAGTCAGTGTTATCGTGGCTCTGGAAGACAAGGTGGATCGATTGTTGAAGGAACGGGAGGGTGTTCGTGCTGTCGAATCTGATTACGAGTCGACATACTTTCGACAGGGAGATGATCAGGAATTTTCAAGTTCTCCACCCACATTCGAGAAGCAGAGGCCTGCTAATTCGGTTCCCCGCATGCCATCTTTCTTGTCAGAACATAGCGAGGGAACGGAAGCTTTGAGGAGTCTTTATGTTCCGCTCAGTCGGACTAATAGCGACGCAGGCTTGCCAAAGTTGGCTGAAGAGGTAACCGTGGATGGTATGGACAGTCCACGTCTGAGCGTTCTGAGCGAGAGTTCTTTTGTGAGTGTATATGGGATGAAGCCACTAGCATTGGACGAAACACCTGAACCAGAGTCGCCATCGCCACCAAGGAGGAACAGGACCTCTGAATCAGTCGAAAAATGGATGGATGCTCGACCAGCTACTGTCGCCCCTCCAATGCGAGCACCAAAACGGAATAGTGGATTACCAAAGAGTCAATATCTCTCGATCAATACCATCCTGGACTCACCTCTGCAACGGTTGGAAAAGTTGAAGGTCACTCTGGAGAAGGGAGCTCATAACTCCATGCCAATTCAGTCGCAACTCAAATCTACCAAGAAACATCAGAATGGTCTAAAAGATACCAGTCGACGTGTTGTAAAAGACCAAGACAGCTTCGAAAATCAACGCACATTACCTCCAACTCCTGACACCTTCAGTACCGATACTTTGAGACGATTTCAAATGTCCAACTCTGATCTGTTTGCTCAAAATCAGCGGACAGGAGACGCGACATTCCTTGATAGTACTTCAACTTTTCCAACACATCAACACTCGAATATGTCAATTAGACCTCGAAGCGCTGGGGAGACTGTTACCAGCAAGCGGGATGGTCATGGCTGGGATACAGAAACCCAAGGCGAATACACCGAAGCGGGAAGTGTATCAGATCTTGACAGCATGTATAATGGACCTTCATTCCAACGTCCACGACGTGTGATGACGCCAGATCTTTTCACCTTTGGTGGTGGGGATGATGGATGGGGACAGGAGATCAAGTACAGTACTGCCGCTCATATTCCAGCAGCAGGAAATGCTACGGCAGATCGTTATCGTGCAGTTCGTCGTTCAAGTATGAGCGAGCGTCAAAAGAGTAATGATCATATTCCTCAACGTGTTACGCGCTTGGAGGAACCTCAAAACGAATCACCCGTTCTTCCAGATCGACGCTCCTCGCTTGCAGCACCAACAAAACTCCGCAAAGTTGCACCGAACCAACCTCTGCCTCCAACACCTACGGAATCAGCCCCACCCACCATTTCTCCGCTTAAGAATTCCAAAATCTCAAGATTATCGGGTCGTATCTTTGGCAATAAATCTGAGAGCGCCCCCGCTAGCCCTATGAAACCACCCCTTGTTAGGACCCCAACCTACTTTGGTGATCATATAGCTGAAGAAGCAAGAGCTACACCTCCACCTATCAAACGATCTCGTACCGGGCCAGTGGCACAACGACCCATGTCAGCAGGTAACGGATCTGGTGGCAGAAGATTGAATGAATTTGGCGGCTATTCGACCACCGATGATGTTGCTTCCCATACCATTGCGGAAGATAGCGCTGTCATGACGAGGAGTATGGGCAGTAAGAAGTGGTTTGGTATCGCTCGAGCGGGTAGTCTGAGGAAGAATTAGTAAGAGTACTCACGGCGGTATCTTTGATTTTTGCAGGGCGTTTTTTGGTTGGGTAAAATTGCGTGTCTTGATGACATTGGTACACACCAAGGTCCCTGGGTATGGGGTTTTCTTTTCTGGGTGGTTAGGATTTGTTACTTTCGCGGGACTTGTATAGATACCCAGGTGGTTTGTTTTTGCTTTTCTTGGAAGAGGTGGATGCGCTGTATCAAATTGGAGATAGGTGGTGAGGATGAGTGGATGGATGTGCTAAAGGGGGTGGATGAAGGGGTATTGAGGTGGTAGATTGAGTTAATGAGGGGGAGTTGATAAATTGAGATGAAAGGATCATTACACATATTATTTTACCATCTTTGAAGTGATTTAGTTATCAAAGTTACCTCATGCAAACACTTGTATGAATCGTTCTCTGACCAAGAGGCTGTATGGATCAAAGTAGTTCCATCTCCGTTCAGGAGGTAAGCGAGGATGTTGGCATCTCTTCACGCGACCATGTTGGCTTTCCATAATTTCACTGTTCCTCTACATACAGATAATTCATTTAAGACACCACTATCTCATCTAAATTGAGAACCTCGGAAGACCTCGAGTTTTGAATTCTATTAGAGGGATCTAGCTTGGCACCTGTATGATGTTTTGAATCGAAATCGAGGGGATCGATAATGGTCTGAAAGTCTCTTTTTTACTACCTAAACCTACAGATCGTCTAGCTTGACAGATTTTTCGAATTTCAAAGATCAATTCCAAACGACAGTTAGATTAGACGTGTGTGGTCTCATGGCTTCTCTGTTCGGCGCCGGTCAGCTGCTTAGAGGTAAAGTGAATAGATACACCATCACCAAACAAATCCACGAGTGTTTGTGGCTGGCAATGTACGTGCATACCAGTCTCCTTCAGTTCTTAATTCTTACAGGAAATAAATAGGACTGCGAGCGATCAGACTGTTGTGATCAAAAGCGTCCGTCACTTCCGTCTTGACACCGAGCGAGTGGCTTTGAAGCGTTTTCAGTCTCGATCGTCTGTGATCCGCCCGTTGATCGATGAGATTGAGGATCCAAGCGATCCACCGGCTCTAGTGCTCAAGCATCTTGATGATGATCTTTTTAATGCCGCTGCTGCTAAACGACTTACGACGTCTGAGATCAAGCTTGTTGCCAAGAGGGTGTTGGAGGGGTTGAATGTCATTCATGAGGATGGTTATGTTCACACAGGTATGCTACCTTCAACGCCAACGCATGAGAGTTTTGCTTGCTGACGTACGCGCCGTGCAGATATCAAACTTGATAACATACTAGTGAATTACGCCCAAGGCTCAAGTCGATTCGCCGAAATCCAACTCACCGATCTAGGAAACACCGTGCGTGCGGATTCCAAATGGGCCAAAGAATGCGACATGATCGGTGCTCCTGTATGGCGGAGTCCAGAAGCTCAACTCCAGATCGGCTGGGGAAGTCCTACTGACATCCGGTCCTTTGGCACAGTGGTATGAACTATCCTTGCCGGGTAATTTCACTAGTTACAATTGCTAACAAAAATTATGTGGTTCCAGCTCATAAGTCTCATATAGAGGGACAATTGGCTCATCTTCAAACCACACGTCCCATTCGGCCATGATCATTATGAGATTAAAATCGTGATGAAGAATCATCAGTTCTTCGGACCGTTCCCGTTGAGGTATCGAGAGCTGGTGGATGAGGAGATGTTGGAGGTCATAACGTATATTATGAATGGGGTTCCGCTGGAGACGATGAAACCATTCAGGCGGGTCGGTGAGAAGGAGATCAGTAAAGAGGATAAGGAGTTTGTGTGTAGGGTTATGAAGATGGATCCGAGGGATAGACCGACGGCGAAAGAGCTTTTAGAGGATGAATGGTTTGAGGGGGTGGAGTGAGTGGTGAGGGGAGGGGTGTATGATTATGGTCAACTCAACTCACTCAGCAAAATCACAAGCCACAGAAATCCCATCTATACATCAGCAAAGACAAGTGGACAACAAAATTCAAGGTTTTTCTCGCTAACTCAGGATCTCACATGACCCCCTCATCGCGGACACCAATTATCATAAGTCGAAGCCGCGCAATGCGTCGCCTTGCCATATTCACAGCACTTCGTCCCATCACACTGAAAAATATAGCCCGTCCACTTCGGACTATCCCCCTTATCAACGACCGCGTTGCACAATCCGCAATACACCCCCGAGGAGCCGGCGCGACATGTACATTTCTTGGTGCCCGACCCGTCACAGTCTTTGCGCTCCTCGATTCGCACTTCCTGGACGAACCCGGATGTGCGTTCTTCGAGGCCTGAGGCGGCATCTAAATCGAGTTTGGCTTGTCGTGCGCTGGCTGGGAGGTGTTAGTATGTGATGGCGAGAGAAAGGGTGTACGTACCGACTTCTGCATCGGTCATTGCCAGAGCAGTGGTTGTGAAAATAGCGAGGGCGGCGAGTTTGAAGAGCTGCATTTTGAATGATGATGTGGGATCTGAGAGTTTGACTTTGAACTGGATCTCAGAGTTATGTCTGGTGATGTCGAGATATCAGATTCCGAGACTTGTTCAGCATATTTATACATGATCTCGCTACGCAAGCAGACCATCACCATATTCTGATACATTACTTCTCCATCTTTCTCAAATGCAGTAAGAATCCCTCGAAACATCTATCTTTCCCCCGATTACAACCTCAATGTAGATCCCCAATTCCGAGTCGTCTTCGTGGCGTCCATACAAACCATTTTGTATATTTACCAGCCACTGTCGCTCTCAAATGTTGTTATAGCCTGAATGCCATCTTCAGCTCAACAACTTCCATAGCACTCATGAGAACCAGCTTTTGGACCGCTTTACGTCAATCTCGAAGTTTCCCCGCTATGTGGCTTTTTTGAATGCTTCCAGTGCTTACAGCATTTATTGTGGCTTTTGGCAATATTTCGGTGTACGGGAGTAATTATGGCAATTCGTCAACATGGATTATTCGAGATTTCAGACCGCAATATCTGCAACATACACGGCAAGCACAGCACTGGTGACTTAATCTTTATCGCAAGCCATACGATATAACTTCTCCTCCAGATCCAATCCCACCACTTCTCCAGCTTGTCCACGCAATTCCCTCCCACCTTAAGCGAGGCACATGTACACTATCGGGCATACCTGTACCCAGCATCTCCTCTTTGAGCCTCCCAATATCGTGCAGCCAGCCACACCTGGAACGTTGCACCGATTCCTGGCGTCGAAAATAGAGTCAGTGCAGAGCACGCGACCGAGTTTTCATGACTCTGCGGAGTGGAACGCGAGGGGGCTTCGTGATGGTTTGTTTGGGAGAGGTGCAGCGGGTAATTGGTGATGGGTAATGTTGTTTGTGATTAAGCGAGTTTTTAGGGGGGTGCGCTTCGAGACTGTGATAGAGGGACATTAAGACTGATATTTCTCTTGCAAGGGTACGTCTGGAAATTTTGGTTATAAATAGTTACATCTTGTGATCTCTCACATTTTCTAAGCATTAATATAACTCAAGTATTATTAAAGAGAAAGAAGCTTCGAAGTGAAGGGCATGTCAGGAGCTCCATTTGAAAGCTATACTCGTATACGTAAAGAGGCTCTACAATTACAACTCTCCATAAACCCTCGATTATAAGATCGCGGGAACTAGTAGCCAACCCGATTATGACTACTTTCGAACTCCAAAACTGAAAATCTAGACACTTTAACGATATTTCATAGTACCTCCACGAACACTAATTACAAGCACTCTTAGATATCACTAACAAAGATAAAACAGCATGTAGATGTACGAGTAAGACGCCACAAATGCCCTAATCATGTCTACTAGACTATGCTGGCATTTATAGCCGCTAAGGGGAAGAAATTTAGTTGTCACACAAACGTGAGCAGGCATGCGGAGTTTATTCGCTTGTTATGTCAATATGCCTACGCATTCTGTGTCTTCCCTATAGAGAGGAAGCGTTATCTATTGAAGCGGATAACATAGAAATCGGGACAACCTTTAGTCGTGATTGAAAATAAAGTTACGCTTAAAATTAAGATTATTTGTTACCGAACTTTCACTTATCACCGATTTCTTCCGCGCTCTTACATTTCCCGAAAACTTTTACTATTAGAGAAATTAATTTCTTTCTCTTTTCTACTACTAAATTATAATTATTTAAAATATATAACTATAGTACGGTAGAAGACCTTTTCCATAAATGGTCGTAGTCCCTTTTTCGCTTCGTAGCCTAAGATTATAAAATTCGCACACGGTACTAATATACTTAAACCGAAAGTTTTAAGTCTATTTCTCATTTATGTCTCTATTAAAGGATTTAATATAGATAAGGCGGAAAGCAACTCTTTCTACATTCTTATTAACAACAGATCGTGCTACGAAGTTTCTAAAAAACTATTTTAAAAGCTTTTAAGTAAAATCTCATATTATATCTACTAAAACCTTTAATAAAACTTCGTCCGCATAAAAATACGTCAATAATATTAATTATAAATACGTTCTTTCTCTTTAAAAGAATAATCCTGCTAAGTTGCAGGACCTAGACGAGATGTACGATATCTGGGTAAAGTTAGACCTATGGCAATGTTATATCGAGAGGCCTCGGCTAAGTCTACAAAATTAATGAGGAGACAATAAACACTAAGTCAAAAACGAAGGTTAGCGTGAAGTATAATCTTAAATTAAAAGTTGTCGCCGATTTCACCCTTACTACCGGTTTCCATCTTACTGATTTTCATCTTACTAATCTACCAACTGTCTCTTTAATTAAAACCTCGATTCTAACTAACGAAACTTACTATTCCTCTTACGAATACTGTAGTAACAAGTGACAAAGATTTTATAAGGGACGGACAATTGGCCAACAGGGGCAATCAAATCTTTTTATGTAAAGAAATAAAGGTACGGGGAGACGTGAGTTTTATATAGTAGGATATTAGATATTTTGGCGACAGATGTGTTGTATTTTCGAGAAAAAGGATTTGGGTTTTTCCTTTTTAAGCAAGAGTTTGAATTGGGACATATGGGTAGTGTAGTAATAACTACTTATACTAAAATTCAAAAGTGTTCTGTGAACCCTTTAAAAACTGAAACCAAGAGAACTTTTCGTTAAGCATAAACTCCATTGACTTGAAATTCAAACTTCCCAATATCTCTCTATCTAGTACATCCAAATATAAAATGAGAACAGGATCATGATATTATGTTGAGAAGATATATTCACACAAACCACCCTCAGTCAAGACCCCATTATTATATACAAGCCCGCCCTCGACCCACTACATCCAAGTATAATGGGAAAACCGCTTTCAGCTACACTGACGACATCCATCTCGGCGTTCACATTCGGTTCAGACACCACTACATGTGTCCTCCCGAACTCCATTCGATTCCGACAGTCGTAAAACCCCAAGCTCCATCCGTTATAAAAGCTGAGACTATTGCCTGCGAGTATGAATAAGTTCTTTGCTGCCGAAAACGTTTCCATCAACGATTTAAATTTCACGATAAATGGTCTTTATCATAAATAAACTGAATAATATAAGCGCGGGTATTCTTACATACTTTAATAGACTCATACTTGATAGACTTCTCCGTCGATAGGGAAGTTCCAGCAATCAATACCGTCATGCGCATCATCCCGCGTTGCATGCTAATAGTGGACGGAAACTTTAGTGACTGTAGCTTTGCCTTATTTAAAAGAGATGTTCTTTGATTAAATTTGCATGCATTAATATGCCGCTGACCATTCTTGTATTTGTTTGTAACATTGAACTCAGTATATATATGTTTCCTGGACGGTAAACCGGTATAAATCCACTATTTAGGGCAAGAACACTCTCTGTTATTCTCAAGTCTGGGATCCACGAATCTCCTTATGATACAAACTGGTTTTTGAGTTCCGAGTATGTCTCGGGTAATTTACTTGGTTCCACGCAGGAATTGAGAGGTTCTCGATAGCCAAACACGGAAATGAGTAAGTTTTGATGGGTTAGATACACTAAGTCAAAAGGGGCTCAAGATAAGATATGATATATAGCACACAATTTTAAACTTCGAGATACCCATATCTGCGAAAATCCTGTATAAAAGCCACCAGCGACTAAGAACCAAATCAGAAAAATTTATTATGGCTTCAAATACACCGCATTGTGTGGCTGGATACAACTTTGATCTAGAAACTTTATACAAGGGTTGGTTTTGACACTGTGGTTGACTATCTCTCGTCACAACATGTCAGGGTCCAAATTTTGAGTTGTCGAATCACAGCTCTCGCTACTATGTCTTTCACCACCGAAAATATGTTTATCACCGATTCCAATACACATCATTACTGATATATAACATCTCTAACTTCTATAGCGTTATACCCCATATCTAGATTAATTGTATAGCGTAAAAGGAGACGCCATCACACTCCCGCGATACCTATACCCTTCCCTGCTCATAACGAAAGTCGATGGGGGAAACGACATTTCTGGTTCGACGTTCTTCGTGGCAAATGCTCTACTTATGTTACAGTAAGCTGGGATTCTTAACGTAAGTACTTTTAGTTATCGAGAATAATGTCCTAGAGTACTAACTTAGAATAGGGCGAACCTAGCAACTTGTGTCATTTAAACACATCTCAAAATACATAAACAGCTCTAAATAAACCCTATCTCAAAATTTAGAGAGTATTAAAAAAGTCTCGTTATCCCTCTTTCTCCTTAAACCAAAAGACTGATAAAAGAATTAACTTAAGATACTTGCCCTAAAATCCCGGCATCTACAACCTCCTCTACCTCTCTTTAAAAACACAACTTAAACCCCTAAGAACTCCAGGGTAATGAATATACGGAATTGGTACGGGACCCTAGGATAAGAATATAAGTAAAACCTTACGAACATCTCAAGCTCGCCTAGCACTCCAAGGGCTTTTTGCAAAGACGTTAATGTTTCTAATCATTAGAACGTTGAAAGTCGCGAAATAATTGGAATTTGTGAAGGAAAAGTGGCGTCGGTGACAACACGATAATCGGTGACAATTAAGAATCTCACATTCCTCTTCCAAACCCCACCGTCATTCTGTATCACCTCCCATTATACTGCCCTACGAATCTGTAATAATCACTGTCCACATAAAACTTTAACATAGTAACACCTGCCTCTTCTCTTGGTGCTTGTATCTGAGTACGGTTTTTTCAGTTCTCCTACATTATTTTCTCTTCGTTGCCATCTCCAAGAAATACCCCCTTTACCCCTCTATACTCCGAAATTATTTCAAGATATTATGTCTAAGTTTCTTTTGTAGTAGAATAAGGATTGAATATTCCTCAGCTTTACACCGATACTCGACGTGGTCAGGGAGATGAAGAAGATTACCGCGTTCAAGAAAATAATCACTACGTAAAAAGAAAAATTTCCGGATCCAAAATATACCTTAAAGGATCTTGTGAGCGTTTTACAATATTCCATTCATATGTGCGACCCAGAAACCACCCAGTAAAGAACCACTATACACCTAGTAGACAATCAGGATACAAAATTTTACAACAAGGAGATTATGGGTTCTGCTCGCTCCAGGCAATGAAGACATTGTATCCTGTCAAAAAGTCAAAATTCGGAGAGGGGTTAGAATTGCAAGCGAGTTCGAATTAATAACTTAAGGGCAATGGTTATGAGAGTTAAAGTACCGCGTGAATATTCGAAATCGGTGACAAAAATGAAATCGGCAACAAACATCGATCTGATGAACAACAAACACTCGCTGATATCTGCCAACTTGACATCTTCCCCGCTCGCACTCCATTTCAAATATTGAATCCCTCAATCCAAGCAACCAAACAACCACCAGCATCAACATCACTCTTCACCATATTCTTCTTCCAATCTAGTGAAACCCACTTAGTCCATCTCGATCCAATTTTCCTCTAAACTTAAACCAAGCCCTTCCTGCTATGGAAGTAATCTAATGGTACCAATAGAAAGAATTCAATTTCATAGATAGATTTAGTACCAAACCAGCTAGCATTTCCCCTCTAATCAGTTCCCCCAAGCCCCTCCACCCCATCTCACTCGACCTCTTGAATATAAGCCAGAAGCCCGGACAAACACTAAATATGCATGTGATAAGCTTTAAGAGCGCACCATTATTCTCCCCTGTGTCTCTGCACAAAAGTTTCAACGGAAAATGAATGGAGGGATTTCACAGGCGGCATGTAGTTTCCTTCAGGCTGTTAGGTTGGAAAGGGCCACGGAGGTGTCATGGAGAGAAAGATAGAGCCAGTGATGATGCTGCAATCGGTGACCACCACTGATCTCAATTATTGCTTGAAATGAGTCAAACCCAACAATCCAACAAACCCAACCATATTTCCCATTGACACAAGCATTTCCATCTCTTAATCTCAAGCTCAAGCTCCAAAGCCCTCCCACCGCTTCTCATCTCACCTCCTGAGTAGATGGTGGTGCGACAGGCGATAGTGATTTGGGAGAATGATAGGAGTGTTGTTCATATACCTGATCTTATCCAGAACTGTGTTCGCCTTTTGCTAGGGCAGCATTATTCTTCCCTTAGTCGGTTAATTTTAAAGATCTCGACAGCTATGTTTGGTTTAAGTGATGAATTTTGAGATCGTTTTGATTGTGGAAATAATAATTTTCCTACCATTGGAACATGGTCTAGCGCTGCATCGGAGAGGAGATTTCAGGACTGTAAAAATAAGAAATATATATTGGAATAAAAATGTTTATACAACCACGCTAAAGTCCACAAAATAAGAATATACATCTCGCCCAAAACATCACCTATCACTCAGAACACCCATCTTCAGGCCTCAATGCTGAACGTCTCAGCCGCACCCCCAGTACACCTCGCAGAATCAAGCTTCGCTCCCGCAGGACTCAAACAAGTAGCACCCTTCTCATTAAGCGGCGCAAGCGTGATGCTATTCCCACCTTGGAAACCAAACAACTGACTCTCCGTGACCAAGCCCTCGCCATCCGCTCTGCCACCACATGAAAATAGGACAACGGTATCACCAGCCGCACGTCTAGGATCGAAGTTTAGACATCCTTGCGTGAGACTGCTGACGACGAGGGCGGCATTTGCTTGATCGTTGTGCGTGCCTTTGGTGATGATGTCGAATTTCTCGCCCTCGGCGCCGGTGCAGTCTTGGACGGCTACGGGGATGAGATTCTGACGGAAGTCGCCGGCGGCGGGGTCGATGAAGAGACATTGGCCGGAGGAAGTCTTGATGGAGGCGGATGTGAATGCTCGGGTGGCAGTTTCGTCTCGTGGGTTTGCTTCTGCGGCTGCGGTTGGGTTTAGAACACCTCCTGCGCGAGAGACGGGTACCTCTGTTGTTGGATTTCCTCCTCCGGTTGCTGGTGCTGCTGGAGTTGGAGCTGGGGCAGCTGCGGATGAAGAGACATCAGCTACGGGTAATGCAGTTGGAGCGACTACTGCTGAAGATGCTGGTACGGGTACGGGAGCTGGAGCGGGAGCAGCACCGCCAGCGCCAAAGGTAAACGTTTGAGCGGCACTTCCTGCTGCACAAGGAGCTTGATCAAGAACAGCACCAGCGACAGCGAGGCAAGTACCTGCAGCGTTTCCTGGGGAAAGAGATAGAGGTCCGGCACTTCCATCAAAGGGGAATAGTTGGGAGTTGGTTACAGCACCACCTATGATAATTAGCGAAATACTTTGGAGACTGTGAGAAAGACTTACCACCATCAGCTCTACCACCACAAGAGAACATGATTACGGTATTCCCTGCAGCGCGTCGAGGATCAAAGTTCATGCAGGCTTGGGTCTGGGAGATGTTAGCTCAGGTCATGTCTTCTGACGAGGAAGCACATACCAACGTGTTAACGACAAGCATATTTCCAGCTTGATCGTTATGCTTTCCCGCAGTAATCACATCCCATTGCTGTCCAGCACTACCATCACATGCCTTGACTTCAATAGGGTTCAAGTTTGCACGGAAATCGCCTGAAAGCTCTTCTACCGAAAGACATTGGCCGTCAGAAGTCTATGAAGCATTAGCATCCAATCTTTTTCTGTGGCTGAAAACTTACTGTGATTGCAGTTGCTGAGAATGCCCGGGTCGCTGTGTCATCGCGAGGTTGGGCTTCCTTGAAGGCCTCTTCATTGAGTTCAGCAACTACTCGTGGTTTGATCGGTGAAGCAGATACCACTGCAAGCGTTGCAAGAGCGACAGAAAATATGGAATGCATGATGAAATAAAACAAATCAAAGGTTAAGTTTCAAAGGTTAAGTTGCAAAGTAAATGTAAAGAATGTAATACCGCGCAGCAGTAACCTTTCAAAGGAGAGTAAGAAGAAAATGGAAATGACTGAGATCCGTGTTGATGAACAGCACAAACATAAAATGAGGAAGCGATAGTTATATCATACCCAATGTGTGCTACGTACCCAAGCACCTGGAAATTGATCGGTACTTCAGGAGGATCCAGACTCTTGATCTCCCCGATCCGTTTCAATCAGTCTGTTCATCACCCGAACAAAGTCAATCCGCGCCGCAAGATCTGCCAATGTTTTCATCCCAACGGGTGTGGTTGAAACTCGACATGTTTCTGACTGTCTGATGTTTGGATTAACGCCGCGGAAGGGACAGAACGTTAACTTCTACCGAGCGCAACCCCTGTATCAGATCCCCCGAACCTCTCAAAATTCTGCCGTTCTTTTGCGCGCGACAACTTTGTACGATGGAGAAGCAGCCAATTGAGAGGTTGAATGTTTTGACAGAAGGAAGCGTATTCTGGCAGGTGGAGGGGAAGTTGAAACGAATTATCTTGTTTGAGAGTCTGCTTGCAGAGGAAGAAACAAACCGGTGCAAGAAATGGCACTTGGTGACCGAGGCCGCGAACGAAACCAATCCAAAGGATACTTAGGATCGTTGGTTGATCGTATAATATGGCATCGAACTCTGAAATTTCATGATGAAGATGTTCCTGAGATGAAGGATTGATGATGGGGATGAATTGATGCGGAGGTTGTTTGGGATGAGATGGTTGATCTTGTGAAACGAACCCAGGCTCTGTGCACGAGCTGCTCCACGTGATCGGCCTCGTCGATGAATAGTTCGACGTATTGAACAATTACCTAGGTCTGGCGGGAGAGTCTCACAAGCGTGCTTTTCAACAAGTCTATTACCTTCAGTCCTGAATTTAGAAAGTATTTTGGGTCAACCAGGCAAGACTTTTTTCCATCGCGGCCCTCGAAGTCGACTTCTTTCCAAGACAACCCCTTTTGAGTATGGCCGACATTGGGTACTTTAGTGCATAGATCAATCACTTCATGATAGCTTCCCAGAAACAACTACTAGAGCCACGAATTGTAAACCAGCGCGTCGGTGCGAAATGAATTGGGTATCGTAGCTAAAGAAAACAATGGACGAAGACCGCCCAACAGCAATGGTATCAAAAACAAACACAATGCTAGCCATTTCGCATGGCTTCAACCCCAAACCACCCATTAAGATATATCCAACAATCGAGAATCAACTCAATCAAGCCACGCCCAACTCCCCACAACCCTCCCCTGCCCCTCATCCGCCAGCGCCGTAAACATATCCAAACTCAAATCCACATCCTCCGCTTTACACCCGGTACATCTATCCACGACCTCCACATCCACCGAGCTATTCCGTCCTTTCGCCGCATCAAACCTCGTAATCCGGATCTTCTTCCCACACAACGGGTTCAGATTCGGATTCGAACTCGTCGACACGGCGTCCCAGACCAAGTGTGATACAGCGCAGATTTTATCGTGAGAGGTGTTTTCGAAGCCGCACGCGCCGTAGCCGGGGCCGGGACTGTAGTATGTGAGGTCACCGGTGAAGATCTGGGAACTGCCTGGGAGAGGGAGGGATTGGGAGATTTTGCTATAATAATCAGTCGCGTACAGATGGGAAGAGATAAGTGACTTACCCTTTCTTCTTGAGACCGAGTCCAAGTCCGAGACCGAGGATGAATATGAAGAGGAGAAGCGCGCCGATTCCTATCAAGATCAACTTCTTCTTGCGATTATGCGCGAGGAAGCCGCTGAATGGTCTTGATTTCGCATTGTTTGTTCTGATTTCATTTGTCCCAGTCTTGATTGATGCTGCCTCTGAGTTCTTCTCCGACGCACCTAAAAAGGCAGGCTTGCTGAAGAAGCTCCTCTTCGGTGCGGTCTGGGTTTCCCATTCCAATGGTTGTTGAGGTTGAGGTTCCGTGGTCGCGTTTGCTGTCACAGGAGTCACTGCCGCCGGGACTGTCGCAGTCGGTGGGAGAGGTTTGCGATTCATGTCTCGATATTGCGCATTTTCTTGGATAGACTTTGGACTAAAGAATGTAATGCGATATCGAGATCGCGACGAATAATGGGGTTATTCATGAGGTGGCGATGTTTCTGCGACCAAAAGTTGGTTGTCGCTGTCACATCAAGCCCCTGCAGTATGCCAGGAACAGGTTTGGCTCCCCGCAAAGTTAAAATTGAGTTCCCCCTTTAGCCTGGAACTTCTCGCGCCTTTAGCGATAGCGACGAACGACCAATACACCACCATTTCCCATCTACAACTTTTTTCCAGCCTCAAAATCGCATCGCTCAATGGACCAAGCTTCGAAGAAATGGCCTTGGTCGGGTCCATTGAATCTCAGTTGCACTATCAATGCACCTTGACTCCTTCGGCGGTCTCAAATTGTGATCAAAGTGGGGAATGTTTACAAAGCAACAACATTTCTATCTACTTTCCCACTTCGATACACTCTTGACAAGTGGACTCCCAACGGACATTCAACGGACGTAAAACGGATGGTCAAACAAATCCGGGCTGTTGTATTACAAATCTGAACGCCGAAATCGACGTCTTCAGACTCTTTACGCTACTCGTCTTGTCGTATTATCAATTCGGCGTTGAAATCTATAGCAGCCAAGCTAGGTGGAGCGATATTCGGTTTTCAATAGAATCAAAGTAGGTAGCGAAATAGTTAAGGTAGGTTAATGAGGTAGGTCTGTTTTTATATATAAGAAGCCATTGAGACGATGTTATATGGTACAATTCATCATCAGCAGCTTTAACTGCATCTTCACTTCACTCACATCATCTCTCACTCTCTCAATATCAAAATCAAAACTCAAAATGTCACCAACAATCCTCGTCACAGGAGCAACCGGCGCTCAAGGCAGTGGAGTCGTAAAACAACTCCTCGCCCAAAACATCGCAGTCCACGCCTTCGTACGTGACCCAACCTCACCCGCCTCACTCGCCCTCCAAACCGCCGGCGCCATCCTCTTCAAAGGCGACTACGACGACGTCCCCTCCATCACGGCCGCCATCCAAGGTTGCACTGGCGTCTTCCTCAACACCTTCCCCAGCTTCACCGACCCAGACGGCGAAGGCCACCAAGCCGAAAACTTCATCACCGCCGCCCACGCAACCGGCACCGTAACAACATTCATCGCAAGCACGGTGATGCGGCCCACCGAGGAACAACTAGCCGCCGTAGGAACCCAATACCCATTCGTATCTTACTACTACAAACAGAAGAAAGGCGTTGAAGACCGCGTCAAGAACGCTGGGTTCAAGTACCATACCATTCTCCAGCCGGGGTTTCTGATGTACAATTTCATCGCCCCGACTACTATGTACCATTTCCCCGACTACCCAACCACACACATCATGAAAGCGCACTGGGGACCTGATTTCGAAATAGAACTCTTTGACCCGGCGGACGTAGGCAAATTCGCTCTCGCGGCGTTCCTCGACCCGGGTTCTTTCAACGGGGAAACGCTCTACCTAGTCAACGAGAGTCTGACTACTGATCAAGTCGCTGTGAAGATCAGTAAGGCGACAGGAATTGAGATTGGGACGGGCTTTTATAGTGAGGAGGAGACGAAGGCGGTGTTGGACGCGGGCACGTTTCCAACGGCGCAGAGTCAGAGGTTTTTTGATGGGCATAGGGCCGAACCTAAGGGGAAACATCTTGAGAAATACGGGATTGAAATGGGGACGTTGGATGGGTATCTTGTGAGGGAGAAGAATGCTTTTTTGAAGACGCTTGGGGTTGGGAAGGAGGATTGAGGAGGGTGAGGTGATGAGGAGTTTGGGGGGATGGTGTGTGTAGAGAGATTGATGTACGATTGATACAGCTTGTAATCGAAATGGTTGTGTTCAAATATAGCGAGTATGATACGATATTGTGATCATGCTGATGTCTCCAAATCTCCAGAAAAGGGGTAAGCACTCGCTAAGCGAACACCGAACATCAAATCACGTCAACAAGACCAAAATCCCACAAGATGGCAGAGTCTGCACGTGTTCAGTGCTGTAAGCGGGTCGCTGGCGAAAACGATGGAAAGAAAAGCCGTAAAATTCATGTTGTTACCATTAGCCTAGAACGCTAAAAGTGCCTGACTGAAACGATAGGTTTTGTAATTCTATTCGGGGTTCGCTTACCATAAGGTATCGAGGGTATGGTGTATTGTCAATCTAGGCTTTGTCCATTTTCCGGTGGGAGGTTTCAATGTTATAGGACGTCTTTCCTTTCCTGTATAAGATACTCCCGAATCTAATCGCAGGAGTCGATGGTGTAACAGGTATGATAGCTCGAAATCGATTGCTAGAACCTAAGATCATCATGCCCAGTACCATGTCCACAGGCCGATTATTTCACATTCGACCAAGCCATCTCCAACACCGCATCCCTCGCATCCGCACTCTCCCAGTTAATTCTCACCTCCACGTTCTCACCTCCCTTCTTACTAATCACAATCAACGCATCCCCCTTAAAATACACAAGAGTCCCATTCTTCCCGTTCCCAGCAGCAGTGATCCGGTATAGCGGGCCCGCAGAATGAAGCACTTTCTTTTCTGGGAGGAATTGGAGATCGTTTTCGATGCACCAGTCCTCGATTTTTTCGCGGAAGGTGGGCTCTTCTGGGTTGATGACTTTGGCTGGGGTGACGGGTGTGATTGCGGGGAGTGGTGAGGTGTGGCGAGAGGCTGTTTTGGGTTTGGGGAGAAGTGACGCAGCGTTGGATCCAAGATCGAGGGCTTGGATAATCATTTCATGACCTTTCGCAAACTCTGCCTTGATTAAAGGCAGATCTTTCATGCTTGGCGGGAAGACCTCATCGCGCCACCACTCGAACCATTGACCAATTTCCTCGTTGGGACCGACTTTGGTGAGCCATTGGTGTAGGATCTCATGCCACAGAGGAAAGACAGTCTCGACGATGACTTGAGCTACCATACGTGGTTTGAGAATATCCTGCCAGGCAAATATGCCTTGTATCGCAGCCATATAAGGAGCCTGATCTGTTGGATCAACCACAAAGTTTGTTGGGTTCTTGAGGAAGCGGCCCATGCTTGGTAGAACGTGATTCATGATTAGTGGTGTCCAGTGATCATTGCTAGAGCTAGGTCGAAGAACATCTTTCCACTGCTGAAGACCTGGGACAACACCTTTATGAAAGTCCCATGAGTCGACAAGTTGACGGAATTTGCGTTTCACATCACTGACCAGACCCGTAGAGCTTTTGGGATCTGCGTGATGAGCCGGCAAATATTGTAACCAAGGAAACAACCATAGATGCGGTAATTCATGCGACCTCCGCTTTCGAGGATTCCAAGAGGAAACAGCATCGTTGAGCTTTCCTACCACAACTTGGTCAAGTATCAGTGAGCGAATAAAGCTAGGGAAGAGACTATCCCAAGCCTCCAGCAGATTGAGTAACGGAGTAGGATCATGTACATTCCAACCTTGGTTTACTGCCGACACAACCTTGGGAAAGACGAGCTTGTATATCATCGTCTCATACGCGGTTGTCGACTTCGGCTTTTGTCGCTTACTTTCTCGAGATTTCGATGTTACCCCAAGAATACGACGAATCTTATACAATTGCGGAACCAAACCATTGATTTTTGGATCCTCTAATGGCTGCCATCCCTCCATTGCCCTACTGAGAAACGGATGTACAGCAGCCACAGCTGTATCAGAGAGCTCTCCATTGACATCACCGGATTGAAGCTCGTCTGCCTTGATCAGTGCTTCAATGATAGGATCCCACTGCCCATCCGATGATGCCTGTAATATGTCCTGAGCGGTATCAACAAAAATCTTGAATTGATCCAATTCGATTTGTAGCTCATCGATGATTTGCTGCTCCTGCAAGACCTCCATGCTCACGTAGGCTTTTCGTTCGTCGAGATTCTTCCATTCCTCAACATGTGCTAAAAGCTCGTTCTGGGCTCGTCTCGCTAGCTTCTTATTTTCAACCTGCTCCACACTCACAAAGCCTTCTGATTTGGCGGTTGGTGTCAAAAGTCCTGAAGTTGACGTAAGAAGTCGCTGGCCAGGACCCGACATGTCTAAAATCGGAGCAAACACATCCGGAATCTCCAAACCTGGTGCTGCTCTATGCACTTCCTCCAACGTTCGATATTTTGGTTTTGCCGCTCTCTTAGGCGTGCTGATTCCACTCATTCCACTATCAGTTCCACTTGTCTTTGGCTTCCGTCGGCGTTTCTTTCTTTCCTCGTCCGAGTCTTCATATTTTTCTCCACGAATCTTTGCCTGTCTCTTTTCCTCTTCAATTTCCTGCTTCGATTTTTCTCTTACAGCACCCAAACCCACTCCTTGTGGACGCTGAACTACTTCAATCACCCCGCTTCGACCAGTACCCTCTTTGCCAAGGCCCTGACCTTCCTTATATCCCATCTTAGCCATCATTCGAGCTGCAAATGATCCGCCATTTACTGATGAGGCAGCAGCTTTCTTGGAAGAGCCGCCTACGTTCGATGCCGGAGTGGAAAATGCGCTCGGCCGAGCGATCCTAGGTGTCGAGATCTCATCGTTATCATCTAGCAGGATTGGGACAGCTGCAGAGGAAGGTACAAAGCCACGACCAAGTGGTGTTCCGGTTTTTGGGCTGTTCTTGAATTTTGTCGCAGCAGGACTCTGAAATCGTGCATCTCTTGCGCCAAAACCCAATCCACGGGGTGCCGCAACTTCCTCTGGTTCCTCGTTATCAGCCATATTCGTTGACTCCTCCTCTAGGTATTCCTGTCCTTCTTCGTCTTCTTCGTCATCGTCGTCATCATTTAAATTGGTCTGTCCCTTCGAAACGAATGCCATTCCCTTTCCTCTCAAAGTCTTCTTTTTCCATCTCCTACCAGGGCCATCATCATCATCACTTTCTGATCCGAACACACCCAATGCAGCGCTCTCTTTCGCGTCGCGACCAGTACGCCTTCGTTTCCGTGGGTTATAGTCGGCAAATTCTTCTGCGTTTGGGTCATTTGAGGGGTGCAGAAAGTCTTCGTTGTCTGACGATTCGGAGGAAGATCCATGCGCAAACGCTTGCATCGTCGCCATTTCTGATACGTACTGCTTTATGAGGCGACAATCCTAGATATTTCGGACCCCCGTGGGTGATATTGTTGTTGACAGGCTAAGAATATCATGAACGTTTGGCTTGCTATCAATTGGTAGCCTCGCATAGATGCCTCAGGCATGATATCGCAAGAATGAGTACAAGTAGGGAGGCGAGCGAGGCTCGCGCTGGACAAAATAAGTGGCGGTCAAAACACGGTATTTCTTTAATAAAGTTGACAAAATATTGTTATTGCGAATTTAGAACAATATAAGATATTTCGTCAATAATTTCAAGTAGTTAAGACTTCTTACGCTCTTTTCGAAGTCGACTTAATTAGTCCAAGATTACTAGGCGGCTGACTGACACTTACCTCCGTATTATTATTTTGTCCTTAGCGAGGGAGCGAGGGCAGGGTCTTAGTCCGGTGAGTGATAGCTTATTTAGTGATGAAGAAAAAGAACTATTCGGGGTTCGCAAATGTATTTTGCTGTTTGAAAAGGAATTCCTAATCCAATGTAGAACAGATTTCTGTTTGAACGATCCAGCTCTTCCCATAAAAATGCTCATAAAGTCATAATATGTTCATAGCAAGCATCAGTAGGCCTTCTAGTTCAACTCCATAACTCCTCTAATGATGGCTATTTTCATGATGCAAAGACTCGCACCTTCAAGTCCACACTTCCAGTGGCAATAACACATCGTATCCCAACATTACCCACCTCATCTTTCTTCGTCCCATTTGTCGTTGAACCGTTTTCCCCATTCGCTGCTGGCACATCCTTAATCACATTAGGTGCCCATCTCAGGCAACAAACAAAGTGGCCATGAGCATTATCCAAGCTCTTGACCATTTTTCCTTCTTGAGATAAATCCCAGCAACGTATAGTGTAGTCGTCAGAAGCACTTAAAAGGTACTTTCCGCCAGGGTGAAAGACCAATGCCCTAACCCAATTGTCATGCCCGATGAGAGTCTTTATGAGAGTACCACGGGCATCCCATAACCTTATACTCTTGTCTCTTGATCCTGTAGCAACAAACTCTGCCGAGCTACTCGAGAGCGGCGGCTTTTTCAATCCTGCAAGTGTTGAAAGGTATCCGTAGCTGGCTGGGGGCGCAAATGCACAGCACTCAATCGTATGTTCATGCCCTACCAAGGTCGCTTTTGGCTCTCCTGAGCTTGCATCCCATATTCTTGCAGTTTGGTCGCTTCCAGCCGATAACAGCCATCTCCCATCGAATGATGGCGCAACGTCGCGAACCCAATCTGCATGTCCACGTATAGTTTTAACACAGTATCCAGTAGAAACATCCCATATTCGTAATGATTTATCCCGACTAGCAGAAACAAGAAGATTTCCAGACGAAGGAGAACCGGCTGCACCACTAGGTATGAATCGAACAGCAGAAACCGAATGGTCGTGCCCAGGAAGGGTTCTTATATTTTTGTACTCGTCACTAGGGTCCCATAATTTAATAGTCAGATCACTGGAACATGATGCGAGTAGAGTGCCTCCTCGTGGTCCACCGAAATCGACGTCTAAGACGGCTCTTGTGTGCCCTTTAATAGTCCGTTCCAACTCTCCCAACTCCCAATCCCAGATTTTGATAGTATTATCTTCTGAACCAGATGCGAGGGACGAAAAGATAGGATGAAATGCCACACAAGTTATAGGGTCGCGGTGTGATTGGAGTGTATGTCGTGCCGGTGATCTGGGAAGCCATGATGTGGGGTCCTGGTTCCTCTTCGAAAGCGACGTTGGTGTCGCAGAATCGATTTCAGACTGCAAAGATGCATTTCTGGATTCCAGCTCCATTATCTGAAGTCAGGCATCAGATCTGCGACTTTCAGATTAAAGCGCTTGGAGGAACACACCTTCTTCTGTAACCGCACAACGCTGGTCCACTTTTTCTCCAACAGGCCTTCATATTTCTTGCTGGTTGCGGCATCAAACCCCTCACCTATATTCAATTCTTCTCGTAATGCGGTGGCACTACTCGTGAGGTTTTGTGACGTGAGATATGCGATCATAGACTTGTGTCTGATTTAACAATCAGTGACCGTCGTTGAGCTATGTCCCCTTGGAGCAACTTACAACTCCTCCGCCTGCCGCGACGTCAGAATCTGGTTCATGATGATCGCGGTGCCTCATACATGAGGTACAGCCGACCCCAACAGTACGTCGTTTCTCAGAGCGATGCGCCTGGCTCAGAGATAAACCTTGTCCTCTTTCCTTTTCCTCCAAGCTCGAACGGCAGTTGCTATATATATGTAATGTTTTGATGGTATGAGTGTTGCACTTCAGGAAAGGGGAACCTTCGACGGTTGTCTTCTAGCGGGCAAAGTATTTAGAGCGTGACTCTGGATCTGGGTCGTTATCGTGTGCAATTCTAGGCCATCTCTTATTTCTCATGGTGGGGATCGAGGTGCGCAACTGTGCTTCTTTGATGTTGTGAATTTCCAGAAGCTGTGCCCCTGTCGACAGCACCTCAAGGGCACGCGCCATTTCAATGCAGGGGTCGCTGTAGTGACGACGAAATTCGGTATTTGCGTCCATCAACAACACACAGCTCGACTCCCCTCCATCCCATTCAAGTCCTGCGCAACACACCATTCACAACTTTAGAACGACTACCAGTTTTCTTCTCCCACTGAAGCCATATACGACCGCTCTGTGATATATCTACGCGCCTCGTCCAGTACAAAATTTCAACCGGTTGTCAGACTCTCCTTGAAAGCATCGAGAACCACCCCTAGATTCTGCGCCTTTCTTCTCTAGGTATGATCCTGCCTATGCTTTTCTATCCCGGTCGTTGGAATGGGTTTCTTTGGACTCGTGGTGCATTTGCATCAGCAGAAATTCGAAGGAGATGGAGGGGCATTCTTCTCTATCGTTGCGCAAGCTGACTAGACGCGTTGCAGGTCTACGAACCCTTTCCAAGTATTTAGAAATCTCCGGACGCCATCATGGCCGAACAAGAAGAGGACTTCAGTTCTTTACCTCTACCCGATAGATTCCAGCACAAGGTGCGTCTCCCTCTGTCGGGTGTCGAGTTGAATACAATCTAACACGGAGATAGATTTGGAAAGTGCGCAAGGCAGCGTATGAGGATGCTGCGAAACAGTTCGAGGTCACTCCAGATGAATACGACCCGGCTTTCAAACCATTCTTGCAAGATCCCGGGCTGTGGAAAGCCGCAGCAGCAGATTCAAATGTAGCCGCGCAGCAGGATGGTATAGCTGCGCTTTGTGCGTTTCTTAAGTTTGGTGGGCGGGAGGGCTGCACTAGGTAGGTTCATTGTTCAAATCCCGTCTGCTCTTCTAACATAAAGTCTACAGAACCAGAAGTCATACGATAACGCCTATAATCGAGAAAGGATTGTCATCAACCAGAGCGGCAACCAAAGCATCTTCCCTAGAAGCCATACTATTATACGTCGAGCTGGATGCAGCCGCCCCTGTTATTGAGGAAATGCTTCCAGCTTTCTCACACAAGCAACCAAAAGTTATCGCGGCGACAATAGCAGCAGTAACCGCTATATTCCACAATTACGGGTGCAAAACTGTTGACCCGAAGCCAGTACTAAAACTTCTGCCAAAGGCATTTGGACATGCGGATAAGAACGTGCGCGCGGAAGCAACAAGTCTCGCTGTTGAACTTTACAGATGGCTGAGAGAAGCGATGAAGCCTATGTTTTGGGGAGACCTCAAGCCCACTCAGCAGACAGATATGGAAGTCCAATTCGAAAAGGTCAAGGCAGAGCCCATGCCAAAGCAGGAACGCTTCCTGAGATCTCAGCAAGCTGCGATGTCGCGTGCTCCTGCACCAGGTGCCGAGGCAGAAGAGGAAGACGAAATGGAGGCAGAAGGAGTAGAGGTCGATGTTTTCGATTTAGCCGAGCCCCAGGATGTTGTGTCGAAGGTTGCCGCAGATTTCCACGAGCAGCTAGCTTCGACAAAGTGGAAAGAGAGGAAGGAAGCATTGGAGGGTCTTTTCGCAGTACTAAACGTTCCGAGGATAAAGGATGGAGATTTTAACGAGATCGTCCGAGGGTTGGCGAAGTGTATGAAGGATGCAAATATTGCTGTCGTCACGCAAGCAGCACAGTGTATAGAGGTGCTCGCTAAAGGTTTACGCAAGCCATTCGCGAAGCATCGCTCCGTGGTTATGGGACCGATTATGGAAAGGCTCAAGGAGAAGAAGGTGTCCGTTTCTGACGCGTTAGGACTGGCATTGGATCAAGTTTTTCTTGCGACAAGTCTCACTGAGTGCCTGGAGGATATTCTGGAATTTCTGAAACACAAAAATCCCGCAGTGAAAGAAGGTACAATGAAATTCTTGATTAGATGCTTAAAAACCACTCGGGAAGCACCAATCAAGACTGAAGTAGCTTCCATTTCAGAAGCCGCGAAAAAGTTACTGTCGGAATCACAAGAAGTTCTACGATCTGGTGGAGCCGAACTTCTCGGCACAGTCATGAAGATAATGGGCGAACGGGCAATGGGTCCATATTTAGAAGGACTGGATGAAATCAGGAAGACCAAGATCAAGGAATTCTTCGATATTGCAGAAGTCAAGGCAAAGGACAAGCCAAAACCAAAACCAGCACCTGTAGCGGCACCCAAGGCAGCACCAGCGGCAGCAACACGCAAGGTTGTCAAGAAGACTACTGTGAAGAAGCCTGCTCCAGCTCCCAGCATCTACGCCCAGGAAGCGCCTTTAGCACCGCAACCAACTGCGAGAAGTGCCCCAGGCTCGAAGCTTGGATCAAAACCCGGAGGATTGAAGGCTCCTTTGAAGCGTGTCCTTCCTGGACCTGGTGGAGCGGCTTCTACTGCTTCACCCGCTCGACGCCCAGTAGCTCGACCCGAAACACCTGAAGAGGAAGAAGCACCTCCTCCACCTCGCCTTGGTGCTGGACGTGGTCTTGCTGGTCGCTCGTTGGCAAAGGCCCCTGCTATGGGGGCACCTCAATCTGCCCCTATGTCGCCTCCACCTAGTAACTCCGGTATGACTGCCGTCGAGAGAGCTGAGCTCGAGGAACTGAGAATGGACAAGGATCGTCTGCTTCGACAAGCTGATGATCACCGACAAGAACGATCGCGGCTGAATTCTGAGATTCAAGAATTAAAAAATCAGAATGCACAACTGATTGAAGATCATACCAGGGACGTCCTCTCCATCAAAGCAAAAGAAACTCAGCTTGTACGCGCTCGGTCAGATTGCGAAGCTGCTGAAGCTATGTGTGGACAATTGCGTAGAGAAATGGAGCGACTCAAGCGTGCACTCACCAGCGCAGAACGAGTGAATGGTCCAAGTGCTGGCTTACCAAGTCCAGGACGTGAACACAATGGAGATGAAGCAGGCATTTATCGTGATACTGGCATGTATGGTGGAGGACAAGAAAGACCCGGGTATGGTAACGCGAGGGCGCGAATGTCATACACCTCAACTCTCAGCGAAGAAAAGGAGAATAGTGGCGATGGACTGGCCGGTCAATATGGAAGAGCCAAATTAAGTCCCGAATTGAGAAATGGCCGAAACAGTGCGGCCAGTGGGAGCGGTGGAAGAAATAGTCCGGCTCCTCAATCATATAGTTCTCGGCCCATAGGTCGAGATCCAAGCACTGATAGTGCGAGGGATGGTGGTGGTCAAGGAGTTGAGAGCTGGAAACGCGCTGCGGAGGTAACGAGCGCTCTGAAGGCGAAAATTGAGCAGATGAAGGTAATTGCCCCTTTGTCTCTAATAATCCAATTACTGATCAACGCGCTTTAGGCACGACAAGGTCTGTCTCGGCCTTGAAAATAATAGGCATATCACGACCACTTTTTTGGGCATTTCTGGCGATTGGGTCTGGTCATCGGTGTTTGTCATTGCTTGTTGGAACTAATCTGTGCTACGTTTATGATGATTGATACCATACCCATCCCCATAGGCATGTTTGGCGAGAGACATGATATGTGATACAGCGTTGTTGTTTATACGACGGATGACGATAGTGTTTGCGACGTTATAGATACACATATTGCTCCTATATTAATATATTGCTTACCCCTCATAGTGAGAGGTTTTCCAGTATCTACCTCTCTGTTTCAAGTTTTTTATTGTGTTGCACTCAGTTCTCACGAATCGGATAGCTTCAATTGACCACGGAAATCCCAAATGAAATTCAATCCACTGATTGAAGTGCTGTCATGGCCATTGTCCAGTCACGTTCGGCTCCAAATTCATGTAGCCTTTGGCATCCAATCGGTTCGGGACCTGCTCTGTGTCTGGCTCAATGAGATGGGAAGCCTGGTCACACGGCATATCTACTGCTTGTGAGAGTTTTTCCCGGAATTTGTAGGATCTCGGTGGACATGAGCGTGGCATTCTGGAAAACGGGCCTGGTTGGAACGCTTCACTGGGTCAGGAAGCAATAGAGAAGTGGGTTTGTGTGGTGGAGTTAGGCAGGAAGAGTGTAAGTGGTTCTTTTCACTGTTGTCGAGTGTTGGTAGTGGGGTTTCGATGTTGTTGCATTTAGATCGAGACAGGGTGACATGAATTAGGGGTCTTAAGCATGAAACGGTTCTTTCCTTCCGCCGGCTGGGTATTATTGTGTAGGAACTTCATACTGCTATTTGGAGTTTGGTCTTAACTGCAATAAGCCCTGGGAAACACCTCTTTTTCGTGCGTGCCTTGGCTTCGGGATGATAAAAGCTAGGATTAGAAAGTACTGCTCAACTATTGGGCGATAAATTCCAGGAATGAGCGTCCTCGAAGAAAACAAATGTGTCACCAACTTGAACCCTTGATTCGATCTCGAGCATCGACATTCTTGTACGCTTCAGGCCATCAAGGTAATGGACAACACTAAGCGCAATTCTTCTCACCCCATCTTCCAAAGCGAAACAGATATCTTTATGTCTTGCGTCACTCAGAGGTGTGTGAGAAAGAACAAAATGTACCAGGGTCCTTGGTACGGGGTTCTTGCGGTGTGGAAATTCACAAGGAAAGTTGCAGGACGGTGAAGCTATCTCCAGTTAGCATCTTGTCGTTTAGAGAACCTCCCCACTACTGTTGATTCGGCGTACCGATGGTACGGTTTGCCGCGGCCGCGAGGCAGAGTGGGGTTTTCTTTTTTCTGAACGGGGGAGTTTGATTTGAGTTCTTGTTACTGTTTTGTACGAGTGACATTTTTGTCTTGTTTGAGTGGATGGTGCTTTTTGCGGGGAGTCGGACTCATGCAGTTTGTTGTTCTGTCACTTGTAGAACGGATGTGAGCAGAAGTATCGTGGGGGCTTGATCTTTTTTTTTCGAATCACAAAAATAGCAGGAGCCGATTCGATTTCCAGAATGGCTAGCCTCGTGTAAATATAATCACAAGATCCGAATTGCGGGGTCTTTGTCAGCCGTCCCGCAAAGGGGGGCTATGTGGGGGATATTTAATGGTCATCGAATTTGACTATAAGGTGTTTGCTGTTAGTACCGTCCTGAATTAACCAACGTACAAAGACCATAATGCTGTGAAAAAGCAAAATTCCAACAGATGAAGCATGCCTTGAATTTCCGATAATTCGCTCTGTGGTTTTGGGAAGGTGTACATGACAAGCCTTACGCTGTTGTGGCAGTGATCCACATTTCTTCCGTCAGCTTCGCCATATTAAGACTCGCGAGCTAGCTCACGTTATAAAGATGGAAAATGGATACTTTACCGTATATTCCATAGATATTCGTGGTAATATTTTCCTTGTCATGGCTATCATACTCACCTTTTGCTATTCTTGGCGAGCAACGCAATGTAGTATTTCCCCAACTTTCATGTACGCTGTATCCTTGGCTCTGGGTCGAAATTGATCACGCCCAGCATACATCCACTTCTCCGGAGGCACAGGTATAGAAGTATCCGGTATTACGTCTATCCCATTGATTTGGAAAGTCAAGTGTAGAAGTTCTTCTTGGCAGCCTCGTTCGGCAGATGCTCGAGTACCAAAAGAGCTTGGAGCCAACAGTTGGGAATGTCTTACTCGTACGTACATCGTAGACAACATCAATTCCACCAGGATCTAGTGCAACTCTGCACGGCCATTCGAAACAACAGCGGCAAATAGACTTTTTCGAGCGGGTGAAATCAACCTTGCGTTACACAAGATTCTAGCACCCTCCACGTGTCTATGAGACTTTGTGCCGATCCATGAAATTGTCTGGGGAAGCCAATGTGCGACCTTGTTGGTGACGAAGATGAGATTGTGATACAGCTTTCTGGAAAATGATAGGTTGGATGGCTTTTACCAACACCCGAGTCCGAGGCGATTCCTGATTTCAGGTGGAGGACCAGTGAGGTGATATTAGAAGCCGACGAATGGAGGCAAACAGAGACAGTCAATTGTGGAATGCATCCTTTATTGGATTGATCTTACACTCCTGCCTTTCCTTTCACCGCTTCATATGGTCAGCTGTCATTCTATCTGACGGAATTGCGGTACAAGATTCCACTCTCAAGCCGATACTTACAGCATGATGATATCGCTTTGAACATCTGTTCAACCCCTTTCTCTGGAAGACGGCTGGCTTCAATGTCAGCTTCGCCGCAGAAATAACCCATTCAGCATCATCCCAGCTCTTGTGCGGCTGGAAACCGCCCCATATGGTCATTTCTAAGGCGAATCGATTGGTGAGGCTTCTATACGACTCCCTGATGTTTGGAACAGCGCCGCAATTTGCTCTTCAAGCATCGCTATGACCGTTTCGCTTGTGGCAAAGTGAGCGCTTCCACTGTCATTCGGTCAGGTGCTTAATTCCTATTACCGACCTAAGTCATAAGCGTTTCGTATCGATATCACATCGGAGCTGGTGTCCCATTCAATCTTGCTTACCACGTGGTCGCGCAGGAATATTCGGTAACGTGATGACTGGGCTTGATAGAATAGATCGATGGAAGTGGGGGATAAGCAAAAGTATCAGAAGAAGGCTTGTGCTTGGCAGTATACTTCGTGCGTAACCTAATATTGTAGCTTTCATGAAATAACGCTTGTCGATTTTCGTTCAACAAACCTCATGGTTGCTTGTGAAAAAGAATAACCTCAAAGACGGCTTGAAGAGAGCGGGGTCATCCGTCACGCGTCTCGCTTAATTCAGGGGCAGTCGAAGCTGCGAGGACAGAGGGCATTTGGAAAAAAGTACATCTGACAGACGACAAGGGAGCTTAATATCTGATCTTTCAATCTTTGGTAAAGATGTGAAGAAGTATGCTCCGTCCACCTTCGTTCCACCTTCGTGCATCAAATCAAATCCCCGAAACAAACAACGCGTCCTGTGATTTGCAGCAAGTGCCAATCGCTTAAGCTCCAGCGTTACATGAAGAATATGGTGAAATTGATAAGATATGGAGATATGAATTCTAACGCCTATGGTGTCCCGATAATCCAACACGTACGTAACCACCTACATTAAGGAATATCGATATTAATAAGAACCCTTACTCCTCGGAGTATACCCATTTCGAGGAGACGATTGTGCCACCAACCCATTTCGTGCCGGATAATACTGTCCAGTATGGATGTTGTCTGCAAATATGAGCTTGCAGGCGCCGAACCACTGCCGGTGCAAGGAGCTTGTGTAACCAATATTTTAGCTGTTTGCGATGGAGCTCGAAGCTTCAATTATCATCTTTCCAACCCTCGAAAACCAACATTCGAGAGCGAGGAGATGTTATGACTGGAAGCAACAGTAAGGATGTCATTGGGACAGCTCGTCACTCTGCAATTAAGTCAGCTTAGATGAAATCAATTCGTACATGTTTGATGATGCTATTAATGGTTTAAATATATCATAAGACCACGCAAGAATCCCAGTCGAAGTCCGACTCCGCGAAGGTGTGTTCGATGGGTTGTACAGCAGCACTTTCTTACTGTAAGTGTCGTGTACGATTCTCGGTCGTCCTGCGTGCCACTCGGCTTACACCGACGGTGAGGAGGGGATGTCTTCTTCTTCTAAGATATTACCAGATTTACTAGAAGCCTGAGAGTCGCACATTCTCAAAAGCAAGCAGCACATGTGCTCCTGACGTACTGTAAGAAAGATGACTGCAGCTTCCACAGCAACGGCAGTCAAAAGGCTGCCCGAGTACCCCCATCTCAACCTTATTCCAGCCTACGGTAACACAGCTCAATTCAGTATACGGTGATCTGGAAGGTTCGTGCAATTGTTGATCATTCGAGATGTCTGACCTATGGTAACGACAATGAGATAACAATTAGATGTCAAACCTATAGTATTCCAGTACTCGAAAACCCTTCCGTCACACCACGTTTAGACGCATCTCCAATGCGCATAGTCACAATGGATCGTGAAAAGCTGCGCTCGACCTTCCGAGGCTCGGCTCCATGGGGATAATGAAATGTCCAGCCAGACAGTCGGTATTTCCATCTGACAGCGGCACAGTAGCATTAGCCACGCCTCTGCCACGTTCCTTTTGATCTATGCTCCAGATTTTGACAATACAATATCATTTGATAAACGTTTTGATTCTCGAATCGTCTCTTGCAAGTCACTTCGTTCCATCTGTGTGTCCTCAGCTCGAAGCCGAACATCGGGACATCGGTCCAGCATATTGCTTTTTCACGGCATCGCTCTGGAACCTCGCCCGGTTGTTCGATCGCAAAACCGTTCAATATCCCGAAGATCTGGGTATTGGTTCCTAATGCCGTGTAATGCGCATCTCAAGTTGTACGTCGAGTTCCGATCCAGTACGATTGTCATTGCGATCCAGGTGTGTACATGACATCGGTTGTAGCGCAATCGTCGTTCCGAGAAACCTAATT